TTTATTAATTTATCGTATTTATTAATTTATCGAGTATTAATTTATAGAGTTTCTACTGTAGTTGGATTTAAACTCTACTGAAAACCATAAACCAATAACACCCCCTTAATGTTCTGCATTGACCACCAATCGAAATAGTTTTGTACTCAAGAATAACTATTTCCACAACCAAGAATTCTACACAGGGTGATCTACGGAGATTCCTTTTCGATGTTTCCTTCAGTGATGGAAGAGGACGGCAACGACACCTACACCACAAAAGATGAAGAATTCGTTGCTGCGTTGACTCCAATTCTTTCGCTTCCGGATGATTTGCTGCTGAGCTGCGTCGCACGCGTCTCCATATTATACTACCCGACTCTCTCCCTCGTCTCCAAGAGCTTTCGATCTCTCATTTCTTCACCGGAGCTACGCAAGACCCGATTATCTCTAGGCCGCAAAGAGGCTTGTCTCTATGTGTGTTTTCAGTCTGATCCTAACCCTAACCCTTGCTGGTTCATTCTCTGCCGGAAACCTGATCGAACCCTAATTAATGGGTCAAGTGGGAATGTTTTCGTTCCATCCTCATGTCCAAATTCTGATTTCAACATTGAAGAATTGTCTTATGGTTTGAGCTGGTGCAATTTTTTTTGTACGATCGAGAACGCAACGTGCAGTAATCAAGATGGAGTTTTACTATATCGATGGCGTGACGTGACTGGAAAACAAGAGTGGAAGAAACTGGAGTTGAAGGGTTTGAAAGGACTGCCTGATATTGAAAGGCATGATGATTATTTTCAGTTGGTGGATTATGGCGGAAAGCTGGCCATTTTATGGAGTGAGCTTTGCGGTGAGAAGAAGGTAATTAGGTGTGCCGTAATTGCGCTTTCGTTTGAGAGGCGTAACATTGGAGAAATTCATGGGGAGGTCGAGTGGTGGGACGAGGTGCTTGCAGTTCCAAAATCATATAAGTCGGGGTATGCAGTATGCTCTCGCTGAAACTGTCTCATAAAACCACATATATATATATGAGAGATAGTCTTGAATGTGGTGATTGATTTGTGGTGGTGGTCTGGTCTCGTGATTTCTGGTTATGTTTATGTTTATGTTTTCGTTAGAATAAATAGATTCACTTCTTTCATAGTTTCATGTGAAGAATAATAACTAAATCAAGATTAAGTATTGATTACTCCCATTTGTTATACACACACCACACACAAAAAAAGTTCAACCTAATTGTCAAAAAAAGTTCAACACAATAACAAATTTGACGTCATCTCCATTCAACAGAGCGAAAAAAAAAAAAAAAAAAAAAAAAAAAATCGTTTCTAGTGTCCGAAGAAAGAAATAACAAGGTTCTTTTGTTCTTGAATCGAGAATCTCCCTTACCACAATCAATTGTGCACAAGATTGTACAAATATTTGTCTCGCTACACATTTTATACTACACGAGGTTTTTTATTTTTATATATTTAACCTAAAATTTTATAAACTAAAAATTACGTTTTGTTGTTTCCATTAAAATTAGTGAACTTAAAAAAAAGTAATAATAAAAAATTTTCCTCCGAAAAATTATAATCCCTAATATATTAAAAGAGAAAACACTATAAAATAAACCTTTGTCTCATGTGTTATTAACAGAAATGCCATGCTGATGTGTCAACACCAGGTTCACTTTCAAGGTTAGTTTTAATTAAGACAAACATTACTAGACTAATTACATGTTATGCCATTCATATTTGGTTAGAGAATGAAATATATATGATTAATTTAGTCAGAAAAATAATTATTAATGAAAATTATTTTCTTTCAGTTTCCTTATTTGGTAATGACGAAAATTTATTTATTAGTCAATCAATCAGTAAAATATGGAAAGTTTTATTCAATTGTATTATATTAATTGTTTAAAAATTAATTTATTCATCTATCATTTTTGTTTAGCTTTACTTTCAAGAATAAATTATATCATCACATCAAAATATTTAAAAAAGAAAATTAGTTTTTTTCTACATATGCTATGGTTTGAATTTTTAAAAATGAAGCAAATCTCTAAAAATGTTAAATGTCCCACATGATTATATTTTGGGATAATAGTTCAAAAACCTATTATAAAATAGGATCCAAATAATGATCAACCATAATCACAAATAGGAAAGAAAAATTTACCATGTTTGGAAATCTTTAAAATTTCTTTTATTCGATTTAATTTGATTCTTTAATTGAATTAAATAATTAAATCGTATTTTTTAATATTTTGGTTTGATCAAAATTTTAAACGTAATAAATTCTAATAACTTATCATATAAGTTAAATTATTTTAGTTATTTAAAATTGATAAAAACATAAAATATATATGCCATTTTATATTTATCAAAATATAAAATTATTTTAAATGTATTAAAATTTAATATATATGTGGGTTCGGAAAGGGAGAAACTGTTGTTAAAGCAAATGTTAGATTACCACACTGTAAACGATGACAAAAATCAAACCAGGCTAAAAAAATATGCATCACTCAAAATTTCGTCTAATGTAAATTGACATTTTTTTAATTGTCTAACACTCTATGTTCCTAAAATTGTATGTAAATAGACATCTTTTAATAAAATCAAATTGAGAAAATATCACCCCGTGCAAGGCGCGGGTCAAACTCTAGTTTAGAGTATTAGACCTAATAAGATTCTACTACATTGGAGCGACTGAGCGAGTTAGGGTTTTATACAACTAAGGTTTTCTGCATTGAGCCTCTATTTGCTTTCAAGAAAATTCAAAAACCCTAAATTCCCAAATGAAGAAACTCAGGAGGTTGGTCAACCGAAATTTCATCTCGGTGATTCCACCAATGACGTCTACAGAGAAGAAAAAGAAGAGAAAGACAACGAAGAAGAAGAAGAAACCATCGCTTAACCAAAAGAAGAAGAGTCTGTCGTCGCTGCAAGCGACCCTAATTCCTTCCCTTCCCGATGATTTGCTATTGAGCTGCTTCGCACGCGTTTCTAAATTGTACTACACGACACTCTCTCTCGTCTCCAAGAGATTTCGATCTCTCATAGCTTCACCAGAGCTACTCAAGGTCCGGTCTTCTCTAGGCCGCGACAAGACTTGTCTCTATGTCTGTTTCCAGTCCGATCCTGACACTAACCCTCACTGGTTCTCTCTCTGCCCAAAACCTAATCAAACCCTAAATGACGGATCAAGTGAGAATGTTTTGGTTCCAAGCCCAAGTCCAAATTGTGTTCCTGAGCACTGGTCGGGTCAAGTGAGATCTGGTTTCTCTGGTATCTTCAACATTGGTGGACCCATTGACAATTCCAGCGTCTCGTTCTTGGACTGCCCGTCTCACACGTGGCCCAATGCTCCAAAAATGTGGGTGGAGTGCGGCTACTATTTAGAGGTTAATGTCCTTAATAGGAAGATATATGTGGGCAGAAAAAAAAGGTTTAAGGAAAAAAAGGTCTTTATGAATGTGGTTGAAAAAAATGTTTTGGGTTTATCTAATGGTTTGGCTTATAAAGCCAAGGGAGGTCAATGGGAAAGGTTTTGGGGTTGGAAACCGGATTGTGGATGGTTTTCTATGTGTGTGATCGGAAACGTATTGTACCACTACCGTTCTGGAGAGTTAGGATGGTATGACACCAACATGGCAGGAAAATGGATGAAGTTGAAGGGTTTGGAAGGACTGCCTAAGATTGGAAGTTATGATGCTTGTGTTCAGTTGGTAGATTATTTTGGAAAGATGGTGGTTTTATGGAGTGAGCTTTGCGGTGAGAAGAAGATGATTTGGTGTGCGGTAATTGCGCTTGATCATGAGAGGTGTAACGTTGGAGAAATTCATGGGGAGGTTGAGTGGTGTGACGAGGTGCTTACAGTCCCTAGATCATATGAATTGGAGTATGCTCTCGCTGGAATTGACGGGTGAATCACATACAAGAGAGACAGTCTTAAATGTGGTGAATCTTTAGTCATTTTTGTTTTTGTTTTGTAAGCTTAGATTTATCTCAAGGATTCATAACAGTTTGGTCCATATATATGATTTCTTAAATCAAATTTAATTTGGTTTAAATCAGGTTTGTGTTTGATATTTAAATAGTAACCGGAATTTTTGAAACATGTGTGTAACTGGGTTTGTAACTTTCAGTTGGTGGAGAAGCAGAACGATGTCTAAATTTTGTGTAGATATGGTACTAAATGATAGTTCGGAACATTTTTTAAGACAAGCAAAAAATACAACTACAACATTTTCGTTATGGAAAAAAACAAAAAAACACCAATAAATTACAAAGGAACATAGACGTTACTGAAGAGAAAATAGTGGAAGGGAGTTGTAGTGTTCTTTGAGATATTAGTTAGAGAATTTAAGTTTTCACTCAGGAGCCGTAAAAGGCTTGAAATCCTTAAGACTTTGTATGAGTCCTTGCACAGACCCGGCTGCGGCAACAAGGGAGACGAGGAAACAAGCCCAGCTCAAGATTTTAAGCCACGTCCAAGTGAAAGAAAACTTCTTCATCTTTCTCTGAGCAATATGCATCTCAATGGGAAAGTAAACAGTCAAAGGCCAAAACGAAGCTGCTCCAATAAGACCCAAGAAATCGTTGAAAAAAGGAAAGATCATGGCTACAACCGCAGTGACCACAACATATGAAGTCCTCCAAACCAATCTGAAGAAATTGATACCAACTTCACCACAACAAGGGACGTTGATTTTGTATTCTTGTGTGATAAACTTGTTGTTTGGCCAACGTAATGCGCTTTGACTCTCTATAAACTGGAAAATGGGCTGGCAAAAGACCTGGTACGCACCAACAAGATGCACAGCGATGCAAACATTAGCAAAGTCGATTAGCCAGAAAGGCTCATAAAAACCAAAACCGGTTAGGAAGTTTCCAGGTGCATCATTTCCAAAGGCAGCGTAACCCACACAGCCGCATAACATGTAGAAGAATGTCGTTGTGGAGACACCTATAAAGCTTGCTCTTTTCATGGCTTTGTTTTCTGATAGTGAACCTGCTTTCAATGTATCCTGTCATAGTTTTTAAAAAAATGATAAACCAAAAAGACTAAATTTTATGAAATATTTAAAATGCTTATGAAATACATGTAGGACCAATATTAGTGGTGACGACTTGCCTGTATCTCAATGAGTACTGTTGAGTAGGCATAGGCAAACGCAATGTCTCCAATTGCTTGGAACGTTCTCCATACTTTATCGGGACCCGTTACATCAACTCCTACCGTTACTCCTGTTAGTGCCGTTCTTGCGTGCCCACTGTCACCTTTATTTATTTTTCTTCAAAACCATTAGGACTCGCTCTTTAATAACGAAGTTAACTATATGATTGTATAAATGTATAATTATGTACCGGCCACTTTGAAGATGGAAAGACCGACGCCGATAGAGGCGTAAGAAAAGGACATCACAGCCGCTAGAATGGAGAGCCAAGAGAGGTTGTGGAAATTTGGTATTTGGCTAAGAATAATTTGGATGATTGCAAATACGATCATGAAGGGAGTGCTTGAAGTGGAACATTTCACATTATGCCCATTCTTGTGGAAGCAGTTTGACCTCTTTATTGCCCTATTTCAGTGAATCCTTAAATTCGTCAATACAACACTTTGTTTCTTTTATATTTACAAAATTAACAAACAAATTTTTTTTTTTTAAAAAATTCACAAAACAAGTTTTTTAACCAATTCATCTTTATTATATTATTAATTGAGAAGTACATTCTAATGTTTGGATACAAGAATAAGATAAACATCTATTTGGATAGAAGAATAAATGGAAAAAAAATTGTTTGGATATAAGAATAAGAGAAAATCTATTTGGATAGAATAATAAATGGAAAAAAATTGTTTGGATACAAGAATAATAACTTAAAACAAACCGACGGTTTATAAAACTTCCGTTTTTCAACTCTTAAAAAATCTGAAAAAAAAAAATTTACATAATCTATCAATAATACCAAATCAATAGAATATGATCTAATGATATTTGCAAAATTTCCAATAGTAAAAATATGTCTAATTAAATCAAATTGTGGATTTCTGTTCGGATTTTTTTGAAAAATTTTGTTCGGTTTGGGTTCGAGTTTTTTGGATTTAGTTCAGGGTTTCCGGGTTTAGACATATTAAAAAAGTTTGCGTATTTTAAAAAATTTATTAGGGTTTTTAGGCCACGTTCGGGTTTTGGGTGAAAAAGTTTCGAGTTTTTTTTTATTCAGGGTTTTCGGGATTTTTTGGATTTCGGGTTTTCGGGTTTAGCCATATTAAGAAGGTTTGGGTTTTTAAAAATTTTGGTTAGGGTTTTTGGATCGGGCTCGAATTTAGGATTTAGATTTTCTTCACAAAATCACAACGTCACACCGCGCATTTGCGCGGGTCCTCTACTAGTTTATATGGTAATTAAAATAGCATATCTACCCCTCATAACATTTTTTCCTTTCTTACAACTTAAGAAACATGTTTGATAGTAGAGAAAAATGAGGAGTTGAGAAATAATTAAATAGATATGAGAAACATAAGCATATTGTTTTTTAAACAAGGAAAAAAACTTACACCATGCTTATCGACGCTGTGATTGTATAGCCGATTGTTATTCCAATAAGATTCCCGTACTGAGCCAATCCGCATAACATCACTTTTCTTCCTCCTGCTTTTATACACAAGTGTATCTAAATAAGTTGTTATGGTTATGTATCATCAATGAATCAATCCTGAATTATACTAATAAAAAAATTGTCCCATGAAGTCAAGTTGATGTTGTTAGCTAGAAAAGAGAGTTGAAATCTGACTGACCACAACACGACAGTTTCGAAGAGATGTTTATAGGGTAAAGAATTCCTAAAGCTGCCACAACCTTATCCACCATTAAGTCTTTACACTTTCAATTAGTATTTTTTTTTTCAGTTACTTGTTAGATCAAACGTGTCTGTACCACAACATCGTACTTTTGCATTTTATTTTTCTTAGTTAAAGATGTTAAAGTCAAGTAAGAAAATGAAGAATCGGAATAATTGAGAACTGATGTAGGGAAGGGTATCTTTTGATAGAAAGAGGAGAATAATAAGTTGTATGAGAACAAAGACAAGACCCCAAAAGACGATGTTGAAAGCTTGACCTATCACATGGCATGGGAGTATCCAACATGTTAATTTTAAGAGTAACTTCAAAGGATATTATTACGAACTTTTATATATATTTTTGTGAAAGTACATAAAATTTAGTATTTGTTGACATAGCTTTATAATCAATATTATAGACCAAATATCATGAATGAATTATTATTAGCTGTGATTATGTTGTGTGCATTCAACTTTATAAGATAAAAATAAGATAGCAAAAATAAACTCTGTTACGGAGACCAAATATATGGAAATTCTCCTAACATGTTTGTCAAAGACGTAAGATCTTAATTAACGTTAGTTTAAATATGTAAACGAGTCCAACACAACAAGAAAACTTAATAAGAAGATAGATGGAAAAAATGACCTAAGTAAGAGCGGACAACTTCCATGTAGGTATAGTTGCGTTTTCCGGTGACAGGATCTGGAAAACGATAACAGTCGGCAAGCATGGTTGATGTAAAGTATGTGATCAAGGAAAAGGCCATTAGTACGGCGGGTCCTGCCACCCATCCGAGCTGTGCTATTGCCCACGCAAGCGACAACACTCCTGACCCTATCACTGCGGTTATTATGTGTGCACTCCCCGTCATCCATGTCCCTATCCATTTTCATTAACCATACAAAATATATGTTATTAGGTTATAATTGATTTTAACGCTAATACCTAGCATAAACTTAGCTTAACAACAAATAAAAAACAGGATAAAGATATGGCTTCGCTTTAACGAGAACCAAACCAGATCTCTAATCATATTATATGTATAAGAAGTTCATAACGTATATGTTATATAATATGTACAAAGATAAATATTTAGTAACCTGTTCTTTTCTCGCGGCCATCATCGTCAAAATTCTTGCTAATATCGCCACTCTCGTGATCTGTGAGACTCTGTTCAACGAACATGCTCTTTTTCTTCTCCATCTATCGATTCTTTGTTCTTAATTATGATAAAATAGGAAGAAGAGGCTATAGGTAGTGTGTATGGAGTGTGGAGGACTCGTCTCCACTTAAATAGACAAACCAATCCCTTTTTCTATGCCATTTAACTACTCTTTGTTTCTCTTACTTTCACTATTGTCTCATTATTTGTCTGTCTCTGTGATTAATATATTATATTTATGTTTTGAGTCTATGAAATTCAATAATGACGGAAGAAAATGCAAATAGGCTGCTTTAGATCGACTTTAAATAAACAGGACATAGGCTTTAGGACCCATTTGTTTAACGATGACTACTGTAGATTTTATTTTGATTATTTTTTACCGAGAGTGATAAGTTAAGTTATTATTTTCTTTGAAATGGGTGGGAGAATAATTATTGACTCACTACACTATCGGTGGCTCTCCTCCTAAGTCTCTGGATCTTTAATTACAAGGTCCACCACTTCATTTTACCTTTTTTATTGATTCCATATTGTATATCTTAACATTTGTGTTATACTTTTTTCACTATTCAGTCTTTCATATGAGTAGAAAAAACATTTCTTAACATTAAAACCAACAAAAAATATATATATAATTATTGTTGGAATAATACTATACGGGTTCATTTGTTCCAGAATTAAAAACTATACGGGTTCATAGAATCAAAGTGTTTTGTAAGCCATATTAACCTTTGATGGATAAATATAGGACCATAATAGATTTTATGAATCTATATCCATATGGACCAAGTTTAATGATCCATATGGTCGAATCCATACTTTTTTCCATTGAAATTGTTTTTTTTGTCGCCATCCTGAACAAAACTCAAAATAAATGACCCCAAAGACACAATTTTTGGAGGATCCAAAAATTTCACCCCTAGACTAAAACCAATTTTGGTTTGATGATTTTTTTGTTCACCAAAGTAATTGTAGTAAATAAACAAACATCACTGTCTATCAAGAACTTTGTAACTATAACGACAAGAGCGTGTGCCAATAACAGAAGAGGTTTTAGTGGGCAACTAATCTCGTTCGCAGATTTTGCCTTTTGATTTTTCAACCAAATTTGGAGCCAATCAAAGTTTTTTATATTTTTCTATCTTTTATTCCTTTTGAACCATATTGACGGTAGTAGATTTTTCAACGATTCTATTACTGTCAAATATTTTTTCTTCTCACTATGTAATGTAAGACCCAGCTGAGGTGCCTCGTGGTCTGGTGGTAATGGAGCCTTAGCTGAGGTGCCCGCCATCACGAGTTCGAGTCCCCGGTCACCCGGGCTGCCTTAAATGTGGATTGCTGTGGGCCTCGTGGGATTAGTCTTGGGCCTAGAAAGCCTTTGGATCACCCACGGTTATCAAAAAAAAAAAAGGCCACTTTGTGATGTGATGTTATATTACGCTTACGCACATATCACAACAGATTAGTACTGTACCGACTGGGAACCCGTTTTTCTAATTTAATAGCCTTATACAGTAAAACCTCTATAAAACAATAATGTTGGGACTTTGAAATTTTATTATCTTATAGAGTTATTATTTTATCGATAAAACAATAATTATTATTTTATAGAAATATTCTATCAAAAACAAGAAACTTTATAGAAATATATTTTTTCACTTTTTTATTCAAATTTTCCTTATACTTTGTTATTTACATATTTCATGCTCAGAAGTTCAAAATCTAGAAGAAATTATGTCTATGTTCTTAATGGTGAAGATGAAGTTGAAGATGATGAGGAAAGACATGTGCAAGTAGTTAAGCAATTGTGGCTTCGAGAACTCTTCACAACTTTTGGCTGCATGTTGAGAACACACCACAGAAATTGTAGATGCAATAAGAAAAATTCGAGATGAGCTCCAACGGGAATCCAACTTTCAGAAAAGACAAACTACATTGGAGTCATATTTTACTAAATTGTCTTAGATATATATGCCTTAGTTTTATAATTATTATCTTAGCTTATTGTTGGGACTATATTTTTACATAGGAGTTTCAAAAATATTATTGTCTTATCATCTTATCGCATTATGCTATTTTTTACATTGGCCCGAGTTGGGACCGGAGAAAATTATTATCTTATAGTGTTTATTGTTTTATCGAGTATTGTTTTATAGAGGTTCTACTGTATATACTTATTGTTCTTCCACGTACTTAGCAGCTTAGCTCCCAGAATGTCTTATAGTTGCAATGTTCCATTGGATCCGCAGCAGCCATTGATGTACATTTGCTGTTTCTTGGCTATTTGACCTGCCAATTGAACAGGCATACCATTCATGCATGTTACAAGGATGACGTTAAAGCGTTGCTTTTAAACTTAATCAAGTAGCTCACAAATTAGCAAAGCATGAATGCATGATCCATATATATGACTTTGTCTCCTTTGTATTTGCCTTTGTTAATTTAACGTCAACGTGGAGCTTAGCAAAGTCGTGTAATTTATAATTGATTTTTCCGATTCAATGGTAAAGATTTATCATTTCTACATTAAACTCACATTTGAATAAGCCCTTCATTTTTCTCGAAATTTTTCTCACGTGAGACTGAGTAAAAGAAATCTTGAAGTCAATCAATGGCGTCTTCGCCGGAGAATAAGAGTAAAGCAATGACGAATCAACCATCGCGTCCAATGCCTTCGCTTCCAGATGATTTACTATTGAGCTGCTTCGCACGCGTCTCTAGATCACACTACCCAACTCTCTCCCTCGTCTCCAAGAAATTCCAATCTCTCATCGCTTCACCGCAGCTATACAAGATCCGATCCTCTCTAGGCCGCACAGAGAGCTCTCTCTATGTGTGTTTCACGTCCGATCATAACCCTAACCCTAACCCTAACCCTCTCTGGTTCACACTCTGCCTAAAACCTAATCAAAACCTAACAAACAGGAACGTTTTGGTTCCAACCTCAATCCCACATTCTGCTCCTCCGCACTGGTCTGGTCTCATCAGCGGACCTTCAAACGATATCTACAACATCGGCGGACCGATTGACAATGCGCCATCGTCCGGGGAGGCTCGAAGCTTGTGGGTGGATCCAACGATCAGTGTTCTTGATAGAAAGGTATATGTAACAAGAAGAAGCAGTGAAGACAAAGACACACAGACTTGGGAGGAGCCTGATGGTCCTCCAACTTTCTTAAGCTTAGTGGTCAGAGAAAAGTTTTACATTTTTAACGGATTGTCGTCTAATGATTTGGGTTACAAACCGAAAGGATGTCAATGGGAAAGGTTTTGGGGTTGGAAACCTAGTTGGGGATGGTTTTCTTGTTGCGTGATCGACAAGGTACTGTACCGTTACCGTTCAGAATCGTTCAAATGGTATGACGCTAAGGCAGGAGGGTGGAGGAAGTTGAAAGGTTTGAGTGGATTGCCTAAGTTTGTAAGTTACGGTTTTCAGTTGGCCGGTTACGGTGGAAAGCTGGCGGTTTTGTGGGCTGAGCTTGTGTGGAACGGTGGCGATAAAGAGAAGTTGGTTTGGTGTGCGGTGATTGCGCTTGAGCGGTGTGAGAGCGGCGGCGCGGTTTGGGGCAAGGTCGAGTGGTGTGATGTTGTGTGTACTGTCCCCAAAACATATCAACTTGAGTATGCTCTTGATGCTATTGTGTGATGATGATGAGTGTTATTGTGCATACCAAACAAGTTATAATGTTGTCATTTCATTTGTAAAGCTTTGATGGTTCACTACAAGATACACATTTGACTGAAGAGTGTTTTGTGACTTTGTCTTTGTACTGTACACATTTGATTGAAGAGTCTCGCTGTTTCTTTGTGACTCAATGAAGCAAAAACTTTTACTCAGAGATTAGATGTCATCTATGGTTTTTGGCTTGAGGCAATGACTACAAAAACATCATCAAGAGACCATTTTGCAAGCTTAGATTTATCTGAAGAATTAATCACAGCTTGGTCCATACCCTCTAGGCGATAACCGATTATGATTTCATGTCTTTGACGAGCTCTTCTCATACCGTAGAAGCAAACTTCTTCTTGGTCATATACGTAGAACTCTGCAGGTCTTATGCACAACTCGTTACCCTGCAGACAAAAACACAAATGACTCATCACAACAAAATTCACTTTGTACAAAAGCAAAGTTAAGTTAGGGCTCATGTACCTTCTCTGCGAAAAGCTCTTTTAGAACGCGGTTTATTTGTTTGTGCTCTGCGACCATGGCAAGAGCCATGCTAACTAACTCGTTTGATAGCACGTAATCACTGATTCTTGAGACTGATACAAGGTTCTTGGTTCTTGAATCAAGAATCTCACTTATCACAATGGATTTGTCTGAAGCTTGCTGCATTTTACGGATCCAACAGCAACTCGGGAAGCTAGACATCCGTAAAGCAGCGCTTGGCTTTGTATCTTTGTAGGGAAGCCGTTTTGACTGTGGAATCAACACAGACAAATATAAAGCTTCCATTACTAGTCATATATCTTATCTTGTATGTTGAGTTATAAGATCAAGAAACTGAGGCAAAACCTGTATATCTCGAATAAGGAGAAGCGTGGCAAGAGATCGAGAGTCTGAGTGAACAATAGAGTTCTCTAGTGACTGTTCTGCAAGAATCAAGATCTGCAATCTGATTCAGCTAGTCTTCTCAAGCCACATCAACCAGAAACAGAGAGAGGGAAGAAATGCAAGAAAAACTTACGGAATCAAAAGTTTCTAGAGGCAAGCTCTCTAAATGACGCCTGATTACTGCATTCCCTTGCCTGTGAACAAGTTTTATATTCACCAGTTTGGATATATTCAATCCTGCATCTGTCAACTTTTTCTCTCTTTCAAGATCTGGAACCTCATTAAACATCCATAACTCAGATCCAGGCGCAAGCAGAGCTTCAAGAACCTATATAGCAGATGAAAAAAGCTCAAGAAACCAAAACTAACAAAGCCATTGTGTGGAACAGAGTTCTCTTTTGTACCTTGATCATATCGTCAATGTCACGGCGCCATCCACAAAAGAGTATTCTCTCTGGATACTTTGGAAGATCTTGCATCTTCGGAAAACGACACATTCGTACCTACAAGAAGTGAAATACAGTTCTATGTAAAATCTAATGTAATGCAATAGTTTTTGATTTTTGCATAAAGGAAAGCAAAACCTCTGGAAGTGAACCAGGAGCATAAGTGTCATCATCCTCTGCTATGACAAGAACTTCATCTCCTTGTTCAAGAACATAGTCATCACTCGGATTCAAAACTATCTTCCCATCCTTTGCAACCTTAACTCCGCAAGGAACCGCATTGGGGAACGAAACAAGGACATCTCCGAAACGGTAACCATCAAGCTGAGGCCACTTCTTTATGTAGAACTCAGCATTCTCAAAACCCAATATATCCTCCCATATCTGTTAAGAAGAGTTCTTGTTAAATCTTGGACTTGCCCTCATTTAGTTTATCTTGACAAGACTAGACTAACCTGCGCAAGACCAGGTTGAAGCGCGCATTGTATCATCAACCTTCCAATCACATCATGAGCTACAACTGTTTCAATCCGCTCTCCACCAACAAGTTTCACCAACGGCTCATTGTCAAGATCACACATTTCAACCACAACATGCCCCTTCAAACCTTCTTTTACCCCTGTAAGACTGAGCACAACCCTCAAGGCGCGTGCATCGCTCTGTTTTCAAATCATCCTAAACTGATTAAACCCTTGACAAGAAAACAGTAACGCCATGATGGAACCAACAAGAAACTAAACCTGATCAGCATTTTCATCAGATCCTAGTACAATGATAGCTCGAGCATTCGAAACTGAAACCTGGTCAGTACATCAAAAGGCTTCACATCATTGTCAAGAAGATTCAACACCAGCCAAGACTTAAAAAAAAAAAAAAAAAAAAAAAAAAAAAAAAAAAAAACTCTTACCTTCTTCAGATCAGCAAGTATAAGTGGGCTCCCACTTCTACATATAACTGATGTCCCCATCAAATCGAACTCAAATTTGGCAATATCAGTCTCCATCTCTTCCTTGTCTCTCTCCGCTAAAACCACCACAACACCTCCACCAATGCTTTTATTTGCTATTGCAAGCTGCTTCAACAGAGAACCCTACACACACACACACACAAGCTAATATTGTAGCCAAGGGAACACATAAGCATTTTCTTGCAAAATTGGTTTAAAAGGCATACCAATTTATCACTCCATCCAAGAATTAGTATATGATTGCTTTCAAGAACTTCACTTTTCCCTTTCCTCAAAGAATCAACCATCTTTGAGATAGCATCTGAGATGAGTCCAAGCATTGTAGCGAATATCAACATGCCTCCTGCACTGATACCAACAGAGACTATTCTCGGTCCAACACCGATCCTATCAGCGTGGCTTCCCGAATCCGCCACAAAAGTCCATGAAAGCCAAAGAGCTTCATCGACTTCACAGTCGCTGACTGCGTACAACGCTAAGCCACCGTATAGTATAAGAACAACCGTTGCCAAGAGAAGAGCGAGCAGCTTGGCGTATGGATACACTGAAAAGCAAACGTCTAATGAGTAAGCTATTCTTTTCTTCAAGGGGACTTCTTGTTTCTTATGGTTTGTTCGTTTTAGTAGATTCTTGATATAGGAGAGATCGTCAAGATACATGTATAGCAAAAAGGGTAACACAATAGTGATGATCACACTGTATAAAACAACAGCTTTGTTATTAGTTTCTTTTAGCTGTAGAGTTTCATTGTTGTCACTTCCTACATCTCTGCTACTGCTACATCTTGTTAGCAGGATAAAGTTCTCTTCCTGTAACCAAAAAAAGCAAAAGATCTCATTTTGGATTCTTGTAAGAAATAAAAAACAGTTATTGTTCATACATTTGAACTATTGGTTCTTGATCTTGTAAAAAGAAAGTATAAACATACCTCTAATTTTGCAACTTTAGCTCGAAGAAACATGACATAGAGAAAAGAAAATGAACAACTGAATTTGAGCTGCAAAAAGAGTTAAATTGAACATGAGAAAACGCCAAAAATCAAAGCTTTCATTTGTGTTAAATGCCAAAAATCAATGCTTGATAAACCAATTCACTATGCAATTTTGCTTTTTTATTCACCATATCATATTATCAAGAAAGGTAAACGATTCAATGGATACAAAGCTTAAAAACCAAGAATTTAGTCAAAGATTCAGTCATAATTGAAGAGGGCAAAATCCAATATTTATAACATACGCAATGAGTGAGAGAAAAATGAGTCCACAACCGAGTTATCCTTTGACTCGGAGAATGAGTCGACAAAACTTGACTCGGTGTCGCTGCTTCTGGTTTTTTGTCGAAGTTACTGTTATCGCCGTCGCAGCTGTCACCATCGCCGTGGCGGCGGAGATCAGAGGAGAAGTTAGAGACGGAGTCATGTCTGAAAGTGGGAATCACAGGAGTTGTAAATCTCCGATACGAGCCTGTCGGTAACGTTTTGGATCTTTGGAACAGAGACGACCTTTCTGAGCTTCTAGGATTATGATTCGGCATCGGCTAAGAAAGAAGATAATGAAATGGATCATTCACAGTTAAGTAAAGTGGCCATGGAAGAGATCTAGAGAGAGCTTTTTTCTAAGGTTTTCTTCTTCTCTTCACTCTACTGTTTGCTCTCTTTTTATTGCAAAAAAAAAAGTAAGTGGAGGGAGAAAGCTTTTTGATACCCAATTTAGGAAAGATCTTTATTATTTTCGTTTGAAAATGTTATTTCTTAGATCGATTTTTAAAAGTTTACATAAAAATTTGGAAAACAAAAACTTTGCCACATATGTCAAAATTATAGTATTGTCACTTACTTTTGAAGGATTGTATATGAGTTTTTAGATTTCAAGCATATTTGGTGGATGCGTGATTATGAAAATTAATCAAATGATTCAACTAAGAATTTATTATGTAGAAAATGCATGCAAGAACTGAACTTTAAATGCTGTCAAAGTCATCCTCACACAAAATGTAGCATGATATAGAAAGCAGCTAACGTAATTCAAATCTCTCACATTCCACATCCCTAGCAAGAATCATGTAAAGCTTATTTCGGCAAGTTTTGAGCTTCTTTTGCCTCTTTGGCCTCTTTGTCTCTCTTGTCAACCAAACGAATAAGGATCCCATTTGGGCCATAGACACTCAGAACTGCATATATGATAAGGATCTTCCTAAGGTCTTCCTCTCCACTGTGTTCAGGTTCAGCTGCAAAGCCACCAGCACCTGATGATGATGCTTGTTCTCTCGGACCCTATACGACACAACATAATTCAGCATATGCACCACACTTTTCCAAAGTTTCACATGAACGTTTCATTGGAAAGTTTACACTACTTTGAGTTAGGCACTTGTATAAAAGAATTCATACCTTTCGTGCCAACCAGCGAGAAAGAGACTGTAGAGCATTTCTGAGGATTGACATGATGAATGAAGATTGTCCTGTCCATTAAGCAGTAACAAATATCGGTTATTTATTTTTTGGTACACGCCTTGTGAACTATGAGAAAATATCATTGTCTCTAAAGAAAACATTTTAGGCTCCTCAGTTTTACAGTCCACATCTTGACATATCATATTCATTCCATGGAGCTGCATGCAGCCAATAACATAAATGAAAAGGACTAAAAACAGCGAAAGTCATCTTTCAATTGGATAAAAAACCTTCAAAGTGGAAGTCACTTACACTTTAAACCTCGAGAGTTTTTATTTAGCAGTTTAAACCTTCTAACTGAAAATTTTAGCACATATAACCTTCAATCTAACACTTATGTTTGTACCGATAATTTTTTTTTGACAATATTTTCAAACTTAGATAACAAGATAGTATTCTCCGACAATAGTATAATGGTTCTCTAATCAAATCTGCTTGATTTTATGCAATTTGAACCATCAAACTAAAAACTTAGTACATATAACAAGATGTATCATATAGCATAAACAATAGCTAAATGTGAAAACAAAGACAATTATGGTTGGTTTGTATCTTAAAACCAATGTACTATTGTCGGAGAATAATATTTCGGCATTAGAATTAAAAATATGGATGAAACAGTTATAGGTATGAACATAAGTGTTAGATAGAAGGTTATTTGTGTTAAGTTTTTCAACTTGATAGTTTAAAATGCTAGCTAAAAACTCTCGATGTTTAAAGTGTAAGATACTGCCACTTTGAAGGTTTTTAATGCGATTTTTCACACAAATGGTTTTGACGGAAAACAGTTAAAAACAAATTCAATTATTAGAATAGGAATCCATATATTGCTATTTGTATATTAGGAAACTAAGTTAATAGCCCCTAACGGCTACCTTGTATAATCTCCCTTATATATTCATGTTAATACAATGACTCAAGTCAGCGATTCAATCATATCTCAACCTAATAGCAATTGCCCATATTGTTAAACAAATCAATCCAACCACGGAGACATGAACAAACTGAATGTATACTGAAGTTTCGACAAGTAAAATAAATCAACAAAACCTGGATTACGATCAATAGAGGAGCTACTAGCCACACCAAGTCCCTTTTATATAGCTACTCAAATTTGTTTTCGTGCAAATTATGTAGCTAGTCAGCTTAAATTGGAAAAGCTAGATTCTTAGTGTTTGAGAAACCAAAACATAGATTACGATCGTTCAAGCTCGAACAGCAGACATTGTGACGCTTTTATAAAATTCAGCAGACATTAAGGTAAAGAAATGGGAGACATTAAGATCCATCATCAAAAACAAGATAAAGAAATGGGATGAATGATCAATGCAAAAATACAAGGACGCTTATACATTGTGTAATCTAATCGGGAAAGTAGCTAAACCTCGTCAGCGCAAATTTTTTGAATCGTGTAGTTTGTTCGCTCACAGTCTCGCAGATGAATATCACTCACGCTCTTTTTGCACCTCTACCTACTCGTAAGGAGTGAAAAGAATAAAGAGAGATTTGAAATAAGTTAGTTGGGCTTCCTAGGCATCAACAATGGCCCGTATATATTTGTGTTTTGCTTGTGAAATAATAAAACACTAAAACAACACTGTAGTTTGACTAGTTTGTGTTTTTAAACTTGTTAATGAACCTTTGATATCACTAAAAATCTGCTATTTAATGTTTTCAAAAGGTTAAAATAATATATTGAATTTGAAGGTATATTTTATTGAATCCGCTAGCCGATTTTGCTAGTTTATGTACTTCTTGGATAACAATTCTATTGACATACATATAGGAAAATTGATTACCTACATTGAAGATAGCAGTAACATGTCTTTCACTAAGATTGTAATTTCTGAATTACACCAAGCTTGTTTTCTCAGTGATTTAGAAGAGCTCATTTATTTTTATCAAACAAGGTCTTGCAATCTCCCATAATAATGACTTCTTCATATGCCAAATTTATTTTTGTTATTCTCTCTTTAATCGCCATTAGTAATTCCAATGATTCAGCTTCTAGTGGTGTTAATTTTGGCTCAATAGAAGATCTGCCTTGAAGACCTTTTGGCCATCTTTGTTTGAGAGAGACCATGCAATTCCAATTAAAAAAAAAAAAAAAAGTTATGGACCGTAACTGATATGGACCAAACTAAAGTGGCTTAATGTCGGAGTTTGGGTCAGAAGAATGATTGTTCGGGGAGGCTAAATGAGTTCTGTGATCCGGAGAGTCAGAACAATGACACTCTCCTTCTTCCTCCAATCACCACCATTCCCAATTTCTCCCAAACCCATTATCTCTCCAAAACAATCCTCTCTTCATCAATTAACCACATATCGATTCCTCACTGCAAACGCTTCTTTCTCTACCAAATCGATACCAAACATGAATGATTCAGGACCAATATCGTACCTTACGCAGCGAGAAGCCGCCGAGATTGATGAGACCTTGATGGGTCCTCTTGGCTTCTCCGTTGATCAGCTCATGGTCTCTCCATTTTTCCTCTGTTTCTTTTCTCTCTTCTTCTTTGGTTTTTCCTGACTGAATATGCTCCTTCTTCTCATGTTTTTTTTGCAGGAATTGGCTGGTCTTAGCGTCGCAACTTCAATTACTGAGGTAAATTCGCTATTTTTGTTTTTGAATTTGGATTCTAAGGAAGATAGTTAATGTTATATGCTAATTTCCTATAAGAAAGCTCAAAGCTTTTGTTAGAATTAAGAACAGAGTGAAGTAAAACCCCAATAAAAAAAACTTTCTTTGTTGCAGAAGCATAAAAAAACCCAATCAAATCCCTAAAATGTTAAGGAAAGCTCAAAGCTTTTCGTTGGAGTTAAGAAAAGAATTGAAGTAAACTACTAAAACCAGAAAACCGTTCTTCTCTATTGCAGAATCAAACGGACTAAACAGATAGGATATGTATAAAATAAAGCTCAAAACTTTTAACTTTGACAGTGATAAACGTCCAAAGCTCTCTCTAGCACATGTAGTTACAAACTTGTAATGGTGATATGTGTATCAATCTTCATGTTTAGCAGTTACAAACTTTGTTCTTGTTATGTACATTGGGTGTGTGAAGAAGTCTACAATATTTTGTTTTGCAGGTTTATAAACCGGGGGAGTATAACCGGGTTCTAGCAATCTGTGGACCTGGAAACAATGGTGGTGATGGTCTTGTGGCGGCGAGGCATCTTCACCACTTTGGTTATAAACCGTCTATTTGTTATCCTAAACGTACAGCCAAACCACTCTATGCTGGACTTGTCACTCAGGTTTGTAAGCACTGTGTAATTTTTATCAAAATTGTTAGCATTTTCTTTTCTTTTTTGGGTTTTAAATGTTTGTATTTTGCAGTTGGAGTCACTTTCAGTTCCTTTCGTTTCCGTTGATGATCTGCCAGAGGACTTGTCAAAAGACTTTGATGTTATCATAGATGCAGTTTTCGGGTTTTCGTTTCATGGTAACTAACAACTATTCTTCTTTTCATCTCATTAGGTAGTCTTGAATATTGTCATTTGCGTCATGTGTCAACTTTTTTTTTAAGTTCACTGTTTTATGCACATGTAGGTGCTCCAAGGCCTCCTTTTGATGACCTTATACGGAGATTAGTGTCCTTGCAGAACCGCGCAGCCGTTGTCTCTGTAGATATTCCCTCTGGTTGGCATGTTGAAGAAGGAGACATTGAAGGTGGAGGAGTTAAGCCTGATATGTTGGTATATACCTTGGACGAATTGCTTAATTGCTGCACTATTATTTCCTTGAACTACTTTATTAACTGAATCTTGTAACTCTTGTTAGGTATCTTTGACTGCTCCAAAGTTATGTGCAAAGAGGTTTAGTGGCAATCATCACTTTTTAGGTGGTAGGTTTATACCACCTTCTGTTGCAGAGAGATTCAAGCTCGAGCTTCCTAGTTACCCCGGGACGTCCATGTGTGTTAGAATTGGCAAACCTCCAAAAGTTGACATATCTGCTATGAGAGTGAACTATGTCTCTCCGGAATTGCTTGAGGACCAGGTTGAAGTTGATCCTATTTTACAGGTATGGTTTCATTTATTTTCACTTATGCTCCTTTTTAATGGCTTTTGGATTACTCGTTCTCTTAGATTCATTGCTTAGTTGTTGTGGCTGTTCATTCTTCTCTGTGCAGTTCCGTAAATGGTTTGATGAAGCGGTTGCTTCTGGATTGAGAGAAACAAATGCTATGGCTTTGTCTACGACGAACAAGGACAGAAAACCGTAAGTGTGCTTTGATGTTTCAAGAGATTTCACCTCCATGGAACTATATGTTGATGAACAATGTTCGGAAACCTTTTCTCTGTCCATATCCCTTACGAGTTCAGAATTTTCTAGCATGACAGCATTTTAAAGGTTGATCTTTTTTATGCATCTAACTATGATCTCTTTAGTTTGCTACATGATATGCATTGTCTTACTCTTTTTGAAGTAGTTGCAACTTGCAAGTACATATGTTGATGTCTCTGCAAGCGTGAATGGTTTGAGTACAAAATGAGCTGTATCAGGATTTGGCCTTTCTAGTTTCTTTTGCATTATCTTTTCCAATGAGCATGTTTCTGCTGCAGATCATCAAGAATGGTTTTACTTAAAGGATTTGATGAGAATGGATTTGTCTGGTTAGTACATAATCTTTCTTTCTCCTTATCTGCTATGAATTTGGGATTGAAGATCTTTATGTTTACTTGCTTAAATCCGTGAAATGCAGGTTTACGAACTACGAAAGTAAAAAAGGTTCTGATTTAACAGAAAATCCTTGTGCAGCTCTTCTTTTTTACTGGGAAAGTTTGAATCGGCAGGTAAGTGTTAGTGTTTTCATCTTCCTTAGGCAAAGCCAGATACTTCCACCACTGATAAACAAGAATTAGTAATTTGGTTCTCGCTGTACTAAACCAGGTAAGAATTGAAGGACCAGTAGAGAGAATATCTGAAGCAGAATCCGAGAGTTACTATCATAGTCGTCCTAGAGGAAGTCGGATCGGAGCTATTGTTAGCAAGCAGGTAGGTTCCTTTATTCTCTGTTGCAGTTATTAAATGGTTTTCAAGAACTCACCGTTCAACTTTTGGTTTTGTATCAGAGCTCTGTAGTAGCTGGCAGGCATGTTCTATACGACGAGTATGAAGAACTAACCAAAAAATACTCAGATGGGTGAGAGTTTCTAAAATCTTCATTTTTGATCTGCTCTTGTTGAAATCCATGAGTAAATTTGATGATGTTGCTTGCAGAAGTGTGATACCAAAGCCTAAAAACTGGGGAGGATTCAGACTTAAGCCTAACCTTTTCGAGTTTTGGCAGGGACAGCCATCTCGTTTGCATGACAGGTGCACACTGTTATCTTTTGTAGATTAATTAGGCTTAGAAGAAAAGTAGCCGTAGACAATGTTTGCTAATGTATGATCGTGTCATGATTCGCAGGCTGCAGTATTCTCTGCAAGATGTAAACGGGAACCGTTCGTGGGTCATTCATAGATTGGCTCCATGAAGAAGAAGAAGAAGAAGAAGAAATGGCTATTTAGGTTTCATATCAACCACATCCACACTACGTACACAATGAGAATAAGCTATCAAGTATATAGAAGTCTTGTTAGGGATCTTGTTTCCGTTATCCTTTATACTAGGTGGTTGGCCCGCACCTGGTGCGGGCATAACATCTTTAAAATAAGAAATTTATTCAAATATTTAATTATATAAGTAATATAATTTAAGATGATTGACTTTTAAACTTATATACATATACAAAATTAATGTGATAAAATCATTTAAGTTTCATTACGTTTTAGATGAGTTATTTATAAACTATATCAGTCAATTTCATATATTTTGTATTTTTTCAATATTTTATTATGTTTTTTATTTTATTTTAGTACACAAAACCATATCAATTATTTTAAATTTATTATTTGTTTTCTTTAACGACTTTGTATTCTTATTCTTCATAATTTTTATCTTTCCATTTTTCTAAATTTTTGTTGTTGTTATATTCTTCTATTGTTTTTTTTTTCTTATTTCATTTGTTTGTCATAAAAATAAATATATTAGATGAAGAAAGAGGGAAAAAAACCCTAACTTATTCTTTCATAGATCTAGAAAAGATTCTACATTGCGCTTCCATGAACTATTTTGAAAAATTAAAACTAAAAATTTGTATCATTTGAAGAACTATCAAATTATACTCATTAAAAATATCTAAATATTCATACCAAACCAAATGTATTATAAAACTGCTTTATAGTTTATATACTATTTTATTCAATTTCATTAATTCTTGTCTTTCAAATCTTTCATGAGTTTTATCCTACACAAGAACAATATTTGTTATTATACAACTTTCATGTATGCAAAAATCAACTAAACTCCGACGATCTCAATTTTTTTCTTTATTGTCTATGTCACATTCTTCTTTTTCCATTTCTTCCGATTTTTCTTCATATTTTTCTTTTCTTTCTATTATTCTTCTTCCTTGTAGTCTCATTCTTCTTCAATTAGTTAATCGTCTTCGTATCACTTAACTCTCTTTGATTGTTTGATTTTCCGAATTCTTTCTTCTTTCATTGGTAACTTTTCTTTTCTAACTTTTTTATTCTTCTCGTTTTAATTTCCTATTTTTCCAACTTTGACTTCTTATTCTTTATGTTCTTGTTATCTTTTTTTCTCCTTCTTCTTCATTATTTTTGTCAGATCTGTCATTTTTTTCATTTCTAGTGGTTTTTATTCATCTTCTCAGCTTCTTCTTCGTCTTTTCTGTATGCGGTTAATTAATCCTCTTCTTCTTCTCCAACGATCTAAACTTTTTTTTTTCTCTTTTTATCGTCTTTTTCTGATTCATCTTTTTCTTTTCTCTTTCTCTTTTTCATCTTCTCATTCTTGTTTCATCCTTTTCATCTTCTCTAATACTTCCTTATTTTTTTTCTGATTTTTTTTTATTTTATTTTTTTCGATATTTCTTCGTCCTCAAGTATTTTATTTACTTCTTATCACATTCGTCTTCTTCAGCTTCTTATTGATCCGCTTTTTTTTCTAGGTAAATTAACTAAATTGAAGGATAAATAGCAATTGGCTGCTATACATTTTAGCAAATTTTTTATCAAAATCTTAAACCACTGTCAATTTTTCTTCTTCTTCTTCTCCAAATTTCTCATCTTCTTTTTCACTATCTTCTTTTCTTTTACTCCTATTATTATTAGTTCTTGTCTACATCTTGTATTTCAGCTATCAATTCATTCGATACTTTAGCTTTTCAAGGATTTTTGAAATAATTTTCATCTTTGTATAATACATATATTTTAAAAATATTTTAGTTTTGTAATCTTTTGATATTATATTTAATTAATTTGTTTAGTTTTTTCCTATTTGTGAATGTAATTTAGAAAAATAAATATGAATTTATAATCAATGATTTTTAATTATGATATTCTTTCATAATAATTCAAATTTTTAAAAATGCACCAGAAACTAAATCCCACATCCATCAATATAAAGGGGAAATTTCAAAACTACACCTTTTGATGTGCCAATTTTCAAAAATACACCTCTATGGTGCCAATTTTCAAAACTACACTTTTTTCATTGAGTAAAAGAACTCTAAACCCTAAAATATAAATCCAAAACCCCAAAATCTAACATTGAACCCTTAACTCTAAACCCTAAACCCCAAAATCTAAACCCTAATCTAGGATTAGTGAACCCAAACATATATATTAAAATTGGGGAAATGTGTATTTTTGAAAATTTTCACATTATAGGTGTAGTTTTGAAAATTTACACCTTAAGAGGTGTACTTTATAAAATTTCTCCAATATAAACCCTTCACCCTAAACCCAAATCCCACAATGTAACACCACCCCCTCCCTCCCCTAAAAAACCCTACACCCATCACCCTAAACCCAACCCCCTCCTTACAATAAGTATTTTTTTTTTATTGTATTAATCGTTTTTGTTTTTGTGTACTTCTTATTCTTATTTTTGTAACTTTGATGTGTTTTATGTTTGTCTTCTCTTTTTCATTTTTTTTCTACATAATCTTCCTCGTTCGCTTTGAAATGTACAAAAGATTTACCACTTCTTGTTTTCTTCTCCCTCTTATTATTCTCCAATTATCTCATTTTTTCTTCTTTCTTTCAGTTTAATATTTGTATTCTCATCAGCTTTTTCTTCTCCTTCTTCCAATTTTTGTTCTTCAATCTTTTCTTGTATCTCCATATCTTAAAACTCACTATTCTTCTTCTTCTTTCTAATTTTCTTTACATTCTTTTTCCGATTTTTTTTTCTTCCTAAGACCCTGTCTCTCTATCTTTATCATTTTGTCTTCTATGACATAATATTATTCTAATTTTTATATATCTCTTTTTTGTTTTCTTTTCTCCTCACATTCTATTTTTTCTTTTCTTTTTTTTTTCTTTTATCACATATTTGATTTTTCTTCTTCTTTGTCTCCAAATTTCTCATCTTCTTTTTCACTATTGTCTTTTCTTTTACTCGTATATTAGTTCTTGTCTACATCTTGTATTTCAGCTATCAATTCATTCCATACTTTAGATTTTCAAGGATTTGTGGAATAATTCTTATCTTTATATAGTCAAGATCTTTTAAAAATCTATTGGTTTTGTTATCTTTCGATTTTATATTTACTTAGAATTGGTTTAGGTTTTTTCTATTTGTGAATGTAATTTATAAAAATAAATATGAATTTATAATAAATGATTTTTATTATGATATTCTTTCATAATAATTCAAATTTTTAAAAATGCACCAAAAACTAAACCCTACACCCATCAATATAAACTCTTCACCCTAAACTCAAACCCCACAGTGTAACACCAACCCCCTCCCTCCCCTAAAAAACCCTACACCCTACACCCTAAACCCAAACTCCCCCTCCCCTACAATAACTATAATTTTTTTAATTGTATTCATCGTTTTTGTTGTTGTCTACTTTTTATTTTTATTTTTGTAACCTTGATTAGTTTTATGTTTGTCTTCTCTTTTTCATTGTTTCCACATAATCTTCCTCGTTCGCTTTGAAATGTACAAAAGATTTATCACTTCTTGATTTCTTCTCCCTCTTATTATTCTCCAATAATCACATTTTTCTTTTTTCTTTCAGTTTAATATTTGTATTCTCATCATCTTTTTCTTCTCCTTCTTCCATTTTTTATTCTTCAATCTTTTTTCTTGTGTCTCCATATCCTCAAACTCACTATTCTTCTTTTTCTTTCTAATTTTATTTACATTATTTTTCTTGTTTTTTTTCAACCTCCAACCCCCTCTCTATCTTTATCATTTTGTCTTCTATGACATAATTTTATTCTAATTTTTATTTATTTATTCTTTATTTTCTTTTCTCTTCACATTCTATTTTTTCTTTATTTATTTCTTTTTCCACATATTCGATTTTTGTTCTTCTTCTTCTCCAAATTTCGCATCTTCTTTTTCACTATCATTTTTTCTTTTACTCGTATTATTATTAGTTATTGTCATGATTTTTAATTATGATATTGTTTTATAATAATTCAAATTTTTAAAAATACACCAAAAACTATACCCTACACCCATCAATATAAACTCTTCACCTTAAACTCAAACCCCACAATGTAACACCAACCCCTCCCTCCCCTAAAAAACCCAACACCCTAAACCCAAACCCCCCCTACAATAAGTATATTTTTTTTATTGTATTCATCGTTTTTGTTTTTATCTACTTATTATTCTTATTTTTGTAACTTTGATGTGTTTTATGTTTGTCTTCTCTTTTTCATTTTTTTCTACATAATCTTCCTCGTTCGCTTTGAAATGTACAAAAGATTTACCACTTCTTGTTTTCTTCTCCCTCTTATTATTCTCCAATTATCCCATTTTTTCTTCTTTCTTTCAGTTTAATATTTGTATTCTCATCATCTTTTTCTTCTCCTTCTTCTAATTTTTGTTTTTCAATCTTTTCTTGTGTCTCCATATCTTAAAACTCACTATTCTTCTTTTTCTTTCTAATTTTTCTTTATATTCTTTTTCAGGTTTTTTTTCTTCCTCAAACCCCCTCTCCCTATCTTTATCATTTTGTCTTCTATGACATAATATTACTCTAATTTTTATTTATCTCTTCTTTGTTTTCTTTTCTCCTCACATTCTATTTTTTCTTTTTTTCTTTTCTTTTACCACATATTTGATTTTTCTTCTTCTTCGTCTCCAAATTTCTCATCTTCTTTTTCACTATGTTATTTTCTTTTACCCGTATTATTATTAGTTCTTGTCTACATCTTGTATTTCAGCTATCAATTCATTCAATAGTATAGATTTTCAAGGATTTCTGGAATAATTCTTATCTTTATATAGTCAAGATCTTTTAAAAATCTATTAGTTTTGTTATATTTCGATTTTATATTTACTTAATTGGTTTAGTTTTTTTTTCTATTTATGAATGTAATTTAGAAAACAAATATGAATTTATGATAAATGATTTTTAACTATGATATTCTTTCATAATAATTCAAATTTTTAAAAATGCACCAAAAACTAAACCCAACACCCATCAATATAAACTCTTCACCCTAAACCTAAACCCCACAGTGTAACACCAACCCCCTCCCTCCCCTAAAAAACCCTACACCCTAAACCCAAACCCCCCTACCCCCTATAATAAGTATATTTTGTTTATTGTATTCATCGTTTTTGTTTTTGTCTACTTCTTATTATTATTTTTGTAACATTGATCTGTTTTATGTTTGTCTTCTCCTTTTCATTTTTTTCTACATAATCTTCCTCGTTCGCTTTGAAATGTACAAAAGATTAACCACTTCTTGTTTTCTTCTCACTCTTCTTATTCTCCACTTATACCATTTTTTCTTTTTTTTTCTTTCAGTTTAATATTTGTATTCTCATCATCTTTTTCTTCTCCTTCTTCCAATTTTTGTTCTTCAATCTTTTCTTGTGTCTCCATATTCTAAAACTCACTATTCTTCTTTTCCTCTCCATATTTCTCATCTTCTTTTCCATTGACTTTTTTCTTTTACTCGTATTTTTATTAGTTCTTGTGTACGTCTTGTATTCCACCTATCAATTCATCTGATAGTTTAGATTTTCAAAGATTTATGAAATAGTTTTTTTTATATTTATATAGTTGAGATCTTTTAAAAATATTTGTTATCTTTCGATTCTAGATTTGCTTTAATTGGTATAGTCTTTTTTCTATTTGTGAATGTAATTTAGAAAGGTAGATATAAAGTTATAATCAATGATTTATAATTCTGATTTCTATAATAATTCAAAATTTTAAAAATGCACCAAAAACTAAACCCTTCACCCACCAATATAAACCCTACACCCTAAAACCCAAACCCCACATTGTAACATTTTTTCTTTTTTTTCTCTTTCAGTTTAATATTTGTATTCTCATCATCTTTTTCTTCTCCTTCTTCCAATTTTTGTTCTTCAATCTTTTCTTGTGTCTCCATATTCTAAAACTCACTATTCTTCTTTTCCTCTCCATATTTCTCATCTTCTTTTCCATTGACTTTTTTCTTTTACTCGTATTTTTATTAGTTCTTGTGTACGTCTTGTATTCCACCTATCAATTCATCTGATAGTTTAGATTTTCAAGGATTTATGAAATAGTTTTTTTTTTATATTTATATAGTTGAGATCTTTTAAAAATATTTGTTATCTTTCGATTCTAGATTTGCTTTAATTGGTATAGTCTTTTTTCTATTTGTGAATGTAATTTAGAAAGGTAGATATAAAGTTATAATCAATGATTTATAATTACGATTTCTATAATAATTCAAATTTTTAAAATGCACCAAAAACTAAACCCTACACCCACCAATATAAACCCTACACCCTAAAACCCAAACCCCACATTGTAACACCACCCCCCCCCCCAAACGACCCTACACCCTAAACCCAAACCCCACGTTATAACTCTCCCCCTCCCCCAAAACGACCCTACATCCTAGACCGAAACCCCACGTTATAACTCTCCCCTAAACCGCACACCTGAACCCCACATTTTACAAACTGGTTCTGGATTTGCTTAAATTTTTATTTTTCCTTAATTTTTTTTTGTTTATAATCGGTAATGTAGTGTATTCAAATTTTTTAAAATGCAACAAAAATTAAACTTTGCGCCAATCAGTATAAACCATACATCGTGTACCCCAACCCCATTTTTTTTATTTTTTTTACTTCTTTCATATCTTTTTCCTTCATTTTCTACCGTTTTTCCTTATTCTTATCAAAATTTATAATCTCTTTTTCTTTTCCTCTCTCTTCATCGATATCTTTTTATTTCCTGGTTTTTATTCGTTTTCTTCCTTTTATTTACAGTTTGTTTTTCAACTGGCTTTGTGTTCTTATTCTTCATTTTTTATCTTTTTATTTTTCCACTTCTTTATTATTCACATATTCTTCAATTCTTTTCTTCTTTTGTTTTGTTTTTTTGTTCGTTTTTTCTGTCTTCGTCTTCCAACTTTTGTCTTTCCTTATTTTTATTCAAGTTTTCCTTCATCATTTTCTAGTATCACTCTTTTTCTTTTTTGGAACATCTTATTTATCAGTTTCATCTTCCTGTTTATTTTATGTTTTATTTTTTTTCTAGTCTTCGCATATTTCTTTTTCTTCATCTCCTCATATATTTTTGCTATTTTTTTTTCAGTTGTAGTTCTTTCATCTTCTTTATTTTCTTTGTCTTTATCTTCTCGTACTTTACTTTCGTCTTATTTATCCTCCGATTTTCTTCTTTCAAATTTTCCTTATTATGTTATTCTTCTTCATTATATGTGTTTTTTTTATCTAAATCCATCTTTTCGGGTATTATACTTTGCTTCTTCAATCTATGATTGAATCCAAGTTATAAATATAGTTTCACAATCACACACAATCAATAACTCACGAAATATATATTCGTATAACACGTCGATATCCACTTGCTTTCCATTTTGGTGTACCTAAATGTTTCGTCTTTGATAGCTTTCTCAAAATTCTTGTTACATAGCTAAAACGAAAGGGTCAACAAAGATGATCTCAGTTCGTTGGTGGACATGGTTATTTGGCGTCTGCAACTTGCTTTCCAGATCTCCAATTTCTTCGAGTAATGCCTCCTTCTCACCAGTATCAAAATTTGACTTTTTTGGAGTGGTCATCCTCATCAACTGTTTTATTATATCTATTCTTCGTCAATATCAAATTTTGGCAGCAATAAAGAGTGGTTAAGACTAACTCTTTGTTGATTCAATTTTTTCGACTCCTTATCAAGAGACGATAGGTGCGGTTATTTTTTTGGATGCTTCACCTTCACCCCCTTGCCTTTCTTTTACCCGAGAGGATTCTCCATGTCTTTTTCAAATCACTTGTGGGCTCTTCTCACGTTTTCTTGACGTCTCATGACGTGAAATCTTCTTCACATCTTCTTTAGTTTTCTCTCTAACCAAACTATGCTCCCTTTTCTTTCTTAGGTAAGCAACCTTCTTTCTTGCTTGGTATCATCTTTGAACACCACCAACGTCCTTGACGTCTCGTGCATGGATCTCTCTCCATGTCTTCTTCGGTTAACTCTTCAACAGACTTGTGCTCCATTTTTCTCCGAGGTAAGCATCCTCTTTGTGCTCCATTTTTCTCTGAGGTAAGCATCCTCTTTTCTTGCTTGGTGATTTCCTTTGATCACCATCAACGTCCTTGACGTCTCCGCGCATGGATTCTCTCTCCACGTCTTTTTCGGTAACTCTTCAACCGACTTGTGATCCATTTTTCTCCGAGGTAAGCATCCTCATCCTCAACGTCTCATTGACGTTAACGTGACTCTTCTTCACGTCTCCGGTAACTTTGTAACCGTCTCCATGTGTGGATCTCATTATCCACCATGTTCTCCGGCTAGTTTGTGTAACCGTTTTCATACGTGAGTCTCATTATCCACTTTTTCGGTTATTGTGTAACCGCTTCAATGCGACTTTCTCTGTTTCTCTTAAACAGGCGGCTTCTCCATCAAGTTTCAGAACTCTCCTTCCGTAATTCCGATTCCACATTCCGCTTTCTCCATAGCATTTGAGAAGATCTCTTATCTCCTCCAACTTTATTGGAGCCTTCCTCTTTAGGTACCGCATGTGGATACGTTTGTGAAGGTTCATGGTGTCTCTCTCTTGTCACGTCTTTTTTTTCTATTCTTCTTCTTCTTCTCTCTGGTTAGTCTCCATCTTTCTCTTCTTCTTGCAGCAGACTTCTTCTTATTCTTATTGTGCTTAAACAGGCTCCATGACCAACATAAGCTCTGATATTATGTTGAATTTTAGATTACGAAACAGAGTAGGAGTAAGAAGGAGACAAAACAGCGCAAGATTCAGGAAAGGCTTGAGTCCAATAAACCCAATAAGCATTATCTAAGCACAGAGTCACGTAAAACTATTAGCACAACATACCAAACTATTAATATGAAGATTAAATATACCAAAATGGCATAATATAGTACCTTTATGCATATCTTCGTTTTCTTACGACTTGGTATGCGCCCACCGTCACAGCGTCGCGTCGTTGATGTAGAAGATCATAGTTTGCCGTTTGTGTTCTCAAATCAAGGGAAAAGTGATAAAATTTAAGGAGGAAGAGAAAACAAACGATCACGACCTATCATTATTCCTTTGTTGACCAATTAGATTACAGTCGCCATGTCTTTTCAAATAAACATCTACGTTTGCTAGATTATGGCTTCGACGGAGCTTGGTGGCGAAGAGAAAAAAAGACCTATGATTTTGTATACCACATATGGTTTTATATTTATATATAGAGAGATTTAGGTCTAGATTTTAGATTTTTTTTAGTTTTCTATTTTAATGATATGATATATTTGTTTCCTTTTTTATGATTATTATCGTAAAATATTTATAATTAGAAATATAATTAGTAAAATTTAAAAAAGGAAATTATGAATATTTAAAAAAGGATTTTCATTAAGGGTAGCTGGGTAATCAACCAGCTGAGAGTTAACGTGGTGCCTCTAAACGAAATTTTTACTTCGCAAATAATATATTAGATACTAAATCACAAGTCAGTCAACCAATTAAAACGTGACATGTGTCAGGTTTAACTTAAAAAACGCTAATCATCTCCTAACACATTCCACGTCACCATTTAGAGAGAAAACAATTCGATCAAAATAAAAAGAGATATTTGAACATGGGTTGTTAAACAATTAAAATGGTGCATATCAAAGCCCACGTGACTTAAGCCCAATACAAAAATTAAACCCAATTTTTGTGTCGAGAAATCAACGAGGTCAACCGACCACGATTTGCGACATCTCTCCCTGATTTTTCGTTCATATCTTCCCCACGATCTCACCTATATCTGAAGCCATGATCTCAAAATCATGCTACAATCGTAAAATCAGTTTCAATTCTCATCATCTTTTAACAAATCAATATCTTCCCTTCAATTTCGTCAATCCATTTCTGATTTACGACTTCAGTCAGTTTAATAATCTCATTTGTTCTTTCTTATCTCTCTGTTTACGCTCATCGACTTTGCTCAAGGCTCCAACTCACAGGTTTGTTATGCTTTGTCTGTAAATCAAAATGTGTAACTGTTTATCTCTTTTACTAATTGAAACTGATGATTTAATTTTTTTTTTTTTTTTTCAGTTTAATTATGCCATTGATTTGTACTCCTGTTTCTCAACTCAATTCTTCGAAAAAAGAATGGAAGGTTAGAGCTTTTACGTCTCGAGTTTGGGATTTTCATCCGCAATAGTACAAATCAGACTTTATTCTGGGCATGGATGTCATCTTTGTTAATGAAAAGGTACGCTATCAAGTATATACAAGCTTTTTTTTTAGCAAGTCTGTGTAAACATATAATTAGAACTAAGCTTTGATTGCAATGGTTTTGTCTTGCGGATTAAAATCCCAAAAAGAATCCATATTCCTCATTTATGCTATCTCACTCCTCTGTACAGTTTTGTCTCCACGGAGCACCAGATTGCTTCATCAGAACCCGTTTAACAAGGTTCGTGAAAGAGTGGATATGATGGATCTGAATTACTGGAGATTCGAAGACTTCAGAGTAAGAACATCCATAAAGAGAAAGGAATACGAGAAAGATAAAGAAAAATCAGAGAAAGGGCTTTTGATCAAAGGTAAAAACACTTCCAGTAATTCACTATATAGTTTAAAGACATCGTTTCCAACGATAATGAGTACTTTGACACATTTTTTTCCTCTATAATTTCAGTGTTATAGATTTTCTAGAGACGAGGTGAAAGTGTTGAAAGATGACAAGATTGGTGCTGCCATGGGGTGATAGATGATGGGAACAACAGTTCGGTAGAGGCAATGCTAACGTTCAGTTTAGCAAGGAGAGCAACAAACTCAACTCCTACAAACACTCTGGTAATGTATAGTGACAAATGTTTGTTTCTTTATATCTCTGTAGTTTTTTTTGCTGATTGGTGTTAGTCTGTGAGATAGATTGTTGCTTATGAACATAAGTTACTGCTCTTTATCTCCATCGGAATGTAATTGGTGAAATTAATAACTCCATAACTATGTTAGGTAGAAAATGAAATCTGTTTGATGATGAATATGTTTTAAACCACGTGCTTAAAGTTTGGATCTTTTGGCTGTAAATTTCATTGAGATCAACACTTGAGATGATTTTTATATTTGGCTTTAAATATGAAAATACAGCAAAAAAATAAACGGTACTTGGAATCATCTCAACTATACAAATAAATTATCTTTTAGCATATGGGATGATTTGTATTAGCATCTGGCCATTGTGACTAGAGTTTGGATTTTTTGCTGTATTTTCAGGTTTATCAAACAAAAAGATTGAGCCACCTGACCATGAGCAAGGTGTGGTCTTCGGAACCACCAAGACCAAGAAGCAAAACAAACTAAACTCTCTGTTAACAAGTTTGTCCTCAACAAGGAGTTCTCGAGGATGACCAAAGCTATTGAGATCAATGTTTGTTTGGCACTATTAGTTTCATTAGTATTTTGAAGTTATGGTTAAATGTTCTGATGATTTGAAAATATTGGACTTTGTAATATGTTGGCTGTGATGAGAAAGCTAACACGTAAGAAGAGAACTCTGTTGTGGGTATCTCTTCAATGAAATACATTGTTACAACTTACACTTGGCTTCTGATCTAAAATTTCTTAGCTATTGTTAGTTTTAGTGGACTAAAAATTTTAGAGATTGTATGTCCGTGCGTACGCACGGGGGGAATACTAGTTGTTACTAAAATAAAAGTGTTTTTTTTTTTTTTTTTTTTTTTTTTTTGCCAATTTAGCATTTAATAATGTGATTTGTTTGGGGTCTTCTGTTTGATAACCAAAAATATTATATTCTGAAAGATTTGGCTACAAAAAATCTCTTGTACTTAAGCTCCACACTTCTACATGCTTCTTTGTTTCACCTTGAATCAACTTATTTTTCACTTTCGCTTTTCTTAAGACTTTCGTGGAAATATGTTTTAACATCTACTTTGTTATTCAAGTTAACATTACATCATTTGTAAACATAATAATACATTAGAGCACAGTACATATTGATTACATAGTCTGAAAACATAAATAAAATACTGCAGTATGTTACATATAATTAGAATGGCAGAAACAAACTTATTTAAGGATGATTATAAATTTATAACCCATAAGAAAATCTTACTAAGAGTTTTTTTTTCCTAATGTTGAATCTCTAAATATTTAATGCCAAATTAACTAGAAACTAACTATTTTACACATTATGATGTGAAAAACAAAAACATTCGTGATCCCACTTACGGACTGTGGAAAACTGAATGGATCCATGTTCGATCGTTTTCACAACAATCTATGCAAAACAGTCAAGTTTCATTAGTTAGTTTAGCAATCTTAAAATCAACTTCTAAAAGGATTGGATCTAAAATTTTCTTTTAAGTGGTTTGTGGTTTGTGGCTAGGTATTTAGGTTTTGGAAGTTAAAAAGAATTTATTTGACAAATTAACTAGAAAATAACGGTTTTACACATTATGCATAATGTGAAAAACAAAAACGTTCATGATCCGATCCCACTCACGGACAGTTAACTGACTGGCAGAGCCGTCCTTGGGAGCAAGCCAAGCAAGCAGCAGCTTGCGGCCCCGGCCCTAAATATATATTTTATCGGCCCAAAATTAACCAAAAACCTTTAGTAGTCTAGTGGTAACTTCTTATGTAAGTGACTTCCGCTTAAATGCTTTTCGCATGTTTTATTTTTATTTTTTTTATTTTATTTTTTTATTTTATTTTTTAATTCGGCCCAAAAGTTTTTTGGGCTTGCGGCCTATCAAATCTCAGGGACGGCTCTGCTGACTGGATCCATGTTCGAATCGTTTTCACAACAATCTATGCAAAAAAGTCAAGTTTCATTAGTTAGTTTAGCAATATTAAAATCTTCTTCTAAAATGATTGGATCTAAAATTTTCTTCCAAGTGATTTGTGGTTTTAGGTATTAAGTTGGAAGACAAGAAGATTGGCTTTTTCTCATAATTAATGTTTATCTTAAAAGTAGTTTCTGTTTACCTGTTTCTGCATCAATGCGAAACATCAGAAAACCCTCTCGCTTTCGCTCTTCTCATCCCTTCAAGCACCTTTAACAGTTTACAAATTACAATCACTTATGAACAAACACACCTTAGTACTTAAAACCATATCCGAAAGGATTGAGTGTTTTAACTTACCAGACCGTAATTAGAAATCGCCTTTACACCACCAGTTCCTCCACGTAGAGGTTCAAGGCTGCTGTACCTTCCTACACAAGCAATCAAATTCAAGAAAGCAAGATCAAGCACTAGCCTTAAAATAGTTTTGAACAGGAGAGCCAAACACAAGAAACACATACTCTGATACTGCAGACACACCCAAGCTTGCTCCACTTCTGAACAAGAGCGGTCTGAGATACAAGGAGCCTTTTCCCGGAGGAGAGGAAACCTAAAGAAAACAAAGCTTGAGCCTTTAAGACAACTAAATTAAAGATCATGTCGAGGAGCAAAAAGATATGAAAGGACAAGTTTTAACCCAACGTCTGTTTGCAAGAACGGTCTTTCTTCATACGCATTGCGTTTAGCTCTGGACATAGCCTTAGTCATATATGATGGCTTTAAACGTCACAAATCTCTATCAATATGGTCTATCGTCCTTGTTTTGCAGTGTAACATTATGTCGTTAATAACTAGCAAACTTATCTATAGACTATTGTAAGTACTTTTTGTCCAGATTTACATACTATGTTTCTCTAGATTTTCTAATATTATTATTATTTTTAAACTTTTTTCTATGTTCTTTTAAGAATTCATGTGCGTAGATTCTAAAATCTTGACATATACCTTGCATTTAAAAAAAAAAAAAAATAACAACAAATTTCCGCGTGCAACTGAAGTTGAATAGAAGAAGACACACAATATGTAAGGACAAATGCATGTAACCAACTAATTAAGCCAGTGTCTTATTAATTTATTTATTTATATACTATTTGGAGGGAGAGGGAGTGGAGATAGCAAATTGGAAGAATCTTGGCCGTAGGATGAGGAAACAAAATGATATAAAGAATGAAATGATGGAAATATAAAAAAAAAAAAAAAAACATTGGGGTTAAGTGGTTTAATGAGTAGGTAAGATGATCACATCAAATGTTCCACCAATCCCTAATTTAACTCTCTCTTAATCCACCACCACCATGTGTTTTTTGTCACCATCCTCTGTATTATTTCAGTTTTTGGTTTTGTGACCTTTAAGAAATAAATGATGTCTTCTCTTGTCAATTTGAAAAAAATGTAGTCTTTTGGGGACAAAGATGGCTTCTCAAAAGGCAAAAAGGAGAGGCCTTCCTTTGGATAAGAACATTAGTCTCATCTCTCTTCACCACCACAACTTCTCTTAACCGAACCAAACCGAAATCGAATCAGAACTCATAATTTAACAGATTCAAATGAAAATGTCTCAAATTAATTGGAAAATGGGAAAGACAAGAGATAGTCTCATTAGTTTCTCAACAACAACAACTAAAGAGAGCCAAAAGTGCAGCTTATTAGAAACATTGAACCAACTCAGCTGTCTAACTAACACAGATGCTCCCCAAAACATACATCCATTGTTTCACCTAACCAACCAAAAATACAAAAAAAAAAAATAAATAATCATACAACAATCATGCATTATACCTCCAAATGCCCCTCACAACCATCATCATCATCATCAATCATGCAGTGTACAACTGATGCCACCACCATCATCATCATCTTGAGCCTTTCCTACACCCAAAACGCTTCTCTCTTCCTATAAAATTGTTACAAACTTTGGTGCGTCCTTCCTTGGACCATCAAGAGACCGGTACATGTATAAAGTCTCAACATAATCCCTATTGTCATCATCATCATCCGATCCAATCACTTCCACAACCAGATTCGGCATTGCACGCGCAACATCCTTGCAGCATCCCTTAGACAAGCTACACGCCGACATCCAAACGAACCTCATGTTGTAGTACCGATGCATACCGGAGCGTAACGCCACATCCCCGAACGGACTGTCCCTTATCTCTAGCTTCTGCAGTCTAGGGCAACCTTCAAGGACATGCCTCAGGGCCATGTCACTGTCCCCTGCAAAAGCTACTGACAGAGTACGGATCAACTTCCCATACTCACCCATATACCTAAACGCTTGATCCGTAAGCAAACCGGAGACAGCAAGGCGTGTTAGCTTCTTGCAGTTTTTCACAATGGCACCAAACCCTTCGTCCATTGGCTTCCCTGTCACGTGGTCAGGTCTGTGTCGACCCATTATGCAGAGCCTAAACACAGTAAGCTCAGGGCAGTTCTCTGACATGGCTATCACCGCCGCATTCGTCATCCGCTGGCAAAAGTAGAGAATCGATTCTAGCTTCCTACATCCCTCGGAGATTGCTTGGAGGCCTAACTCAGAGACAGGGCCTTCACTGTCTTCCCGGGGATCAAAAGGAAAGATCCGGAGCTCACGTAGCTCCTTGCATGTCGCTGCAACTGCCTGTAGTCCTTCATCACATATCGAATCAAGAGCCTGCATTGTAACAAGATTCAAGATTTATGCATTTACTTACTCATATCTTTCAAGAACAACTGATAACAAGTTCATAGATCAAGAAGGAGTAGTGATGCATACCCAGAAAACCTGGAGCTTATGGCATTTGTGAATGATGGGCTTAAACATGTCAGGAGAGATGTTAGCATAACTGAAGTTGAGGGAGGTGAGATTGGCACAGACCGGAAAGATAGCCGGGAGATACTCCGGCATTAGCTCCCTGAATCCTGACAGACAAACCACAGACTTACAAGCAAGAAACGCAGCGGCGTAATCTGGTTCTTGCTCGCTCTGATGATGAGCCTCATTGTCATGGCTGAACGAGCCTGTGCCAAGGCTCGTTAACTGCGGAGCTCCAAGCAACAGGCGATGCAGCTCCTCGAGAGACACAAACCTGTTGAGCCTGAGTTTCTTCAAGAACGGTGACCTACCAACAAGACCTTCCAAGGCCTTGAAATTGATAGGAGCTTCCACACAATCAAAAGCTAGAGATTCCAAACAAGTCACGTCCTCAGGGAAACAAGATATCCAATCCACTTCATCGTCTGTGACCTCAGACTCGATCAAATCAAGAACTTTAAGCTTTCTGAAAACAAAACTCGAACATTTACTCAAAACTATCATCAAAGCATGACTCAATTCTATCGATGGAATTGAATGAAGCTTTACCTGCACTTGTTGGCAACAATAGCGATGCCACTAGTGCCGAATCCTTCACAGCAAACCAAGATAAGCTCTTTAAATCCAGGAAACGACTCAGCGACGAGTGCGAGATCATCATCAGTGACGAAAATCCGTTTCAAATCGACTTTCTCAAGCCAAGGATAAGCTTTAGCCATGGTGGAAACCCAAGGAGCGAAATTAGCGCCCCAATCGGGAGGCATGAGATTGAAATCAGCAAACCTAGGTTTCCCTTTGAGCACCAGAGACTTGACCCGCTTGAATCGCTGAGTCAGCCTCGCCGGAGAGAGCGCGTAGCAGTTTCCGATGAAGACTTCGGATCGAGTCAAGGCCTCGACTTTCCACCACAATTTGCAGACTAGAGAAGCTGCGTTGCGGTCGCATCTCGAATCGAGGAACTGGAGCACGTTCTCGAGGACGTTCTCGAGGACGTGGTCGGGGAAAGTCTGGGAGGCTGTGGAGGAAGAGATGCAGTTCCTGGATTTGTTCGGCGTGGAATCGACGGCGGAGGAAGAGGAGCAAGGTGGTTCGGGGCGTAGATCTAACGGTGGAGATTCATCCTCAGACATTTCTGTGCGATCTTGTGTCATAGAGGAAGAAGAAGAAGCTTTTTGGTTTTGAGTTTTTCTTGGATTCAGATTAGAGAGGAAGAAGAAGAAGAAGCTTTGGGGGTGTGAGAGAGTGGAGCTTTCTCTCTCCACTTCGTCTCCATTATTTGGGGCTTATTTTCTCCTTTCTATTTTTTGTTGTCTTTTCATATTATACAAAAAATAATATATTATCAACGTTTTTGTTTTTATTTTTATTTTTTTTTACCCAAATGTAACTTTTCTTCTTGCTTTCTACTCTGAGTAGTCTCCATCAGTGTTTACATATTCGTCCTCTTATTTATTTAAATCTCAATTTTAGCAACGTTAACATTTTTTATTAAAAAAATTTTGGAAGAAATCAACATTATCCATTTCTATAGTACAACTACAAATCCATCCCTTTTTGACGTAATAATTTTATAAATTCAACAATCATATTGGTTCATACTTCATAGTTCATACTATACACTTGATCTTTCATATTGTTGTTCTTCCATTGTCTAATATTAACACAATTATCCGATAATTTATTCATGATAGGATTTTATGTTTTGATAAACCAGAAAAGGAAAACTTGGAGACATCAAATCTCATTTTAACTTATGAACAACTACTATGCAAGTTGCAACCAAAGAACTGTAAAGTCAAAACTTTGATCATAATTCAAAACATCCAAACACAGAAACAAACATTACACTAATGTTTCCAAATATTATCAACACTCAACTTATAATAATATCTAGCCAGTTGTAACTAGTCTCCTCACTCAATATGCACACTAGATAGATAGAGTAAGTGTACCTAAAGGGACACAACACTAAGACAAATAAGGTTTTCAAAAGGGTTTGTTCAGACAGGAGGGAAGTACTTGTGGAGTCTGAAAGGAAGAGCATAAAACTCTTCAGTCCTCGGATCATTCTTGAAAGTCCAAAACCTATCCCACCAATGTTTGCCTCTATCTTTCCTGATCGAACCATCTTTCTTGTGAAGCGTTGTGTCCAACAAATAAGCCACACATCCTCCCACAAAGGCCTTTGAAGAGAAAGGCACATTGACCATATCGTTGAACCATCTTGCTCCCGTGTGAACCGGACCATATCCTTTTATGGCTACGTGCTCGTTGAAATACTGTGGAATTGATAGCCCTAAGAAGATCGAGAAGCCAAGAATAAACAGTGTCCTGAAGCTATTCAGGTTGCAGTACTGCAGCAAACTCAATCCTCCAGCACCTAATCAAAACCAAAACAGAGTTGCATAAAAACGTAAACAGGAATTTGCAGATTCTACTATATTGTTGCTTAGAAAACATTTCTTACCAACATACGCAAAGAAGAGGCAATACAAGGCTGCAACGATAGGAGCAGGTATTGATGCAAATACAGCCCCGAACTTCCCTGCAGTAGATTTAATATAAAAAACAATCAAACTAATGCGTTTTCAGACTTCAAATCTTGATTTGAAAAAAGGCTTACCAAGAATTGAGAAAAATATCATAAAGCCTGCTGATATTTGAACAACTCTCCTGCTACCAACTTTTGTAAGTGCAAGCAGACCAGCATTCTCGCTGCATTCACAAACAAGCACCACCACACCATATCAAAACCAACTCATTTAATCGAGTTTTCGGAAAAAAAGGAAAGTGACAAGGCCTTACACAGAAACTGAAGACCCTATGCCAGTTCCAAACAACCCTGAGATTAAAATTGCAACTCCCTAAAACAAGAAGGTACAATGTTAGATAAATGAAAACTTCTTTGCCTCAAGAGAACTTCATTGATGTTATTTGTAAATGAAGGTTATGAAGTGAGTGTTCTTCACCTGCCAACCAACACCGCGGCTGATAACAGAAGGTGGTGGCATCGTGGCACTAGCATATCTTGAAACAGCTATAAAAGCTCCTGTCGACTGTTACCAATGAGTAAAGAGGACAAGATTAAAACCACAGAGCAAGAAGATTCAAAGGAGAAGAAGAGTAACAATAGATTGAGTGTCTTAACCTCAACAAGAGCCACAAAAGAAGCCATCATCATGGCAAAGGCTTCACCAGCATCAAACAATGGTGCTCCCCATTGGAATGGCCATGGAACTCTTATCCTACAAAAATAAGGTAAAACGTGTATCAACGTCAAGTAAAGATGATGACTTTCTTGATAGATATGAATCAACACGAGCCATGGTGTTGTGACTTAATGCCTTCTTACCATGGAGCAGAGCTTATGAGCCCGGAACGATCAGTACGGCAGCTTCTTTGAGTGTTTACTCCATCACCATTATAGGCACCACCAATTGTAAGAAAGAAAGCATAGAGCCACACTATTCCCACAGATAATATGACAGCGTAGCGCGCAAAGACATGTTTTCCTCCCTTGATAACATGTGGCATGTACTGCAGACAGAAAAGAAACATCAAAACATACAGTGTGAGAGAGAGATGATCTTGCTGCAAATTTGCTACCATTTATGTATGATTGTGTAACTACAGTCACCTGTGATATAAGTATAAGAATGATTAGCCCCGGAAGTCCAATCTCGATACACTTAGCAATCTGGTTGAAACAAGAAAGAATCAAGATTCAGATAGTCTTACTGATATATATGAACATTAGTGTTCCTATTTACAGAACAAGATGACTTACACCGGGGAAACCAAGCTCGTACAGGCCAAAACCAACTAATCCAACCAGAGGAGCAGCAGAAAGAGGACTTAAGAACCTGGAACATATTCGATAACATATTCTTAAACCAAGATTTGAGTCTAAATTTAGCTCAAAAGACTGACCTTACAACATTACGCCAAAGTCCACTGAAACCAAGGATTATTTGAAGAGTTGAAGCTACAATAAGAGCACCTTGAGTCGCTCTAATGATCCTCTTAAATCGCTGATTAAATGCATCATCAAAAAGGTTACTTTAGAGTATACACTAACAATCAAGCTAACAAAAAAAAAAAAAAACACAATGGAATAAGGAACAAGTGTGAGTTAAACGAACATCAACTGGATCTGCAACGTCATTGAATCTTCCAGAGAGCATGATTGAGATTGTAACAGGGACAAATGTAAAAGACGCTCCAATGACAGCAGGTAATCTAGTACCAAACGTTGTTTGGAGCAACGTGTTTATTCCAGCTACAAAGAGTATCGTCTGAATCAGCTTTGCCTTCTCTTCCTGCAAAGAATTATAGACTTTCTTAAGTACAATAAAAGACTGATAAAAGGATTATTTGCACAGAAATTTTTAGTAGAGAAGAGACTTACATTTCTTCCTCCCATTTGTGGAACAAGAGCTGATGGAATCAGAACTGTTGTTCCAAGCATTACAATGTAGTGTTGGAATCCAAGCAGAATAGCCTCAGCTGAAATAAAAAATATCTATAAACTCAAATTCTCACATTTGGTACAGAGAAGTTTCGATCAAGAACTACTCAAACACTAATTACCAAATTAGAAACATATTACTAAACATAACAGTGTGATACATGGAAAACAATACATGTTTTGGTTTTGTAGCCATTAAGTTTATTCTCCTATGTTAACAGGAATGATCCTCAAAAAAAAAAAGCTAGTAGATTCTCAAGGTAATAAGAACAATTCTTAAAGAAAAAGTAAGAATCTAATCCTCACGTTTCAACAAAAAGCAAAAAAGTATTGATACCCAAAATCAGACCCACTTTCAGAAAAATGGAAGAATCTAATAAAGTCACACAAGGCTCCAAAACTAGGATATACCAATAATTTTTGAAGAACAAGACAATCGTAGAAGCAGAATTTTTAGGGGAAAATGCAAAGAGAAGCAAACTCACGCCATGGAGGAGGGCTTGTGATGCAGTAAGCGATATCTGGAAGCTGTTCTTTTGGAGGATGAGGCTGTGGCTCAGACGCTTTTGGTGCCGGAGCTGACATCTTCTTTGCTCTGCAACAAAAAACAAGAAAAACCAAAACTTTCATTAACCAAGAAAGTCACTGAAAAGTGAAACCCAAATCCCACAAGAAGCAAAAGTCACAAACTTTAAGCTCAAGAAGCGATGAATGAGGTCAGAGGCGAAACAGAAAACAAGAATCCAGAGGAAAAAAACAAAAAGACTTCTTTTTGAGCTAAACCCACATCACAAAATCACTCAACGAGAAGGAAGAGAATCAATCAAGTACCAAATTTCAACAAAAAAAAGATTAAAGAAAGAAAAAAGAGAGAGATTTTACTTAACAGTGGTTATCAGCAGAAGAAATTCTTAGAAACTTGTGACTTTGAAGAAGAAAGAAACATAAAGAGACTAAACCAAAAGAAGCTTGAAGAAGAAGAAGGGAGTAGAGAGACAGGTGTGCTCTGCACAGTCTATGAGACTCTATGTTTTTCGTTTTTATCTCCGTTACTTGTGCACCGACTGACGTAAGCAAGAAAACAACCCCTTACCTGTCTTCCTCTAAATTAATGTGATTAGTTGCTTCTCCAAATCTTAGAATTAAATGAAGTGTAGTGAAGAATTTTTGACAATGAATGAGTACTTAATTATTTGTTGGGCAATGATGATAGATGTTAGTAGGAAACGTGGCAGCTCCAACCGCTGTTATAAACAACAGCTTCCAAATACAAAAGATGGGCTTTTCTGTTGAAATAAGGCCCATTTAACAATCATTCCATTACCATAGACTCGAAAACTGTTAATTCGTCTTATAAAGTTTTGGCACAAGTGCTAATTAGTGTCCGGACCGGACAATGTTGGTATGATTCCAGTCCAAACCCTTAACATATGCAGTCATGTATGAATTTCAAGTGTAAACTAGACTTCTTGGCCATATTGTGGATTTGTTCACTGCTTGGTTCTGTCCATGTAAGAGATAGCGGATATAGACTTAATACATATCAGATACTTGGTCATCTATATCATGTAGACATTATGACCTATATCAAAGGTTTAATCTATAACTTATCTTGATCGTGGGTCATCTATATTAAAATGTCTTGATCGTTCATGTTAAATCGTTTTCGATCCTTTGAGTGATATTGCTCTCTTCTAGTTATGATAGCTCTTGTGAGGATCCTAGCTTACGTAAAAAACATATATACCCATCAAAATATATACAGTATATGAACTTCACCCTAATATTTTAATATAAAAGACGTAGTTTCTTAAATTTTGTTTTAAAGTACATATATTTTATTACCAAGATCTCTCATATCCTCATACATCACTTTTAGCAATTATTATTTTTCATGCATATTCATAGATTTTATTTAGGTGATGATGATGATGATCTCCAAGACATGTTCAAGGACACTTGGATCCACCTTTGGAGTTTGTCATGTCTCGGTAGCAAGGACATTCATCTTTGTTACCATAAGTGCCTGAAGGAACACAGTTACACTTCTCGCAGCAAATGTTGCAATACTTGAGGCATGCTTCATTTGCGTTCGCCTTTGAACACCTCACGTTGCACTTGCTACCGCATGCTGTTAATGATCAATATTTAACATCACATATAAATTTTTTTTTTATAAAGACACGTATAAAAAATTATATAATACAATTTTGGATAGCTAGATTCAGATGAGTATACTTACACGAATCAGCGCTGGAAAGCATGAAAAATGAAGATGTGATGAGAAGAAAGATTGTGAAAAGTTGTGCGACCACGAGCTTCATCTTAATATTTGGTGAAATTTGTTAAAAAAATAATTCAAAGTTTGTTACTTAAGAATGTTGAATAAAAAACTTAAAGAAAAAAAATGAAGTGATGATTCGTAACTACAAAAACAGAGTTATTTATAGGGAAAATTTTCACTTGATTATTTATTTATTTGTTGACAAAGTTGAAATGCTTGTTATTTGTTAAATAATTTATATAAAATTTACAAATAAAGATACAGATTTCCTACTTGTTAGGCTGTATTCCTTTCATTTTATACATGATAATAACTGTATTCAAAGATTTTTATGAAGTGTAAATTTGTTTCTTATATTAGGTATTTATATTGCCTTACATGACAATTGATAAGAATGCATTTACAAAAAAAAAAAGACAATATGATTGATAAGAATATATGATGGTGATTATGACACAAAATGTTTTAAAAAAAGTTATTTATTAGTAATTTTTTTAGATAAACAAGCTAGAAAGCGAGCCAATAGATTAAATATATTCACATACATAACCATATTATATATTTTTATGAAGTATAGATATGTTTCTTATAGTACATATTTAATATGGTTATATAAGATTAAATATATTCACATTCATAACCATATTATATATTTGTACACGTTTACCAATAAGTAAAATTAAAGGACTTATTTGCGTGATTATGATATGAAAAATGTTAAGTCCTTTAATTTTACTTATTGGTAAACGTGTTCAAAATCCTACACATAAATAGATTGTGTGATCAGAGGGTGTAAGAACTAAGAAGTAAGGACAAGGGTTTAAACATATTCATGTTGTCAATTTGTTGACAATTTTGTCAATTTACAAGTTATAGTTGGTTTAATCACCAATATATAGAAAGAACCTACACGTAGCACGAGCGAGTCCAAAACAAAGTTACGATTAAAGTTAGTTTAATCATATTACAACGGGGAAATTTCAAAAGTACACATTTTGAGGTGCCAATTTTCAAAAGTACACATTTATGGTGTTTATTTTCAAAACTATACTTTTTTCATGGATTAAAAGAACCATAAACCCTAAAATATAACAATGAACCTTTAAATCTAAAGTCTAAACCCCAAAATCTAAACCCTAATCTAAGATTAGTGAACCCAAATATATATATATATATATATATATATATATTAAAATTAAGAAAAAGTGTATTTTTGAAAATTTTCACACCATAAGTGTAGTTTTGAAAATTTGCACCTCAAAAGTATTTCTTAAAATTTCTCTATTACAATTCGATACAAACTGTTGAGTAAACTGTAAAAGAAAATCAATAAATTGGATAAATCCGTATTGCCAGGTCAAGAATAATCTTCGTGAAAGTCGAAATTATACACGTATGTTAAATGGAAACTGAAATGTGAAACCGAACGTTTTTTCGGGAAACATGTATCTTTTTAAATATTAGTTTGGAAACATTTACATATATAAATAACTAGATTAGATCCCGCGTATAAGTGGATTATTTTAAGATTTTTGAAATAAATGGGGAAAATTATTAAACAAAATCTGATTATTTTTAAAAATATGTAGAAATAGAATAGTATTAAAATCCTGTTAACAAATCTCTAAATAGAATAATATTGATAATATTTTTACATGTTATTTAAAACCGACATTTTTATTTTTGAATTCATGATATGAAAAAAAAAATACTTTGTTTTCTTTTTATTTTTATCCAACATAGAAAGACTTACACGCATCTAAATCTGATCGACTAATTAATTTGTAAAACTTTTAATATTCTATTAAAGAGACTTCAATTGATGAAAATATTTTTTTAACATTGTTTTACCTACAAAAAATTGAAAGCTAAACTATTTAAAATTAGAATATCGGTCCATATAAAATTTTCTCTTTAATTTTAACTAGTTGTTTGATAACTGTTTTGTTAGTTTTCTATTTATATTGTTTATCTGGAAATTTTGTTTTTGCCTCGGGCTATTATAATTTTTTCTTTTCATTATTAGTTTTACAATTATTTTCTTAATTGTTTTTGTTTCTGTTATTATATTTTTCAATTTTCTTGTCTTAACACATGTCATCATCTTATCTAATATTAAGCACACGAACGACAAGAATTTTTATTTAGATCCAATTGATCTAGAGTTAAATATTATTCATTGATATCTTGAATTTTCAAAAACTTGATTTTTTTATTTCTTAGTGAGAAAGAAGATTAAACAAAAGATAGAAGTACACAATTAAATCATTAAGGCTACAACTTATTATTTTATTTTTCCTTTCATAATGGGATTATATTTTTTTTCCTATTCTTAATGGATGTAACAAAAAAAACTAATTATTAAATTTCTTTTTTTTTTTGATTTTTGGTTTTCTTTTCCTTTTCATAATGGAAATATGTTTGTCTTTTCATTTTCTTAATAGATGTAATATTTTTTATTTTTTATTGTTTGTTTTATGTTTTTCTGTTTTATCGTTGGTCTCATATAAATATTATTATTTGTTCTTATTCCATGTCACATGTCACAATCATGTGAGTTATAAAAATCATATATGTTACAATCATATTGCACACTTCCAAATTTATATAATAAGATATATAATTATATATATATATTATATTAAATATTAAATAATTTAACTAAAAGATAAATATCATAATGTTCAATGTCAAAATACTAAAAATATTTTCTATTATTATTATGCTCTTTATCAGTCAAAACTATTTTCAATTATCTAATGTTCAAAGTCAATATATAATGTTAAGACTAATTTTATCTAATAAATCAAAATAATTATTTATTTATCTTAAATAATCAAACTAATTAATTAATATGATTTTTTATAATTATTTAATTATTATATTTTCTAAACAATAAGGTGGAAAAACGCATTTCCATCGAGTTTACAAATTGCAAATTTATGAAACGTGGAAAAACGAATTTCAGAGAGTTTCCGAACCGCACATCGGATCGGACGTTAGTTTCCATGAAAAATAGGTTATACATCATTATTAATTTAATACAAATTAGGGTTTAAGGTGGATCTAATAAATATAGAGGTCTTTACAAGCACACACAAAACAATATGTAAAAGAGAAGGTAAAAAACTCTAAGCACTCCATCAATGCTGTCGAAAATCATGAGATCCTCCAAATCTACGTGTACATCCTTGAAGATTCTTCATTTATACTTGTTGAAAGATTCCAGTTTGTCCACACAAAAACTATTTTCCTATATACTCATAGTACCATCCATTAGAAACGATTAGATGATATATGTGACCATTACTATTTGATATGAAAACTCTCACCAATAGAGCAAAAACAAGAAAAAGAGTTGAAGAATATGGAAAACCAAATCATACTTTACGTCAATTTTAGCCACCAATAAAGCCCTAATAAACAAGCCTTTCTTTCTTCCTTAGATAAATATTTATAAAATAAAAAAGAAAAAAAACAGGACGCAAATTCTTGAATGTTTTTGAATGTATCTTCTCAAAGAAAGATGGTCTTTAAAGAAACTTAAGGACCACGTTTCCTTCGGAAGCAGAGGCAGCCTTGCTGCTGGTCCACAGGTATCATCCCTCCTCCTTTGCTCGTATCAATACTCTCCAGCATCGGCACAACCTCGTCCATCTCCGGTCTCTTGTCCGGGTTCGCGTCCCAGCACCGCTTCATCACAGCCGCAAGCGCGCTCGGGCAGCACCTCGGTATGTCAGGTCTCAAGTTCTGCATTGTTTCATAACACCACATTGCATACACATACATCTCCTTTCTGCTATTCAAGAAACTGTAAGACCAGTTATAGTTTTTACCTGGCGAACGACGGCTGAAGTGACTTCAGAGAAGGTTAGGTCAGGGTAAGGCATGTCACAGCAATAGATCTCCCATAAGCAGATCCCGAAACTGTATACGTCGCATTTACGATTATACGGGTTTCCATTAAGAACCTACAAGATCCAAGAAAGAGTATAAAGATTGGATTTGTTTCCAAACTTGATAGATGCTTTCACTTAAACTCAAACTAAGTTACCTCAGGAGCCATGTAGCCAAGTGTACCAGTCTCTCCAGTCATGTCATTAGGGTTTGATGCTTCGACTCTGGCGACTCCGAAATCAGCGATTTTCACAGTTCTTGATTTGTCTAGCAACATGTTCTCTGTCTTCACGTCTCTGTGAACAATCTTCTGAGAATGAAGATAACTCAACCTGTAAAAACAAGATCTCTTTTAAGGTCTTTTTCTTCTCTCTAAGTAAACCAAAAATGAAGAGAATGATGATAATAATACCCTCGAGCGAGGTCAAGAGCGAGCTGAACAACAACTTTGAATGCTAGTTTTCTTCTTCTGTTCTTGATCAAGAAAGATTTCAAAGCACCGCCTTGAAGATACTCAACAACAACACAGCATATGTTGTTTGGCATTGCTAATGGACCACTCTCTGTTTGTAGCTGTAAACCTGATGCTCCCATTGTTGCTCCTATGAACTGCAATTTTTCATTAATCACCCCAAAAATCTAATTATTATTTCATAACAATGAGTGGTAATTGCAACAGTAAAAAATATGAAATTAACCTTAGTGACATTAGGATGATCAAGTTTATGCCAAACAGCAACTTCTTGAGCAAAATCTGCTCTCAACGACACAATCTCAGCTTCTGATCTATGTCCTTCTTCACCCCAATCAAGCAGCTTCACTGCTCATTTTCACCAAACAATGATTAGCTCAATTACAGTTTAACAAAAGCTCCTTTTTCGCTATTATTATTGTTAAAACTAAAATTTAATGTTTTTGAAAAAGAGAGATTGAGACAAGAATAGCTGGAATCACATGAAAGATCCACAAAGCAAGAAACATAAATTATCCAAGTAGGCCTTTTTCAAGTAGCTGAAAAGAAACTTATCAACCCGTGTCGGCTTCACGGAGAGAGATCACAAGAATTGCTTCTACCCACACAAAAGCAACACAAAAAAAAACTAAATTCAACAACAATTAAGCAGAGACTTTCATCTAAAAATCCGAAATTTTGTACATGAATCTGACAGGTTTCAGTGTCTTAATTCGAACCCAAAACTATCTGTTGATGTAAGAGAAACCCAGAAACACAGATTTCATCTGAATGTTGTAAGGAATTAGGAATCGAAGAATCTATTCTAAAAATCGAGACTTTACACTAAATTTCACAGTCACTAAATCACAAAAAGGGAAAAGATTGATTGAGTAAGAGAGAGAGAGGGTAAAACGACGGATGGGTGACTCACCGGCGACATCTTGACCGTCGTAGATACCACGATGAACGGTACCGAATGTGCCACGTGCGAGAACAGTTTTGATGATAAGCTTAGAAGGGTCGATCTCCCACTCCAGTCTCTGCTTCCTCTGCTGCCCTACGAAACCGCCGTTGATTGCGACGGGAGAGGATGAGGCGGAGGCTCCGATGGCGGCGGAATCTTCTTCGTCTCTCTTTCTGTTCTTCTCTAGAGTCAAAGCTCTGCTCAAATGTCTCTCCAGTTGCTCATCTAAGCTCTTTAGATCAATCTGATCTGCTCGAACAAACCCATCGTTTCCTTCCTTCATTTTTCTGGTGAATCTCGAACAAAGTACGAAGCTTTTTCTTGTTGTTGAATTTTTGTCTGTTCGATTTTGGGTTGTGAAGTTCTAAGCTAATCAACGCAGAGAGAAATTGAAAAATAAGAAAAGGGGAAGAAGAGAAGAGACCGCATGTGAGCACATGCTCTTGCCTCGACGGAAATTTGTATTTAGTATTTTTTGTTTCTTTTCTTTTTATTTTCTTTCTATAATATTAATAAGTATATTTGTATTTATTTCCAAAACAGTCTACCTGATGATATACATACACTCCTATCCTAAAATACAGTTGATAAGATATTGACTCAGCTATATAAATATATTTCCTTTTTGGCCTTTTTTTATTTACTGCTATCTTAAAACTACAAAATGGTCAACGAAGAATTGTATGTGTTTCCATTAATCTTACTCGTAAAACTATGTACATATTGACCATTCTTGAATTTATTTTTGGGAGTCACTCTCAAAATTTGACTTATTCAAGACTATAAAGATTGCATTTGGACATGCTTTATTGAAGAGAGCACACCATCTGATTTGTTGTGGAAAATGACTATGACTCTCTCTTCTTAGTTCTTAGTTCTTACCATGATAAGGTCATGGAATCAAACAAAACCCAAAACCCAAAACAAGAATTGGCTCAGCCCAAAATATTCCAATTTAATGGAGAAGACATGGAGAATAGCCCAGAATCGAGCCCAAAATCATTGGGCCTAATCTCAAGACAATTTCTAAATCTGCTCCTGAGAGTAGACTTTTCTTTCATTTTTTTTTTTCCGTAAAATGTAAAGATTTTATACCAATTTTTAATTTTTGACAGAATTACAGAAAAGATAGAAAGACCAAAATCTAAAGACAAACAAATCAAAAGTAAACCGAAACAGATCAAGAAAAAAACAGACAAAGATGAGAAAAACCACGTGCATCATATTGTTTGAACAAAAGCTGTCTTTATACAATTATGATTACGAATATTTTGTCTCCATTTGGCCAGACTTTTTTTAGCTAAATCGTACCAGACTTAAGAATTCCTTTCGTCTAGTCTTTGTTAAATTAGTTGGTCTGTCATCATTAGTCTTTACAATTATCTAGGCCTTCAATTATGAGAACGTGATTAGGCGTGTTACGTGTATTCGATTTAGTCGTCGGAAGTGGGAACGATGCAATAATTTCTCTCTTTTCCCTCCAAGCAAAAGTTTTTATATGGAGTATTTTTTTATTCAAACTTTAAAGTGTTTGATATGAAGCACACAAGCTAATGAAGTTATGATAACAATCTCATGAATGATTATGATAACATTTACAAATCTCATAGATGGCGTATTTCGATAGAATGAATATATATCTAGGTAGTATATATTAATATTATGGACATACAACATTGTAAAACGATCGGACATGTGACTTTCATTCATTTATTCTTGTTGAATTCTTGGGTATATGAAAATGATATGTTGATTCTATTTACAAATCTCATAGATGGCGTATTTCGATAGAATGAATATATATCTAGGTAGTATATATTAATATTATGGACATACAACATTGTAAAACGATCGGACATGTGACTTTCATTCATTTATTCTTGTTGAATTCTTGGGTATATGAAAATGATATGTTTGATTCTACAGTAGAACCTCTATAAAACAATACTCGATAAAACAATAAACACTATAAGACAATAATTTTCTCCGGTCCCAACTCGGGCCAATGTAAAAAATAGCATAATGCGATAAGATGATAAGACAATAATATTTTTGAAACTCCTATGTAAAAATATAGTCCCAACAATAACTAAGATAATAATTATAAAACTAAGGCATATATATCTAAGACAATTTAGTAAAATATGACTCCAATGTAGTTTGTCTTTTCTGAAAGTTGGATTCCCGTTGGAGCTCATCTCGAATTTTTCTTATTGCATCTACAATTTCTGGATGTATTCTCAACTTGCAGCCAAAAGTTGTGAAGAGTTCTCGAAGCCACAATTGCTTAACTACTTGCACATGTCTTTCCTCATCATCTTCAACTTCATCTTCACCATTAAGAACATTAGACATAATTTCTTCTAGATTTTGAACTTCTGAGCATGAAATATGTAAATAACAAAGTATAAGGAAAATTTGAATAAAAAAGTGAAAAAATATATTTCTATAAAGTTTCTTGTTTTTGATAGAATATTTCTATAAAATAATAATTATTGTTTTATCGATAAAATAATAACTTATAAGATAATAAAATTTCAAAGTCAACATTATTGTTTTATACTCCCTCCGTTTCAAATTAGTTGTCGTTTTGGCAAAATGTATCTGCAAATATTTAGACGTATCTGGACGTGTTTTGCATTGCAGATACGTCCAAATATTTGCAGATACGTCCAAATATTTGCAGATACATTTTGCCAAAACGACAACTAATTTGAAACGGATGGAGTAGAGGTTTTACTGTATTACTTCTGGTATATCTTTCCTTCTTCTAGGCAATATATGCATCGCTGTTTCCGTGTAAAATAGTTGGCTTTATATTTACGTAGACTCCACTATCTGAATGAATGCATTGACTTCTTTATTTTAGTTATACACTCTATATATCCGCGTCATAGAAAGTGATGATTTCAACAATATTTGAAGAAATGATAAAAATAACGAAGAAAAATGATTATAAATTGCCACTATTTTGTCTCGATCTTACAAGACTTTGAGACTTTATTTATTTAAGTCTTTGTTAACTAAGTTGGTGGTCCTTCATCATCACACTTATCTAGACCTCAATTGTGAGAACGTGGATAATCTTGCTTCTCTTCTCACTTTTCAGAATCAATACAACAAACACAATAAGTCACTTTCTCTCTCGCTCCCCCTCACCTTCCCTCTGTGTGTACTCTTCCGGCATAAAGTTTTAAGGTAATTTTAGGGATCTCTCACTCTATCTATTTCTGAATTCTGATCATCACCCTCTTATAATTATATAAATATCATTAGTTATTACAAGATAATTTCTCGAGTATTTCGATTTAGGTAATCCTTCTTGTCTTGACTTAAGGCAGATTCCGGAAACATATGTTAAAACATTAGCTTTCAGCGTATATTTTGAGCTGAACAATCTCTTGAGTAATTCGATTTAGGTAGTCCTTCTTGTCTTGTCTTGACTTAAGGCATAATTTTTCTCATAGTTTTAGGTTCTTCTTCTTCTTCTTTTTTCTGTTAACTAATAAAGTTGTGGGATCTGCGGTATGCCTGTATCTATTAAGAGATGGCACTAGATTAGTTTGGTATTTGTTTCAGCCCTTTAACAAAAAAAAGAAAAACTTTGTTATGCTTTACATAGTTGGAATATTATGTTTTTGAATCGTTGTTGTTTATCTTCTGTTCATGATTTATCATGTATTTTTGATAAAACGTAATTTTAAGGTCTTTCTTAATCTTTTCTTAATCTTTTCATGGCTAATTAATAATATGTTACTTCTTTAATTGGTTATATATTATTCTCTCCGTTTCATAAATGAGTGTCATTTAAGCAAAATGAGAATTCAATGTATCTGAATGTATTAAACTTAAAATAACATTTATTATTGTCCCAGATACATCCAATTATTGTCCAAATACATTATATAATGTGATCCATATATTAATATACTATAATATAAATGAAAAAACTCGTCCCATTACCTCTATGCAGACAATTTTTGTTTGCTCTGTTCACCACTACAAGTTATTCCAATGGAGTGGATAAGCAAAAGGAATTCTTAATGTATATATACGTGGTTAAAGTTGACGCAACAATACCAAGTTTATAAAAGTCTTGTAAACCAAAATCTATCATATTTTATATTATTTAATATGATGTCATTGTAGTTCTCTTTATATATTAATGTTTAATGTCTTTATCAAAAAAATATTACTGTTTAATTTAACTAATATCCTATTTTATGATTTTCATCCACAAATGATAAAATAGAGGATGTTAGTTTTCAAAACTTATAAGTAAATGATTGTAACAACAAAAATAGTATTATAATATACTTTTTTAAAGTAAAAAATAAAGGAAATACATTAAAGATGGTACAAATTAAATGGATCAAGTCCGCTAAAAGGTAAAGTTTACCTGGTAAACTAACCTAAATATAAGTCAACTGTTTCATAAAAAAGTTAATCAGACAGCCAATGCTATATATACATATCAACAAATAAAATAAACTAGGTATTCATGAGCGGAGTTATTTGCAATCAATTGATTTTATTTATATTTGTTAATTTAAAATATGGTGGCTTCGTGATAACTTTTGGTCATATTTAGAGTTAATCCAATTACTCATGCTAAAAATATGATCAGTTTTTTTTTTCTTTTATTATGATGTTAATTCCGCACTTCATATCAAATTTTTATCTTTCTAAAATTTAGAATGCTTTACATTGATTCGACATTAGAATTTATAAACATGGTGAAGAATCGCATTTGCACATGAAATATGGTATAAAATAATATATATAATCTTTTACATATTTTCTTTGTTGTCTTGGAGTTGATGATCATTAATTATTTTCTACTATGTTAGTTTTGTGAATATAAATTGTATTTCTGAAACAAACATATCACAATTCTTAAATTTTTTATATTTTTCGTTGCAATGAAATATACATATAATAACTCGAATTAATTTTCTTTTTAAATTGTATTCTATATTTTTTTATAGCTTGTAAATATATTTTAATATTTTTAAATAGGATAATTCTTTTATACAACGCTTTATTAATTCAAAAACTAACAATATATTGTATACTATTTCGATCTATATATTTATTTAGTTCATCTTCATTTTATATTATAATTTTTTTAACTTTTGAATATCAAGTTATTATATAATTTATATTAAATAATTATTTTGTTTGTGTATTTTTATCAATAAAACTGTATTTAATAAATAATTTAAGTACAATTTAATTTTAAAAAACATCAGTATATAGTGGGGCTCACTATTTGCTGATGTGGATAGCTTAAATGGAGAGAGATGTTTATAAGATGATTGTATAAATAAGTCATTGAAAAATATATGTCTACTATTAACATATAAGTAGATAGTTCAAATAAGTTTATTCCGTTAAAAGTACCTACTACTTTGAAGCAATTTAGAAACTAATTGACTGGCCACAATTTAATTAAATTGATCTTAACTCTCATTTGATTGTTTTTTTTTCGGATCTTATAAACTCACTTCTTCTACTTCTTTTGTTAGGGGAATAAACATGAGTTTGTGGTATATCATTGGTGTATTGGTCTTCTTTGCATCTATACTTATTGCAAAGACTATGAGAAAGTCAAAGAAGAATCTACCTCCGGGGCCACCAACATTTCCTATAATTGGCAACTTGCACCAATTGGGATCGCATCCTCATCGTTCAATGTTCGAATTATCCAAAAAGTACGGTTCTCTGATGTCCGTGAAGTTTGGAAGTGTATCTACCGTTGTGGCATCAACATCAGAGGTTGCAAAGGATATATTGAAAACATTCGATATAGATTGTTGTTCTCGTCCTTATTTGACTTATCCTTCAAGGATTACGTACAATCAAAATGATCTCATCTTTGCTCCTTACAACAAATACTGGAGGGAAGTACGAAAGATGACATTCGTTGAACTCTACACCGCGAAAAGGGTACAGTCGTTTCGACATGTAAGAGAAGAAGAAGTTGCATCCTTTGTTGATTTCATCAAGGAATCTGCTTCATTGGAGAACCCTATTAACTTCAACCAGAAGTTATTGAAATTATCAGGAAGTGTGATGTGTAGGGTTGGATTTGGAATAAATCTTAAAGGGAGTGAACTTGAGAACACTTATGATGAAGTCCTTGTAGAAACTACGGAGGTGTTGGCGAGTTTGGCTGCAAGGGATTACTTCCCCGTTATTGGTAGACTCATAGATAGGATTACGGGGTTGCATAGCAAATGTGAGAAAGTCTTTAAGACATTGGATTCGTTTCTTGAGCAAGCTATAAAGCATCACCTAGAAGATGAAGATACTACTAAAGATGATATCATTGACTTGCTACTCAAGATGGAAAGTGGAGAGATTGGACTTGGAGAGTTTCAACTTACTCGCAACCACACTAAGGGGATTCTTGTGGTAAGTAAATAAATAATATAAAAAAAACTTCTCATTTCGAACCACATTATTTCACTAATGTTTTGTTTTATTACTTTTTCAGAATGTTCTTGTTGCTGGAATAGACACTTCTGCTCAAGCTATGGTATGGATGATGGCACATTTGATTGCAAACCCAAGAGTTATGAAGAAAGTGCAAGCGGAGGTGAGAGAAGTGATCCAAGACAAAGACAATATCACAGAAGACGATATAGAACGACTTGAGTATCTCAAGATGGTGATTAAAGAATCTTTTAGGATATCACCTATTGTGCCACTTCTAGTTACAAGAGAGGCTACAAAGGATGTAAAGATTGCTGGTTACGACATTCCTAAGAACACATGGATCCATGTCAACCTTTGGGCTATTCATATGAATCCAAATGATTGGAAAGATCCAGAAGCTTTCATCCCGGAGAGGTTTATGGATAATCAGATTGACTATAAAGGTCAAAACTTTGAGTTGTTGCCTTTTGGTAGCGGAAGGAGAGTGTGCCCTGGTATGGGTATGGGTATGGCTTTGGTACATTTGACTCTTATCAATCTTCTTTACCGTTTTGATTGGAAGCTTCCAGAAGGAATGGAGTCAAAGGATGTTGATCTTGAAGAAACATATGCACTTGTCTGTCCTACGAAGGTACCACTTCAACTTATCCCGGTCCTTACCCAATGGACTTGAGTTTAAGTATGCACTATTCTGCTTTTCTTTTTCCTTTTGATGAACCATGCGAAGTTCCGGACGTTCGGTCTATGATTTTTCCGGAAGATACATGAACTCTTACGTTAAAATAAAAATTGTATTTCAGCTTGTGGTTTATATTTTCGTATAAATCATCTTTGTATGAACGATTTACTTGAAAGATTTGTCTTATACCACTAGCATCAACAAAATGTTTGGGTGATGAGATTTTTCTCCTCGATTAAATTAATATAAAGAAATAAGTTTTCATAGTTCTGCAACAATTTTGACATAATGTGAAAATCTTATACCACGTACTAGCACCAACAAAATGTTTTATCTAATCTATAGTTTTAACCACATCTTATACCAATAGCCATTCAGAGGGGTTTTACAACAAAAGAGTGAATCTAATTGTATAATCTGAAATGGTCATGGATTTTTGTAAAATTTTAATGAAGGAAGTGAATGAAAGGAAAAAACAAAGTACATACAATTTTTTTCAAACTTCCCACACTCTCTAGCCTTTTCCATTTAGGTCCACTTTCATTTTTGTGGCTCAGTGTCTCGAGATTTTAAGACAAAAACCTAACTAAGTAGATCCACGTTCGGTTTTTTAAGGATGATATACTTCAACATATCATGTGATCCATATTTTAGTGATGTCCACTCTTCTCCTTCCCCTCCCCATCCCTATAACCCCAATTCCTTAGCTAAATGTTTCTTCTTGTTTCTTTGTGGGCCGAGTTTGTCCACCCTTCTAGCTTATTTATCACATCTAAGGCTAGCATAACTTATTGATATTCATCACGTGCTTTATATCCATGGCACGTCCAACAAACATATCTCGTGTAATGGTCATAGCAATTTCTCTGGATTTCTATATTCTAGTCTTGTTCGCAATTTTATGGTTCGAGGAAATCAAAGGAGTCAACCGACGTTTCACGTTAGACTAAAGCAAGATCTATACACGTGGCCATGGTAGAATCATTTTCAAGCCGCTTTCATAATTTTGGTATCCTATATTGTACTTATTTGCATGAGTTTATTCTTTGTTAATACTCCGACAAAACCATGCGAGAAAACACGTGCACCATAATCCGAACAACAGGCTGTCGTTATACAAGTTATATTTACCACTATTTTGTCTCGATCTTAAACCAGACTTTGAGATTTTCTTTATTTAAGGTCTTGTTTAAGTGATCTTTGTCTCTCGGTCTATCATCACCTCACTTATCTTGGATGCAACTGAGACGTGAATAATCTCTGCTTCTCTTCTCACTTCTCACCCTCACTTTCACCCTCTGTGTAACTCTTCCGGCATAAAGTTTTAAGGTAACTTTACGGATCACTTACTCTAAGATATTTATGATTATCATTCATTTATGATTAAATATCATTAGTTATTACCAGATAATGTCTCCAGTAATTCGATTTAATTAGGTAAATCTTCTTGTCTTGACGTACGGTAGATTGAATACTCTTCATTGTTTTAGTTATTTTGTTGTTGTTGTTGTTGTGCAACTAATAAAGTTATGGGATCCACTCTATTAAGATATAACACTAGGCTATAATTGGTGATCAAGGAATGAGGGGGAATAAGACAATTCCCCTTCATTCCTTAAAAATTACACATTTATAAAGAATCTGTATTCCATATTATTCCTTACTATTCCATATTAATTAGAAAATTATAGTTTTAAATATTCCTTATAAAATATGAGGAGGAATGAGTTCCATATATTTTATTCCTCTTCATTCCATTTCTTCTCTAGATTAGTTAGGTTTTCTATTTTTGTTACAAGAAGAAAATAGATTACTTTGTTATTGTTTTATATATTTTGAATAATATGAATTTTTCTATCGTTTTTTATTTATTTTCTATTAACAATTTATCATGAGTTTCTTGATATAACGTAATTTCAGGGTTTTTCCTAATCTCTTCATGGTTGATAGTTATCTATGTCACTAAATTTAATTTTTTTTTTATAAAACGATAAAAGGTAAAATGATAAAGAACTACTCCAGGGCCACGGGTATACTCCTTTAAAATTACCTGTTATTACTTTGAGGCAATTAAGAAACTAATTATTATTTTTATTTCACAAATTAATTAAATTTCTAAAACTCTCATTTTTTTGGAACTTATAAACTCCTTTCCTTTTAATTTTTCAGTGTTGCCATTATTTGTTTGGTTTTGGAACTTATAAAATCTCTTCTTCTACTTATTTTGGCAGGGAGTAAAAATGAGTTTGTGGTATATCGTTGGTGCATTGGTCTTCTTTGCATCTATACTTATTGCAAAGAACATGAGAAAGTCAGGGAAGAATCTACCTCCTGGGCCACCAACACTTCCTATAATTGGCAACTTGCACCAATTGGGATCGCATCCTCATCGTTCAATGTTCGAATGGTCCAAACAATACGGTTCTCTAATGTCTCTGAAGTTAGGAAGTGTATCTGCTGTTGTGGCATCAACACCAGAGACAGTAAAGGATGTCTTGAAAACGTTCGATGCATATTGTTGCTCGCGGCCTTATTTGACTTATCCTGCAAGAATCACATACAATCTAAACGACCTCGTCTTTTCTCCTTACAACAAATACTGGAGAGAAGTACGAAAGATGACGGTCGTTGAACTCTACACAGCGAAAAGGGTACAGTCGTTTCGACATGTAAGAGAAGAAGAAGTGGCATCTTTTGTTGATTTCATCAAAGAATGTGCTTCATTGGAGAACCCTATTAACTTCAACCAGATGTTCTTGAAGCTCTCGGTAAGTGTGATATGTAGGGTTGGATTTGGAATAAATCTTAAAGGGAGTAAACTTGAGGACACTTACGACCAAATCATTGTACAAACTACGGAGGTGTTTGGGACTTTTGCAGCGGCGGATTACTTCCCCGTCATTGGTAGAATCATAGATAGGATCACGGGGTTGCATGGCAAATGTGAGAAGGTTTTTAAGGTTATGGATTCGTTTTTTGATCAAGCTATAGAGCATCATCTAGAAGATGAGAGTGTTAAAGATGATATCATTGACTTGCTCCTCAAGATGGAAAAGCAAAAGACTGGACTTGGAGATTTCCAACTTACTCGAAACCACACTAAGGGAATTCTTCAGGTAAGTAAATACCCCTTTGATCTCACTTTAAGTGATTTTAAAGATTTTACACACAAACTAAGAAAAAACACAATTCTAATATATTTTTTTTCTATAAAAACACCATTTATTGTCTAACTAAATACAATTCAAGTAATACTAAAAAAGACTACAGAATATAATTGATCGGAAAAAGAAAAAGAAAAAAAAAATCAAACTAGAATTTAATTTTACGTTGAAAATGTAAATCTTCATTTAATATAAAACAAATATTATTTTGTTAATTTGAACCTTATTGTCTAATATGTTGTTTTGTGATTATTACAGAATGTTCTTATTGCTGGAATAGACACTTCTGCCCAAGCTATGACATGGGTGATGACACATTTGATTGCAAACCCAAGAGTTATGAAGAAAGTGCAAGCAGAGGTAAGAGAAGTGATCCAAAACAAAGAAAATATCGTAGAAGATGATATAGAACGTCTTGAGTATCTCAAAATGGTGATTAAAGAATCGTTTAGGTTATCACCACTTGTCCCACTACTAGTTCCAAGAGTGGCTTCAAAGGATGTTAAGATCGCAGGTTACGACATTCCTAAATACACATGGATCCATGTCAACCTTTATGCTGTTCATATGAATCCAAGTGTTTGGAAAGATCCAGAAGCTTTCATCCCCGAGAGGTTTATGGATAATCAGATTGACTATAAAGGTGGAAACTTTGAGCTGTTGCCATTTGGTAGCGGAAGGAGAATGTGTCCTGGTATGGGTATGGCTATGGCTTTTGTACATTTGACTCTTATCAATCTTCTTTACCGTTTTGATTGGAAGCTTCCGGATGGAATGAAGGCAGAGAACGTTGATCTTGAAGAATCATTTGCACTTGTCTGCCCTAAGAAGGTACCACTTCAACTCGTTCCGGTCCTTACCCAATGGACTTGATTTCACCTTTTTTTTTTGTCAACGTACGACTTTATGTACTATTCTGCGTTGTGTGCGAAGATAAACGACCTCTTCAAATAAAGTATAACACTTGTTTTTGGGCTTGTGGTTTATATTTTCATATAGGACATTTTCGTTTGAACGACTAACTTGCATTGCAAGATTTGTCTCCTCAATTAAAATAAGAATTTATAGTTCAAAATTTAACCATTTTGACGTAATGTGAAAATGTTAATACCCTTCATAGTTCAAAATGTTTGTGTATTAAGTAGTTTTAGCCACATTTTGTAGCATTAAAAACTTAGGCGTCAAAAGAATTAATCTTATTTTATATCAGAAGTGCACTTTTAATGTATGGTGTGGATTATGTATAATGGCTGATATGAAATATTTATAAATTTGAATTTACGCAAAATGGTTCGTTTACTAGTATATACAAATGCAATATGTAATCGCATAAAATAAGTCATTGCATTAATAATTTTTGCATAAAAAAATAGATCATAACCTATGCAATTAGCTATAGACAATTAGCTATAGATCATAATAAGCCTGTGCAATTTCACCACTATTTTTCAGAGCCTAAACGGCTAAACCTAAGACAATAGTATACATGTATTCTTCCTTTTTTTTAGTATTTAAAGTCAAATGAAAACCGGGTCCAACCATGTCTAATGAATAAAAATAAATTGATGTGAGGATTATCGATTGGAACTTGGAGTGGTGGTTAAGTGTATTTGGTTACTTTAAAGTTGCACGAAGCGTGGATTCTTTTGTTGGAGAATCCACGTACCAAACGGTTCCATTATCTGTTGTCCCCACCAAAACATTCACTATTATTTTGGAGACCAATATCAAAAACGTATCCTCTCTCAAATAAAGTATTATACAACTCATGGTGCTCGTCTTTTTATTTTCTTGTGCATTTAATCTCGCATGGTCGTGGTTACATCAACCACAACGTATCAAAACGTCCATATAAATAAACACTATAAAGTGGCGAAAAATATGGGAAATGTTACCGTTTGATCGTAGAAATCTAACAGCATTGTAACAGTAGAAGTGATGCATGTCAATCATGGTTGAATACTTAAACTGGAAGAACATAAAAGATAAATCAAATAGACATCTCATATGTGACTTATGTGAGTTTTTTGTTTAACCACACAAAATGATAAGAATGTTATTTTTATGTGTATATAAAGCAAAGAAATGGTGGATTGTAACATGATTGCTCAGACACAAAGTAAGAGAGAAACGGTGGAAGGTTGTTTTGGGCCCGTCACACACTATTAAGCCATTGAGGGGATTAAGTAATACCTACTTTTAGTTAATCTAAATATTAGATTAACCAAAATGGCATAAAAAACTCTGAAGCGACCAAACTGGATTTATAAGTTTTGTATTCTCAATTAAAATTTGATAAATTTTGTTTTAAAACATAAATAAATAAACCCTAAATCCAAAATCTAAACTCTAAAATAAATATATAAATTCGAAAAACCAAAACTTCTAAACCTTAATTTGGGAAAAATGAACTCAAATATAATATTTTATTTTATATATATGAAATTTATTTAGTGTAAACAAATATTTATACAATTTTTTTTTTTAAATCCGGTTTAGAAATAAAAACTTATAAGTCCATTTTAGTCATCCAAATCCTTTTTAGTCTATGTTATTATATTTTTCGTTATACTAGTATACAGATTATCAATATTATCATACTTCTTTATGTATAATTTAAATGTAGCGTGGTAATATTTAATGGCACTATGTTTGTATGATTTTGGGGAACCGTATCTCTTTTATCTGTACATCAAAGATTTGATTCAGGTTACTAAATCATGGGTCTTAATTACATCTATCAATGTATTACTAGCCAGTGCCATTTCCTGACGAAAGAGAACATGTCCATTTCTTTTTGGGGATTAATCTGTTTTAAATAATTTTGATATCGACTTTTATGATTAATTCATCTACAGTTTGGTAATTGACGAACTTGGTAATCCTAGTGATGCAGGTTGTTCAAACCGGTTTTTGTTGATGGTTATAATGAAAGAATCCTATGAATATGCAAAATAATGATATTTTTTTATGTAAACGGAATTGGATGAGGCAGAAAAAGGTAAAAAGCGAAAGTAGAAACAAAAAAATGATTCGAGGTTTGAACGGTCAAGAGCCTTATTGAGGAATATGATTGAATCTTCTTCTTCACATTGGATACTTCTTTCACCATCTTTTCTTTCTTAAAATGGATGAAACCAACAAAGCAAAAACACATACAACACTTAGAATGCAACAAAAGGTTGATTAGTCTATTTTATAATATTAGCAACTAGTAGAGGACCGCACAAACGGTCGACGTTGCAGTTTTGTGACTATAGATTCTCCTTATTAACGTTGACGTTGAGGACCCGAGCCCGACCCAAAACCCTAACCAAAATTTTTAAAAACCCAAACCTTTTTAATATGTTTAAACCCGAAAACGCGAAATCCAAAAAATCCCAAAAACCCTAAACCAAATAAAAAAAACTCGAAACTTTTTCACCCGAAACCTGAAGCCGACCTAAAAACCCTAATAAAAATTAAAATACCCAAAAAAATTTAATATGTATAAACCCGAAAACCCGAAATCCAAAAAATCTGGAAACCCCTAAATTAAACCCAAACAGAACAGAATTTAAAAAAAAAAAAAAAAAACCGAACAGAAATCCACAGTTTGATTTAAATTAGGTGTATTTCTATTTCACTATTGGAAATTTTGCAAATGTCATTCAATCATATTCTATTGATTTGGTATTATCGATAGATAGATTATGTTAATTTATTTTTTTTTGCAGATTTTTTAAGAGCTGGAAAATGGAGTTTTCTAAACCATCAGTTTGTTTTAAGTTATTATTTTTGTATCCAAACAATTTTTTTTCCATATATTCTTCTTTCCAAATAGATTTTTCTCTTATTCTTGTATCCACACATTATAATGTACTTTTTTTCCATTTATTCTTATATCCAAATGGATGTTTCTCTTATTCTTATATCCAAACATTACAATGAAGTGCTTGAAAGAGCAGTGTTGATTTTAAAGGGAGATAAGTATTGTATGTACTTCGTAATGTTGTTGTGGCATCATCAGTTGGACTTGTTGTGCTTCACTACAACAAATATAGGTATTGATAGCAGACGACGATAGCATAATTTTCGTAACTGCTATTAAAAGTGAAATTGGGTTTAAATTCACCTTTTTATAGCATTTTCCGAATGCTATGCCTAAAAAATAAAAAGCGGCAAAACAAAATTCGCTAATCCGCCCTTTTTATCTCATGGACGTGAACACTTAGAAAAAAAACATGTTTTGGCGGTCATTGGAGCAAGAAATACTATTGATAGCATTAAAAAACAATTGAATTAAAAAAAAAGAGACACTTCGTTTTCTGGGTACCTTCTTTTTATTTCACAAAACATAATCGCTTTAAAAGAAGAAAACAAATCTTCTTCTCCTCTACAATAAAAAAAAAATTCCTCTCGTCAAAAAATAGTAATTCTCTTTTCATCAATCTCCGATCTCGCAGATCTGATTTCAACTCTTCTTCCTTTCCTTGTTCCGTGTAATTGTGTTGTCGTGTTGATTGCAGGAAGAAAGAGGGCAACTCGGAGAGAGGCAGATGAAGCTAGCGGAATATGTCGCCGAAACTAGGAAAGTCGCTATGGGTGATTTAGGGTTCCGTTCGATTTGGGGTTTTTCTCTCTGTTTCAATCAGTTATCCCCTGAGTCAAACAATCTTGCTATTCCTTCTTCGAATTCTGTGAGTTTCTACTCTTCTTTTCTCAGATTGGAATCAATCTATGTTCTTGTTTATTTGATTTTTTTTTTTGGGGTAGAAATTCTACAAAGCTTATTGTTCTGCCGAGTTCGTATGACGATTCTCTTAGCTTCAAAACGTTTGGGGGTTTAGGCATTCTATTTGCTAGAACTGAGTTAATTTCTGCTTCCAGTTTTCTGATGCTGAAGAGTATTATTTTAATGGCTAGATTTTTGATTGATGTCTGAGATTTGGGTTGTGTTTGATGCTTTTTCAGGACTTTCGAGTACTCTATTGTCGGTAAAATCTAACCTTGAATTTGTTTTACAGAGCCACCGGAGCTTACGAATTGGTTTTCACAGTTAATTCTTTGAATAGTTCACATTGATTTCTTCAGTAAAAGAACATGAAAGTAAATGGAGTTTCTGTTGGAGAGGACAAAGCGAACTGAATGGATATCAAATCTCCAGAGAAGGTTGTCTCAAATAGATATTAATTCATAAGCCTATGAACAAGAGAATGATTAAGGTAGTAATATCTCACCATTGATTCACAATTGCAGGTTTTGGGCTATTTGATTTGTTAGAACCATATGTAATTCTTATACTTTTGTGCAGATTTAAGATACTTATATGCAATTCCAACAGCGTAAGGAGCTACATGTAAGCTTTTTCTACTTTCTTGAATTGAAATCCTTTTTGTTTGATTTGAAAATCCTCATCGGGTAGTGTTGATTTGATGATGGAGGAAGAAGGAGCTAAGGACAATTTTAACTCTTTTTATACCAACGAGAATCCTAAAGTATGTGATTTGGATTTGGTTTCTCTCTACTAAAGTCTTTTATTAGTTGTCTATCATGCTTAATGGTCTACTAAATCTTCAGATATCTGATGATGAGAAAGAGTCTTCTCAGCCCCATTCTATTAGCCAGACTGTTAGCTCAAAACCTGGATCTCTTCCCCAATCTTCAGATATGATTCATCTAAAATAGGTACTTTTTTGTGTTTGAGGTTAGTTCCATTGCAAAGTAGATTGAGTGATGTATCAAGTTCTAGGTTAGACTAAGCATCTTGTCATATATAAGTAGCTCTGAAATTTATGCCAAAGAACAAATAAGATTCGTATGACATATATTATCTGGATTTCTTGACATTTCGTTGGTTGGTTGCGTGTGATATATATTCCTCATTTTTTCAGTAACTGAGGATGTATATTCCTAAGTAGATGAAATAAATCTGTTGATGATGAAAGTAAGTAGAGAAATTGACTCGAGTTTTACTGCAGGATGATAGTATCGTTTTTACTCTTATACACAACTTGATCTCACCTTGTTAAACAGAGTCTTGTAAAGTATTGTTCTAATCATATTTTTGTATATCTAAAATCTCAGAAGAGCTAAATCCCTTGTTAGTTTGAATCATCGCGGTGTTTGTTCTTCATGTTCTTATTTGCTGAAATATCTCAGTCTCATTGTCTTTTAATTTTTTTTGAAGGAAGAGATGGCACCGAGGAAGCTCATATCTGTTGGGATTTGCTTTGTTTGGGAATTAAGACAGTACAAATATGTTCCCTTTGCAGATTAAACTTAAGTACTATGTTGTAATGTTTCTTTGACTCTGAATTTTTCTACTATGCATTAAATTTTTAACTATATCAATCATCTTCTCAGTTTCTATTTCAGTTTCAGCATGTCGATTTCTAAAACCATATTCACGAATATATACTTTTTATATGGCAAAATTATTCAGCCATTGTTTGGCTAACTTGTAGCATAATGTATGAGCTACAATGCATATAATAACAGCGGGAATGTAACGCCACAAAAGAGTTTGAAATAGCGCACAAAATAAGCTACAAGAATTATTGATATAGCACGAAACAGTCGCTACTACAAATATTACTATAACAATAACAGAGCGCTGTAAAACTGTAAACCATAACATCATATTTGTGCCATCTTTAACGAAACAACGACATTTGTAAACCGCTATTGTAGAGTAGGGCTACGATAGCACCTGACCAGAAACGCTATCATAGGTGGGTACTCTATTATAGCGTCGGAGATGATAGCGTTTATACAAGCGCTATCTAACCCATATGATAGCGTTTTCCGTCTGCTATCAATACCCATATTTGTTGTAGTGCTTGTTGGAGGAGTAAAGACAACTTGAAAGTGTTTGTAAGAATTTATGTAAGGGTCTATGGTTATCTAAAACATATTCCGTGTTCTCGCTTATGTTTTTGTAAGACTTTTGTATTTGATGTCTTTGTTTGGGATTTTGTAAGACTTTTGGTTTCTTTTGCTTCAGATCTTAAAAATATTTGGTATTTTCATTAAAAAAAAATAAAAAAAAAATAAAATAAAATAAAATAAAATGTACTTCTCAATTAATAATATAATAAAGATTTACCATTAGCAATTTTTTTCAGTTAATGTCAGTTAATTTACCATTAGCAATTTTTCGACTGTCTAATTTATTATTTGATAACAAATGATGAGCATAATTAAAACAAATTCTTCAACATAAATGTGTATATGTGTATTATTTAAAATAAAAAAAAACTATTTCAAAAAAAGAAGGAAAGCTTATTGGATTTGGTTAACTCTGTGTCAGTGTGACATCATTATCCTCCGTAGACTTAACACACGCACGCACGAATCTTTCTTCTGACCAATGTTTATTTTTGTTTTTTTTTCTCCTTCTTATATATCTTCTTCTTCGCCATCAACCTCTCCTCCGTTCTCCCTCGTTAGACCTTCAATTAGCTCATCCTTTTCTCCTCTGCATTTCACTTCCGTAAGTTTCCTCTTTTTTCATGATTATTTTGATATACAACTTATTATCTCTGTAATTATTCTTACGATTTAATGCATTGTGCGTGTTATTTTCTAGTTTGCATTGTTTTGTTAACATTTGAGTTGAAATGACATATATAAAATAATAATGGAACTACATATGGTTACTTGGCTCTTTTATGTTTTTGGCTTTGATGTTATGTATCTTGCAGGCTGAATATTTCCGTCAATTATTGAAGCAGGTCACATAGAGTATTTCGGTGTCTAGTGTTCTTATTTTAAGGCCTTAGTAGCTAGTTTCTTCTCTATTCTTATTGTGTTCTTGAAGGAAAGGAAATAAGCTATTGTTGTTACTGTTTTTTGATAAAGAGCTATTGTTGTTATTGTGAACTAAACAACGTTTTAATTGGTAAGTTCAAGTCTTTTTTGAATCATAATTTTCTTTCTCCCTTTCTTAAAGTAGCTGATTTTTTAGAACTTGACGATGTTCACTTTTTTTGTTTTGGACAGTTGATCTGTTTACTGTTGTATGGGACAAGGTCGTTGGTTGTGGTTTCCCTATTAGCTTTGGACCCAAACTTAATGTCTAAAGCTTGCGGTGGTACTACGGACATGTTTTCTACTCTTGGGTCTAATCCAGATTCTGTACAGTTGCCTCATTCCTATTTTGATGGCTCTCATGGTTGGTTTCACTCGCAGCAGTTCTTGCCTCTTCAAAAGCCATGTATATTGAAGATGCCTCCTCTCGCCGGCTTTTTAAGAAATCAAGTAGACAGTGTCATATCAAAAGCGGAGGGCGAATGTAGTAAAAAAAGGTTCCTAGTGTTTGACCAATCAGGAGATCAGACGAACCTTGTGCTCACCTCCGACATCCTTAAATCTTTTGGGAGCCTAAAACAGCATAATATAAAGGAAGATCTCCAAAGAAGCAAGCAAGACTTGGCTATTTTTCAAGAAATGATGGGAATTAGCGAACCATATTGGCATAGTGAGAAACAAGAAGATACAAACGAACTAAATGCACTGCTTTACTCTGAAGACGAGAGTGATTGTTCTTCTAATGAAGATGAGGTTACAAGCTCAGGATATTCCCCAAGCACTATGTCAGTCCATGGGGATCAAGAAACATTTGTTGATGAAAGCCATGCAAAAAAGAGAAAGGTGCTTGAGAAGAGCTGTGTCTATGGTTATGATGTTGAATCGAGCTGTGGGTTTCTAAAACGTTCTAAGCCGTCTAGCAACAAAATAGGAGAAGAGGAGATTTTTGAGGCACTAAACCTCTTGCGTAGTATAATCCCTGGGGAGGAACTGATGGACCCTATCTTAGTCATCGATAGAGCCATTGATTATCTGAAATCATTGAAGGTGGAAGCTGAAAACGGAGGACATAGGTCTCTTTGTCTGCAAGATACCTAAGAAATTAGCAATGACAAGATGCACTTGTTTGCTGTATAAAGAAGTATTCATATACTCACAAAAAAAAAAAAAATATTCATGTTGGATAGAATCTTGTCACCCTACAAAGAGATCATCTTCATCCTTGTAAGATAAACAAAAAGTTGTCTTGACTTTGGTTAAAGATGATACATACTACTCAGAAAAAAAAAGTTACAGGAGTCATAATATATATTTAAAGATATATACCTCTAAATTAATCAATTTCAAAAGAATAAGAAGGAAAAAAAATCACATTTACAGGCGTCAGATGTTCAGGGGGTTAATGTCCACTAATCTACCAACTGAGCCAATTATAACAATAGGTTTAACGATCTATTTTCCTTGAGAAGTTTCAGATAACATCATCAAAACCATGTAAAGTTTGGCTTTCGTTTCAGAATTTTCTATGTTCAAAGTTAAATATCATTTTTTCCCATTTTGGTATTTAACTTTTAAGAAGATCTGGCAAAACTTCATATAGTTTTAGTACCATGTAAAATTTCTCAAGGAATATAGATAGTTAATCCTATATATTGTAATATATTTCATCACATCATATGTAATATTAAATTATTAATTCTTCATAATAATTCACAGAGTAATTAAAATATTGAAGTAGTGAATTCTCACAGTTTGTAATTTTTGAATTCAAGCAATACCAGACAAAAGAAAGCAAAAATAAATTGTTTCATGTACTTTTTCTTTTAAAATTTTATGCTGTAATACAAAAATGAAAAATCCTTGTGAATAACCCCGCGAGTAGCGTGGAAAAGCTATAAAGTAAAGAACCAAAATAAAATAAAATAAAATAAAGCTGACAAAACTATAATGTTCGTCTGGGAACACACACTATCCAGAAACGAAACATCTTTTGTGAGAAAGATCACACCACCAACCTAAAATCTTCAATTCATCTTTTTTTTGCTATCACACTTCCACCTTGATTTGTAAGCCGTCGTTACAATTCTGGGTTTACCTCAATTTTCGTCTTTTGTAATCATTTATTCGCTAGCGAGAGAGAGAGAGAGCACTTCGTTTTGGCGACATCTGAAAAAATGAAATGAATCGCCGAAGAAATTTCCAGGATCTTTCAATTCCTCGGAGGGTAGCGAAGAGTGTCTGATCTGTTCGCCGATTCTCATGGCGAGACGGGTCTACGAAGCCTGGAAAGGAAGTAATGTAAGGGTTTTTTTCATCTCATGAAAGTTTTGATTTTGTTTACTTTTCTCGAGTATTCTGTTTCTTTGTCAACAAATCTATATTTAGAGTTTCTTAAAGGCCACATTGTAGTGTGTTGTAGTATAATCTGAGTTTCGCCAAGGAACTGAGTGATTAGTTCACTTATTTTAGAGAAGAAATGTTTTTGTTGAATGTAAGTTTTTTTTAGATTTGGTAAGAACATTTTTTTACTAGATTACATTGGAAAGCTGATGGGATTAAGTCAAAAATGTGTTGTTTGCCTTAAAATTTCCCCAAAAAATTTAACTTTATCACTATTGATAGCATACTGTAACTTATTGTCATCATTGGCTCTAGTGATTGACATTGATGAGCATGAGCATGCATTTTATTGACACTTCTGAAAAATATTGTTCCACAATGCTCATGCATGCATCTTAGTGTAGTAATTTTGTTTACTGTTTTTGTAAATCTTCTCCAATCCCCATTTGATATCATTTACATATATTTGCTATCTAGATTTGCATGTTTTTTCTTATATGAATGTATTGTAGTGTGATTTACTTGTAACCATAGCACAGTTAGTTAAGAATTTAATCAAAAGAATGAATTTCATCACACCACAATAACCTGGAACTTATGTTGTTTCTTTGTCATTGTTGTTTCCTCTAGCTTAGAGGTGAAGTTTGAGGTATTATGTTTTGCAAGCTATAAGTTTAGTACTGTCACTTTTCTCTGTTTCTTGGGTTGGTTAAGTGTTCTTCATTCATTTCTGGCTTGTTTAATGATACAACTTTGTTTTTTGTAGGTACTGATCCTCCTCTTCCTCACTTCTGCGCGAGATCCTGGAATCGTACCAAGAAACTCGCATCCGCCAGAGGAAGAGCTATGCTATGATACAACTGTATCAAGTGATGGAAGACAAACACCCATTGTTCAAATCCCTAGGACGAAAGAAGTCATGGTTTATGGCGTTCCTGTTAGAGTCAAATACTGCGACACATGCATGCTCTATCGCCCTCCTCGTTGCTCCCATTGTTCCATTGCAACAACTGTGTTGAGCGTTTCGATCATCATTTCCCTTGGGTTGGCCAATGCATTGGAGTGGTAAGCTCATTCATAACATTGTTATAGCCTAAAAAAGGTTGAAGCTTTCTGTTTTCTTATAGGCTGATACATTTTGACTTTGCATTTGTTCTTTGTGTGTGTGTTGTGTTTGGGGATGTTGGGTTGAAGGTGAACATGGTGTTTGGGACCATGAGCCAGATATGCTTGGGGTGAATCACACCATCAATGTGAGTGAGCAAACTGATTACAAGTTGGAAGTGAATGTGAACTCTTATTGGAGAAGAGCAGAGATGGAGTCTCCATTAGTGTGTTGGGAGACTTTCTACGGCTGCTTACCACTACCCGTGTCGAATCAGCCCCCACAATATGGTTACTACAGGCCGTTGAGTAACGGAGCATGTAGTAAGCGTATTGTGGGGGCTGATTCGGCAATGGGTACTGGTAAGTAGGCCGTTGAAAGTTTCCCAGATCCATCTCCCCTCTACTCCGGTAAGAGTTCACATTCACTTCCGTCTTGTAATCAGTTTGCTCACTTACATTGACGGCGTAATTCACCCCAAGCAGATCCGGCTTGTGGTTCCAAACACCATGTTCACCTTCAACCCAACGTCCCCAAGACAAAGCAAACATAGAAAAGGGCATGGTTAACGAATTTGTTATCGGTGTAACACCGTTACCCTATAAATTGATGCTTTTATATGCTTTGGCTTATCTTCTAAAGCAATATATGATATTCTTAAATGCGAATCCAAGAAACACTTTTAGCTTTTACTGCAATAGATTCATGGGTAACTGGAAACGAAAGAGCAATTCAGAAGTCTCTTAAATAGACTTTGACGCTCGTGAAACCCTATAAGATACTTTCTTCGGCCGCGCAAAATCTTGCCTCGTTAACATAACTCGAAATCAATGTTTAGCATTAAATGCTTTGCCCCCGTGAGACACGTAGATATTTTTTTGAGAAATTGCACTAGGTAACATATTATAAACCCATATTTAAGGAATTGACATATGGGGTTACAGGGTGAAGACAACGAAAATACTTTGCCACCACTTTGGTCTGTTTTAGCCTCACGCGTTTATGAGACAAGAGAAGGCACAATTTATTAGATAACATTTATTTCATTTGTTATTTTTCAAAGAATCATCAATTATCCATTTTGAGTCACATTTTATTTTCTCTTGATAAGTCGTAAATCTGATTCTCTGTATTTGCTTGTTTTTCTCATGAAATTCATTGCTGTCGAATGGTCATATAGCATGTGTATACTTAGCCAAGTCTTTGATTTTATTCTTATTAAATTGTTACATTGTTTTGATATGTTGATATGGTTGGTTATAAAAGTACATTGCAATGTTCTACAAATACTTATATTTTGATAAATATTGGTATAACTGTCTACATATTTATATAACAATGTATTTAGTCATTACTATTTGCATATATTTTTATACTTTTTAATATAGTTATTTAAATTTTTATATGGTTGTCCATAATTTTCCATACATTTTTATATTCTTTTATGTATTTGTGTAAATTTTTATATGGTGGTCCATACTTTTTTATAAACGTATATAAAAATGTATTTAGTTACTAACATATGCTTTAATATATGCTTATGTTTTGTTCTATTGTAAAATAGTTGTTTATACTTTGTTATGGTTGTCTATATTTTTATATGCTTATCTAAATTTTATAAAGTAATGTATTTTGTTATCATATATGTTTATGTTTTAATATATTATTATATGATTATCTATGTATCCATATAAATGTGTATTTAGTGATGAATATATCATCTCTTTTGGGAAATTTATAATTTTAGCTTCATTTTTAATTTCAGTGATCATTATAAAAATTGATAGTTTGAAGAAAAGAGAAGTAAATAACAAAGATGATAGAGAAATAGGAAAAGGTTTGGAAAAGTAAGATGAGTATCATAAATGGCATCATTTAATGCACTTTATCCACAGTTTTTTATTTCCCCAGGCGCACTTCTCCTTCATTTTGTCTAACACGTTTCCTTTGCCATATTTTTTCGGGTACCTTTATATTGTTTACTACTAACGATTTATAAATATATCGATTACTTAATATTGGGTCAAAAATATGTTAGTTACCAAAATCACTCTATTTTTTTTTCTCTCTGCCTATGTCAACTTACGTTGAAATGCTATCTCACTCGCGAGACAAGGGCAATGTCGTCCCTTTACCCTATACATATGACATATGTATCTAAATATATATTTTATAACATCTAAATATATAAATTATTACACCCCAATATCTAAATATGTGGTCAACTAGGGATAATCCCTAAATTATCCCTTATTAATATTATCATAATTCAGTTGTATAATTTTAAATATAGCGACATAACATGGTAATATTTTGTTGAGAAATTACAGTAGATATACATTAATAGTTTTGAAATTAAATGGTTGCTTCTGACAACTTTTACATACACTGTTCATATGGTTGAAGACACTAAAACCCGTACTAAATCTTCTTCACAAATATTATATTTTTTTGCTAATAAGTTTTTAGTTACTTTGCTAACAAAAAACTATGTCACATCACTAACAAATATCAAGTTCTATGGTAACAAATATCACATTATCTTATTAATAACAAAGACTATTTTACCTTATTAACAAAGAAATACAAATTGTTTACATTTTGCTGTTAATAAATTTGTTAGTAAGTAATAATTTGAAAGGTAGCATGTAATAGTTTAAATGTTAGCATAGATATCCAGTAACCTTGAGCTGCTCCAAGTATTTAATCGGTGACACTTGTCTCTTCATTGTTTCCACCGCCTTCTTGTAGCTTTCTTTAGGCATCTCTGTATTTAATCGGTGACTGTCACTTACTTGTAGCTCCACCGCTTTGTATTGTTTCTGGGTATGTTAATCTGACGGTAAGCATGAAAACAGGTTACATGTATATTTCTCTGCACATGCAAACTCCACCAGCTAAAGAAAGAAATGATAAGAGAACACATATGAGAAGAAGAGTGCAACCTGCATTTGTTCTTTTGCAATACTTCATAGGAGGCCTATTTGATTCAAAGCACCATTTGACAAAGTGAGACATCGAAAGAGAGAGATAAAGAATGAGATGACTCAACAAAAATCTGTCAAGTATCACCAAATTTAACACTCATATGTCGTAAATTTAGTATACCAATATTTCAAAATTGTTTTGATCCTTACTTCTTCCCAGTTTGTCGCTGCATTCACTGGTACTGTCATGTTCGTGGACTCAAATCCCAATCAAAGTCTTAAACCCAGATGAGTATATATGCTTGTGTATCCATAACTCAACTAAAAAGCAGCTCACAAATTAAAAAACCAATGTGAAAACTTAATAAAAACCCGTCAATTATCACCAAAATGAAGATGTCTTTATTCGTAAACTGAAGACAATTTGATATACAAATCCTTACCTCTTCCCAGTTTGCGTTGTCGCTGTCTTCACTTGTTAGTCATGCCTTCGTCCTGCTACTTGGTCTCCAAGGCCAGCCTTGAGTGAAAATAAGTGCGGAAAAACAAACACTTATCAAATTAAGCACCAAACAATACACTAAGATTAAAAAAAATGAACTCTCTTTCAAAAGCAAGGAAGATTATTGAAGCAACACAACAATATTGACATCTTAAGCCATTGTGATGTTGGTTTGGAGTTTGGAGAGATGTTCAAACTTACAGATTTGCCGTCAATCATGTTTTTCTGCATAACAACTCTCTAAGAGACTTTGAAGTTTAGGATGACGATAAAACAAAAGCCACAGGCACGCCCAATGACCCGATCCTTCATGATAACCACTTGTAAAACCTCACCATAGTTCTGAAAGTAGTCACGGAGACGATCTCCACTGGTCTCCCAAGAGATTCCATCTCCATTCTGCAAATACATAAGAGGAGAATCAACTCGGATATATAATAAAAGCATCTAATGCAAATGAGTTGTCTTCTCTAGCTCATCAAACCTTGAATCCATTTTCCAGCATTTAAACTACAAAATGAAAATGGATTCATTAAAATCCACTAAAAACACTGAATCCATTTTCAAGGTCATTTGAATATAAATGAGTTATACCATATTCATACACACACTCGAATCCATTTTTCCAACTCCATTAGTTTCTATCAAACGTTCAATGCCTCGACAGCTCGGGAAATTATCCATTACCTCGGAGAATGACCACCTCGCTTTCTTGAAGTTCCTCGCTTCTCAGCAGTGGAGTAGCCGAACCACCACCTCCTCGTTGCAGAACACACCCTCGATTTGGTCGAGCACCTGGAAAGTGAGAGGGTTGGCGGAGAAAGAAATCGGTTGAGTGGGGAAAGAGAAATTGGAGGTTCAGGGAGAAGGACTTTCGAGATCAGGATGAATATGGGAATGAATATGGTGGATTGAAAGGTTGCTGGATTTATAGGTTAGAAGAGAGAGAGGTGCAACCCAAGCAGCCATAAATTCACAACGTTGAGTGGCCATAAATTCAGAATTTCCAAACCTAAAAATTTTAAGGGACTTTTCTGCTTTTTCCGGAAATTTTTAGCAATTTTCAACCAATTTTGGAGCTCAAATTTTAAATTGATACAATCACTAAAATATGTTGGAATTTGCTAAAAATCGTCGAAATTTGCCATGTTATGGAATAATGTTACAAATTTAAAGGAATCAATTTCCATGTTAAATGTTGACTAATTAAAATCCAATTTGGTAAAATCAACCATATTTTGAGGAATTATTTGTGCAATCAAGAGTTGGAGAATTAAATGTTAAATTTCATGAAATTCAAGAATTTTTGGGACGTTTTCCCGCAAGGATGTGGAGATCTGATTTTTACTTGGGCTTACGACATATTATATTGGGCCCATTGACAAAATTAAATCCATATATAGACTGTGCCACGTGGCATCATGATAAGAATTGTGAAAATGCTGATTTGGGTGAAGGCCGCAAACAGCTCCTTTAAATTATTAGTGATTTGATGCATTGTGCGTGTTTTATTTCTAGTTTACATGGTATTGTCAACATTTGAGTTGAAATGACATAAATAAAAGAATAATTGAACTACATATGCTTACTTTGATTTTTTTTTTTTTTGGCTTTGATGTTATGTATCTTGCAGGCTGAATATTTCCGTCAATTGTTGAAGCCGGTCACATGTTCTTATTTCAAGGCCTTGGTATCTAGTTTATTCTCTATTCTTATTGTGTTCTTGAAGGAAGAGAAATAGCGTTTTAATTTGTAAGTTCAAGACTTTTGTGAATCATAATTTTGTTTTTCTCCCTTTCTTATATTAGCTGATTTTCTTAGACTTGATGATGTCCTCTTTTTTGTTTTGGACAGCTGATTTATTTACTGTTTTATGGGAGAAGATCGTTGGTTGTGGTTTCCTCCTACTCATCAGCACTTAAATTCCTTGGCTTCCCTAGCTTCAGACATGTTTTCTATCCTTGAGACTAATCTAGATTCTGTACAGTTGCCTCATTTCTATTTTGATGGCTTTCATGGTTGGTTCCACTCCCAGCGGTTCTTGCCTCTTCAAAAGCCATGCATAATGAAGTTGCCTCTCGCCGGCGTTTTAAGAAATCAAGTAGACAGTGTCATATCAAAAGCTGAGGGCGAATGTAGTAAAAAAAGGTTCCTAGTGTTTGACCAATCAGGAGATCAGACGAATCTTGTGCTCACCTCCGACATCAAGAAATCATTTGGGAGCCAAAAACGGCCTAATATTAAAGAAGATCTTCAAAGAAGCAAGAAAGATTTGGCTAGTTGTCAAGAAATGATGGGAATTAGCGAACCATATTGGCAGAGTGATGAGAAACAAGAAGATACATAACTAAATGCACTGCTTTACTCTGAAGACGAGAGTGATTGTTCTTCTGATGAAGATGAGGTTACAAGCTCTAGACATTCCCCAAGCACTATGTCAGTCCATGGGGACCAAGAAACATTTACTGAAATCCATGCAAAAAAAAGAGAAAGGTACTTGAGAGCTGTGTCTATGGTTATACACATGAGACTATGCTGGATGCTGAGTTGGGCTGTGGGTTTCTAAAACGTTCTAAGCCGTCTAGCAACAAGATAGGAGAAGAGAAGATATTTGAGACAGTAAACCTCTTGCGTAATATAATCCCTGCAGAGGAACTGATGGGCCCTATCTTAGTCATCGATATAGCTATTGATTATCTGAAATCATCCCTAATATATTAAAAGAGAAAACACTAACTAAATAACCTTTGTCCATTGTGTTATTAACAAGAGTGCCACTGCTGATGTGTCATCACCAGGTTCACTCTCAGCCCAATTTCTAATTAAGACAAGCTTTACTAGAGAAATTACAAATTGTGCCATTGCATATTATGCTTACCATCCATTTATTATTATTTTCTTTCCTTAATTGACAATTACGAAAATAAGTAAATAAGGAAGATATGAAATTCAATTGAATTCTATCATAATATTTTTTTAAAAATCATTATATATCCCCTATCATCTTTGTTCAACTTTATTTTATGAAATAATATGAATCACAATATAAAAAAACTAATAAAGAAAATCTAATTTTTTTTCTGTATATGCTATGATTTGAATTTTTTAAAACAAAATAATGTAAATTGTTTAGTATATAACCTCATTTAGTGTAACAATTATTCCATCTATTTCAACTTTCAATATAAAGTTAATTATATTTTTGTTATTTTAACAATTTAGATCATGCAGATTGTCTTCTTATTGGTTGATTGTTTTGAAATTATAATAAAGCATGTTTTAGTTTTGAAAGAAAGAAAAAAATAGTTCTAATCCATGTTTTAGTTTTGAAAGAAAGAAAAAAAAATTGATTTTAATCCGTGTTTTAGTTTTAAAAGAAAGAAAATAATAATAATTCTAATCTGTGTGCACACAGCTAAGACTTCTTATCTTATGAAATACAGTATACATTTTTGTAAAGAATAATGTTTTATTTTCACTTTTTTGTTCTTTAAACTAACTTATTATACTGCAGTCATTTGAGTTTCATGTATCTTGCTTAAATCTATCATATTTAATATATGGCTACGTTCAAGACTTTAATCTATTTACCTTTTTAAAAAATAGTTTAAAATGCTTAATTTTCATATTATAAACGAATAAACGAGGGCAATAATCTAACAAAGATTAAAAACCCGTCGCATAAAATTTTGGGATATTTAAATAGACATCTTTTAATAAATTACCAAAAAAACATCTTTTAATAAAATATAAATTCAGAAACCATCACCCCGTGCAGGGCGCGGGTCAAACCCTAGTTGAAGATAAAAGCGGAAAACGGAGGACATGAGTCTCTTTCTCTGCAAGAAATTAGCAATGACAAGATGGATTTGTTTGATATATAAAGAAGTATTCATATACTCAGACCGGGTCCTAGGAGTGTGCACACAGTGCAAAAGCACCGGATCCCACCATTTTCAACTAATTTTTATTGTATTTTAAGGTTCTCAATCTTCTGAAATTTTGCATTTAAGAGTCCTGATTTTAAAATTTATCACATAATATGACAAAATTTGAGTTTAAATTTATTTTGGCCACAAGGCCCAGCTGATGTTTGGGCCAGGCCTGCATATACCCACCCAAGACAAGATATTGGATAGTATTTTGTCACGCTACCAATTTAAGGATCATCTTTCTCCATGCAAGATAAACAAAAACTTGCCTTGGATTTGGGTGAAGATGATACGATGATATATATCGATGGGGTTCTACACTCGAAAAGAGGTGTCAAGACTTTTTACACCATTGGTTGTGGGAGAAGAGCTGGTAGAACCATTTCAAGATGAAGTTTTGACATGTGGCTTCACCTGATTCGTTACTTTTTTTTGGTGAAGTTACTTTATTTTTATTTGTTTTTCTTTATTTTTCTTCTGATTTTTTTTAATAGTTAAAATAAATTAAAGAATTTTATAACAAGTTGTGGATTAATGATGCTCTAATACTTTAATTCTATATACTGTAATATATTTTGATATTATCATATAATATTAAATTATTAATTCTTCAGTATATTTCACTGAATAGGTAAAATATTGAATATGTGTTAACAAGATAATGCGATGTTTGTTAGCAAAGGACATGATGTTTGTTAACTAAGTGATGTGTTTTTTGTTAGCGAGGTTACAAAAAACTTGTAAGCGAAATGATATTGTATTTAGAAGGCAAATTAGGTATTAATTGTTTGCAAGATTGTCCTAATATTGGTAAATACATGTAAATAAACGAGAAAACTTGAGATTTGAACTTAAAACTTTTATTCAAGACAACATTACAAAGATGGATACAATGTGATATATAAAGGGAGCTAGGAACGATCTAGACGTTGCTCAATCTTATCCTTTATACAGCTGTAAAGAGGTGAAGCATCTTGTTGCAGAGCCAACGGATAGAACCGATTTTCTCAGCGTTGAACGTCTTTTGCTTTTTCTTCTTTTCCTTTGTTTGCTTGTTCTGAGGTAATAGTTTGATGGGTTTGCGTGGGCTTTGTTCTTCTTCCTTCCTTGTACTTGTTTGGCCCACACTTTTCATTGCTTCACTCACATCCCCCTGCAAACTTGGTGTGCTTCTCCTTCCGACGCCAAGTTTGTTTCTGAGTTCTTCAAAAGCTGATCGTGGCAACGACTTCGTAAATATGTCAGCAAGCTGCAATTTTGCTGGTATATGACTTGTTTCAATCAACCCCAATGCGACTTGTTCTCTTATGTAATGAAAATATGTGTCAAAGTGTTTAGACTTGTTATGTAGAGCAGGATTGGCACTGAGATATACTGCAGACAAGTTATCACACTGCAGGAGAGTTGGCTCGAATGGTGTGATACCAAAGTCCCTGAGAATGAACAATATCCAAGTGAGCCTCCGTTGAAGACTTGGTGACAGTCTGCTGTCTTTTGCGGACCAGGAAACCAAGTTGGATCCCATAAGAATACATAATCCAGTCATAGACCGTCTTGTTTCTTTGCAACCTGCATAATCACTATCATAGTAAGCTGAGAGAGTGAGCTCCTTATTTCTTCCTATATGCATCCCCATGTCAACTGTTCCTTTAATATATCTCAAGATTCTTTTCAGAAGACTGAAGTCAGCCATCGTTGGAGCATCCATTCTTTGACATATGATACCATGTAAATAAACGAGAAAACTTGAGATTTGAGCTTAAAACTTTTATTCAAGACAACATTACAAAGATGGATACAATGTGATATATAAAGGGAGCTAGGAACGATCTAAACGTTGCTTAATCTATCCGCTATACAACTGTAAAAAGGTCAATCATCTTGTTGCAAAGCCAACGGATAAAACCGATTTTCTCGGCGTTGAAAGTCTTTTACTTTTTCTTCTTTTCCTCTGTTTGTCTTGTTCTAAGGTGATAGTTTGATGGACTTGCGTGGGCTTTGTTCTTTTTCCTTTCTTATAGTTGTTTGGCCCACACTCTTCATTGCTTTACTCACAGTATAATGTCTCATTACTTGTTAGCGAATAAACATAGTATTTGTTTGCAAAATATTGAGTTAGTTGTTATCAAATTAACAAGATTTGATGTAAACGTAACTGGATAAATTTTTACTTGTGATTTGAACCCGACTCCTTCTATTTTCAACTACACTCAATAAAACCAAGAAACTCATTTTATAAGAGTATATATTAGTGACTTTTTGATGTGAACAGGCAACACAAAAAGTTGTGAGAAATAGTCATTTAATTACTCTATTACCTGAGGTTATTTAATGCAATTTCTCCAAAATATTTCAGTAATGAATTCTCAAAGTTTAGAAATTTGAAATTCAAGCAATACCAAAAAAAAATAGAAAAACAACTGTAAAAGAAATTTGATTCATCTACCTAGTAATAACCCGCGAGTAGCGCGGAAAAACATCTAGTTAAAAAACAAAATAAAATAAAAATAAAGCTGACAAAACTATAATGTTCGTCTCGGAACACACACAATCCAGAAACGAAACATTTTCTGTGAGAAAGAAAGATCACACCACCAACCTAAAATCTACAATTCATCTTCTTTTTGCTATCATACTTCCACCTTGATTTGTCATCGGTCGTTACAAATTCTGGGTTCGCATCAGTTTTCGTCTTTTATTATCATTTTATTCGCTAGAGAGCGCACTTAGTTTTGGCGACATCTGAAAAAAAATGAAATGAATCGCCGAAGAAATTTCCAGGATCTTTCAATTCCTCGGAGGGTAGCGAAGAGTGTCTGATCTGTTCGCCGATTCTCATGGCGAGACGGGTCTACGAAGCCTGGAAAGGAAGTAATGTAAGGTTTTTTTTTTTATATTATGAAAATTTTGATTTTGTTTACTTTTCTTGAGTCTGCATTCTTCCGAATTCTGTTTCTTTGTCGACAAATCTATGTTTAGGGTTTCTTAAAGGCCACATTGTAGTGTGTTGTACTATAATCTGAGTGTCGCCAAGGAAGTGAGTGATTGGTTCACTTATTTCAGAGAAGAAATGTTTTTGTTAAATGTAAGATTTTTTAGATTTGGTAAGAACATTGTTTTGGGCTTTTATATGCTAGAGAGCATATTTTTTACTAGATTACATTTGAAAGCTGATGGATTTAAGCCAAAATTGTGTTGTTCGCCTTTAAATTTCCCAAAAAAATTTCAACTTTATCACTATTGATATCAAACTGTAACTTATTGTCAGCATTGGCTCTAGTGATTAAGATCTAATCTAAAAAGGCCACATTTATGACATTGATGAGCATGCATTTTAGTGACCCTTGTGAAGTATATTGTTTCACAATGCACATATTCATGATCTCCAATGTTTCGTTACTCTTTTTGCAGAAGTTTATATTTGGTGGAAGATTGATATTTGGGCCAGATGCTTGGTCTCTTCCTTTTACATTGCTACTCATCATAACTCCAGTTACTTTCTTCTCTGCATTCGTTGCAACACATCTCCGCCACGAGTTCTTACCAAACAGCGCTGGAGATGCCATCTTAGTGGTAGCAATTTTATTTACCGTTCTTGTAAGTCTTCATTTATTTACCTATATTTGCTATCTACATTTGCATTTTTTTTCCTGTTGCTTATATGAATGCATTGTAGTATGATTTACTTGTAACCATACCAGAGTGAGTTAAGAATCTATCAAAAGAATGAATTTCATCACACAACAACCACAATATAACATGGAAGTTATGTTGTTCCTTTGTCATGACTCATGACTCTCTCTGTTTCTTGGGTTGGTTAAGTGTTCTTCATTCATTTCTGGCTTGTTTACTGATACAACTTTGTTTTTTGTAGGTACTGATCCTCCTCTTCCTCACTTCTGCGCGAGATCCTGGAATCGTACCAAGAAACTCGCATCCGCCAGAGGAAGAGCTATGCTATGATACAACTGTATCAAGTGATGGAAGACAAACACCCATTGTTCAGATCCCCAGGACGAAAGAAGTCATGGTCTATGGCGTTCCTGTTAGAGTCAAATACTGCGACACGTGCATGCTCTATCGCCCTCCTCGTTGCTCCCATTGTTCCATCTGCAACAACTGTGTTGAGCGTTTCGATCATCACTGCCCTTGGGTTGGTCAATGCATTGGAGTGGTAAGCTCATTCATAACATTGTTATAGCCTGAAAAAGGTTGAAGCTTTATGTTTTCCTATAGGCTGATACATTTTGACTTTGCATTTGTTCTTTGTTTGTGTTGTGTTGCAGAGGAACTATAGGTACTTCTTTATGTTTGTTTCTTGTGCAACGCTTCTCTGCATCTACGTGTTCTCGATGTCGGCTTTATACATCAAGGTTCTGATGGATAACCATCAAGGAACTGTGTGGAGAGCAATGAGACTATCTCCATGGTCGGTTATGCTGATGATATATTGCTTTATCTCCCTTTGGTTTGTTGGAGGGCTTACAGGGTTCCATTTGTACCTCATCAGCACGAACCAGGTTTGTTTTTTTGACCTGTCTCGAGGTTTTGTATTGAGTAAAACTGTGTCTCATTGCGATTTTTCTTTCAGACGACCTATGAGAATTTCCGGTACAGATCAGACAACAGGATCAACGTTTACAACCGCGGTGTTTCAAGCAATTTTCTTGAGACGTTTTGCTCGAGAGTGAAGCCTTCAAGAAATGACTTCAGAGCGTTTGTCAAAGAAGAGCCTCCGAGGAGTATCGCATTGGCTACAACGTGGGAACAAGGGGAAGAAGGAGGAGAGCAAGAAAACAGGGAGGAGCAGCGGCGTCAGAAAGTGGAAGACGATCAAGATATTGATGAAGATGTTATGAAACTACAGCATCGTGGTAATGCAGAAGAGGGCAGCGATCACAGGGTGGATATTGACCAGTCGAGAGTTGGTTCTAATGAGAGAGCACCGACAATTCGATCTGAAGCGAGGTATGGAAACTGGGGAGCAAGAAGCAACGCACAAGAGGATGTGATTGCTGGTGGTTCTTCAGCCAGAGAGAGTAGTAGAAGCTATGCAGCTGCAGAGGAAGGAAGGTGAATGATGTTTGGAAGTAAAGAGGTTTTTTCACTTTCTTTATTGGTTTAATTTTTCATTATTTTACGGTTTAGATCCTTGTGGTTCGGTTTGGGTTGTGAACATTATGGTTTGGGGCTACTGTGAATAAGTTTAGTGTAAAAGCTTGGTTAGAGGTTAAGTTTTTGTTTGTTCAACTTTTATGAATGTTTTGATTTGATGTTTTTTAATTATTTAGGTTACGCTTATCATCTTCGTTTCAATTTTATCGGATGCCTTAAGATAGATGGAACAACAGTTTTCCTTAAAGAAAGACGAGAAGACTCTGAATATAGAAATTGTAAAAATGGAGAAATCACAAGCTAAATATAGTGAAATTGACCCAAATTTGAACGTTCTTGAATTAGTCTGCAATTGTTTTTTTTGTATATATATGGCTAAAGTGATATAGACACAAACAACGAAAGCTAAAACCAAAATCTGATATCCCAAACACTTGAAGAGGTTGAGAGAAACGCGACGAAATGACTTCTTCCTCCGGTTGTTTCATCGTCGTTTCTATGGCAATCTTGTTTCTCTTAGCACCAGCATCAGGCTTGCTCAACAGAGATTTCATCGACGCCAACTGTCAACGAGTCAAGAACAAACCTTTCTGCGTCGAAACATTGACCACCTATCCTCCTGCCATTGCTGCCACCGGCCTGGTACGTAACCATCTAGCCACATAGCTAAATTAATCATAATGGTAGATTCAAGACAACTAGAAGGAACACGTCTACGTCTATATATGTTGTTTATGTTGCTAACGAACATTAGTACAAACCACAAGATTACAATGTGTCATTTGGTCAATTAAACAAGTATTACAACTTAAAATTCGTTCTACAAAATACTTTACTGTTTTAAAAACTTTAAGTAGGTTTAGCATTTTTTTTTTAACACATTTTGTAAAACCTAAGCATTTCATTTTATTCTGAATATATTTACATTTATTAGGGAAAAGAAACTTAAAATAGTATTTATTGTTTTTTTTGTTTTTATATGTAGTTGCCATTGGCAGAGGTTGTGCTCAGTCTTGGAGTAACCCATGCTGAGAAAACGGCGGCGTTTGCGGCCGAGGCAGCTAAAACCGACGCAGCATTGAAGACGCAGTTCAGCGAGTGCCACGACGCCTATGTTGGTATCGTTGCGTCTCTAAAGAGCGCGACCTTGGAGCTCAAGGATGCACCAGACACAGCCAACTACGATGTCATGGTCTCTGGCGATGACACAAGGCGTGTGACGGCTTTGATCGGGAAAAACACTGACAAGTCTTCCAAGACGCTCATTGAGATGACGTTGCAGATGGATAAACTTCTTGATCTCGCTGCTGGTTCCACCGATGCTGTTGATGACGACGACGAGAACGTAACCCGTCGTGCTTGATGTTTTGAAACTAATTAAGTTTCGGGATTTTTTTCGATTTTTTTGGTTTGCTTTTGGTAAAACAAAATATGAATGGATTCGAAGGACATATATCAAAGCTATATGTCGCTGATGATTGAATCTTAGGAAATTTATAAAAATATAATATTCGTTAATTTGCATGCATTTCTTTTGTTACACATGTCTCTCTCAATAGGAGACTATTTGGCAGCGAAATTTTGCGTTTTCCATGATTAAGCGATATTTGTGTGCTCCATAGGCAAAGAAAGATACGTGAGTTTCTAACTATCTATCTCAAAGATACTTCACAATATTAAATTATGGCTTACACATATTTTGTATAGTTTATGTACCAAACCCAAACTGAAATGTGAATCGCCAAGTGCTTCGAGTCACTGCATCGATCAATAATGAATATAATATTTTACTTTAAATCTACTGCAATTTGTTTTTTTCAAAAAATATGTAACTGGATGATAAAAAGAAAACAAACAAGTGGTACAAAGAAGTTTGAAAATAAAGAAAGGGCGTTAGATTAAAAAGAGGAAGAAAACATATTTTTTAATTATTTTATTTTTGTTCAGTTAGTTTAATATCTGGTAGGTTACAAAATATAAAACTATATGTTGTCTTTAGATTTTTATGTCTAAACTTACTTTTCTGCAACCTAACAAGCTTTATACAAATTCATTTCGATTGCATTTTAAAGAGTAGTAGTGAAACAGAAAAAACAAGAATAGTGATATTAATTTTCATACGATAATGGAAATTAGTATATTGATCAAGAATTACTACAATTATATATATGAAAATAATTGTTTTGTCTTTATTCTAAAAGTTCGGCAGATTAGAAAACTAGAAATGGAAGATTTATATATATATGCTTTCAAGTTCCATTAAATTACTACAAATAAGAGCTCAGTTGAAGAAATAAAGCATTCTCCTGTGAGGAAATGGCTTCTTCCTCTGTTTGTTTGTTTTTCGTTTCCATGGCAATTCTGTCACCATTTCTCTTAGTCTCTGCTTCCGCCTTGACCTCGACAAAGTATATTGATGCGATTTGCGGAGGCAATCCCTTCTGCATGCAAACGTTGACCAGCTATCCTCCGGCGGTTTCCGCCACTGACCTGGTACTTATATCAAAGCCACAATCTATTCAATTTCTTTTTTTTTTTTCCTTTTGAACCTAAAGGCCAAAGGTTTTTTTGTTTGTTGTTGTCGTCGACATCGTCATCAACAATAAACATTATATCAAGTTTGAATGTGGGCTAGCAACTATACTAACACAATTTGGTAGACCAAAGGGAAAAAAAAAACTATTTATTTTTCAAAGATACTAGAGAAATTAATATGAAGAGTGCCTAATAAATGAAGATTGTAAATCAATATCCGAGCACATGGAGGCTGGAGGGCAATATTTATACACTTATCCTTGTAATTAAATTCAGTTTCATGAACAAAAAATCTATTTTAAGTTAACCTAAATATTTGTGTTCTCGAATATATAGTTTTCGTTGGCTCAAATCGTGATCAATCTCGGGATGTCCTACGCCGAAGGTGCGGGACGTTTTGCGGCCGAGACGGCAGAGAAAGAGCCGACGTTGACACAATTCAAGTCATGTCAGCGTGAATATGACGGTATTCAGATGAATCTTAGAATGGGAAAGTCGGAGCTTAAGGAATATCCAGATGGTGCAAACTATGACATCATGCGTTGTATTGACAGCACGGTGGTCGTGAGGGATTTGATCGGAGGAAACAGTGACAATGCGTCGAAGACGCTCATGGAGATGACACGGCAGATGCAGAGGCTTATTAATGTAGCCGTTGGAGCCACCGTAGCTCTTGGCGGGTGAATACGTCACTTAAAGTTGTGCTTTGATGTTAAACCTAGTTTAGGTTAATTCCACCCTCATAAATCTTAGTTGTCAAGGAGTTTGGTATACCTATGAGCCGCTCCTCGTTCGAGTCTCAATATGATACGTCTATAAAAAGTAAGTTCTCCGTTCTCTTGTCTTGTAGAAAAACAATTTCAAAGAGTTTTAATTTGAGCATCTATGAAAACAAGTACGTAAGAAGCAATGCATACTTTGAACAAAAAAAAATAGAAGAAGCATGCATATATTCTGCACCTTCTTGACTGTACAAATACCATTCTAAACAAGAAGCAAAACAACTTAGCATGTGTTTATCCCCATAAAAGGGAAAGAAAAATTGATAGAAAAAAGAAAATCATATCCTAAAAAAGTATGGAGAAATCGATCCTTCAAAAGAAAAAAAAAAAGAAAAGAGAGAAATAGAAAGGAAAAGTGAACAAAAAAACTATATTGGCAAGTCTTGATTGGGTAAGAAATTATTTTTAATGATCCATACTCCTTTGATAAAGACCGCACATTTTAAATTTATGCAAAGTGTTAACAATGGAAAGGTTAGAGAGCTTGATGAGATTTACTAAAAAGAAAGGACTTGACAAACCTTTTTCTTTGAGTTCCACTCAGTGGCGGAGGCAGAAACTTTTCTTATAGGGGGCATTGATGAAATATTTCAAACATTTAAGGGTCATTTAAGGATAGAATCACAATCAACATTGGGGCATAATGAAAACTAGTTGTAATATACATGGGGTTTTGACAAACCTTTTTCTTTGAGTTCCACAACTTCCACTAATGGCACCAAACTTCTAAGTGTTTTATAGATATTGTGCAAGAAATAAAGATTGAGTACACAATCGAGGAATAAAAGGAACTACGTGAAGAAGCCCATAACTAAGGACACCAATTATGGACGTAAGAAGAAAAAACAACATTTTTTTTTTACAACATTACTACATTGAAAATTACAAAACTAAGAGATCCAAAGAAAAATATCAACGAATACGATTAATTACCTTATAAACCAAGGCCTTGATTGGTAGAGCATTTGGAAGAGCATTAAACTCTTTTTAATCCAATCAAGTTTTTTTTAAAAGAGCATTTAGAGAGCATTTAGAAACAACTAATGCTCCCAAACTGCTCCTTCCCTCCTGCTCTGAAAAGGAGCATTTCCAAAGCATTGAGCTCAAAAATATTTAAAAAATTAAAAAATTATAATAAATTATATTTAGTTTATTTATTTTGGTAAAAAATTGAAAACTATATTTATATTAAATTTACAATTTTATAATTTCGTAAATTATGTTTATCATTAATGTATTATTCATAAAATAAATATTTAATGACATAAAAATTAATAAATATAATTTAAATATGAAATAATAACTAAATAATTTAAAAATAAATAAAAAAAACTTATGTTATTAATGAATATATATGATGCATTAAAATAAATATCAATATACATATTAAATATTTTCACAAAAAAATATAATAAAAAGCTCACAGCTCTACCAATCACATAAATTAAGAGCATAAAGGCTTCAAGAGCTTAATGCTCTTCTAAATACTCACCCTGCTTATGCTCCTTAAGCTTAATGCTCTTCTAAATGCTTTGCCAATCAAGGTCCAATCAAATCACCAATCGGTAGTTAGTCGAACGATCCATTAGGTTCCGTTGCTGGTCGCAGTAAAACTGAAGGTCGATTACTTCCCCAAAGTGATTTTTTAAAATATACTAGAAATTGGTCAACATAAAGAATTTTTTTTATTGGTTAATATACTAAAATTTAATTTTCATCTACATTTTAGGGTATTGGATTCAGTATTTCGATGGAATTTAAAGGAATCCACGATTCCATTAAATTCATGTGTTATTCAAGTACATGTTTTTCCAATTCCTTTAAACTCCGGTGTTATTCGATGAAGGATTTGTAGTCATTCTTTTCAATTCCTTTAAATTATGGTGTTATTCAGCTTAATAATTTTTCAATTCCATTAAATTCTGGTGTTATTCAATATCCGATGTATTTGGTGATATTATCATTTGGAAGGAATTTAATAGAATTTGAAGAAAATTTTGCAAAGCTTCAACTCTTCCAATTTTTGCAGTCATTTCAATAGAATTGATTGAATTACTTCAAAATTCATTAGTTTTGAATTCTTTTCATTTCCTTCTAATTCTACAAACCAATACCCCCTCCTTCTCATATAGAGAATTAAATATGAAATTATAAGGAGAGAAATGGAAATTGAAATTCTAGTTGATACTTTTCAAGAAGTTAAAAGATTTTTTAATAAGCTGCATGAACCAATTGATATTTTTATTGGTCAATATACTAGAATTAAATTAGTTTTCATTTAGAAAATTAAATATGAAACTATAAAGAGAAAATAAATGGAAATTGGATTCTAGTTGATACTTTACTAATTTTAAGGCAGATATCTAACATACAAGCAAAGCAATATATAACCACAAGTAGAGAACAATACAAAACCAAAATCTGAATTCTAACGAAACGAGGATGGCTTTTTCCGCAAATTGTTTTGTCAATCGTTTCTTTGTTAGTTCTTTTACAATTTCTCATCGTCTCTGCTTAAAAAAAACACATCGACACCATATGCTTTGGGCTCGACCAAGCCTATTGCGTCAAAATCTTGAGCGCATATCCTCCGGCTGTTTCTGCCACCACTGTGGTACGTACTCTTCCCAACTGAAATTAGTGTCTCGATCAATATATATAACATTTACTTTCATAAATTATCAATTAAAGTTTCGAAGTTATTGCTTATTTGAATCTAGGGCATTTTTATACAAATGCATTGAAAATCCGAAAACTTTACGATTTCTTAAATGCAGTTGTGGATCCCCAAATTCACTATTCTTGTAACTTCAATACTCCCTCCTTTTCATATTAGTTGTATCCCGATGTATTTAACTCAGTTAAACTTTCTGAAAAACGACAAGGAATATGAAACAGAGGGAGTAATCTTCATGTCTCATTCACAATATATCATAAATATATATATATATATATATATATATATATATATATATATATATATTTCTTCTGTTGTAGTTCCAAGTAACTCAGGCCGCACTCACGCACTCATACAGAAGATTATTCCTGTAGCTCAAGTCTGACTAAGAGTTTTGGTTATGAGTTAATCATATCTCCATATACTGTTCGTCATAAAGTGTCATTCTAAGGTTTTATTTTTTGTTTCACAAAAAATGTCACTTTATATTTTCAATGCAGTTAATTTTATTAACCAAAACCCAATTTTTGAGATATTTTCAATGCAAAGCTTCAACTCTTCCAATTTTTGCAGTCATTTCAATAGAATTGATTGAATTACTTCAAAATTCATTAGTTTTGAATTCTTTTCATTTCCTTCTAATTCTACAAACCAATACCCCCTCCTTCTCATATAGAGAATTAAATATGAAATTATAAGGAGAGAAATGGAAATTGAAATTCTAGTTGATACTTTTCAAGAAGTTAAAAGATTTTTTAATAAGCTGCATGAACCAATTGATATTTTTATTGGTCAATATACTAGAATTAAATTAGTTTTCATTTAGAGAATTAAATATGAAACTATAAAGAGAAAATAAATGGAAATTGGATTCTAGTTGATACTTTACTAATTTTAAGGCAGATATCTAACATACAAGCAAAGCAATATATAACCACAAGTAGAGAACAATACAAAACCAAAATCTGAATTCTAACGAAACGAGGATGGCTTTTTCCGCAAATTGTTTTGTCATCGTTTCTCTGTTAGTTCTTTTACAATTTCTCATCGTCTCTGCTTAAAAAAAACACATCGACACCATATGCTTTGGGCTCGACCAAGCCTATTGCGTCAAAATCTTGAGCGCATATCCTCCGGCTGTTTCTGCCACCACTGTGGTACGTACTCTTCCCAACTGAAATTAGTGTCTCGATCAATATATATAACATTTACTTTCATAAATTATCAATTAAAGTTTCGAAGTTATTGCTTATTTGAATCTAGGGCATTTTTATACAAATGCATTGAAAATCCGAAAACTTTACGATTTCTTAAATGCAGTTGTGGATCCCCAAATTCACTATTCTTGTAACTTCAATACTCCCTCCTTTTCATATTAGTTGTATCCCGATGTATTTAACTCAGTTAAACTTTCTGAAAAACAACAAGGAATATGAAACAGAGGGAGTAATCTTCATGTCTCATTCACAATATATCATAAATATATATATATATATATATATATATATATATATATATATTTCTTCTGTTGTAGTTCCAAGTAACTCAGGCCGCACTCACGCACTCATACAGAAGATTATTCCTGTAGCTCAAGTCTGACTAAGAGTTTTGGTTATGAGTTAATCATATCTCCATATACTGTTTGTCATAAAGTGTCATTCTAAGGTTTTATTTTTTGTTTCACAAAAAATGTCACTTTATATTTTCAATGCAGTTAATTTTATTAACCAAAACCCAATTTTGACCTTGTTATATCAATATAATAATTAGAAAGAGAATACATTTTAAATTAATTACAAGGGAAATTTATGGTAGGCGAATCTGGGATCTCGGAAAGTCAGAGGTATGGAGAAAGTTAGAGGTATGGAGAAAGTTATGGAATGAGAAGATGATGTCTGATCACTTCTGCTCACTGGAATATGATGATGTGAAAGGCCTCACAACCAGAAGTTGAAGATCTACTATAAAGACAGATGAAAAATCTTTTGCACTCTATATCTTGTATCGAATTATCTATCGATGGAACCATCGAAATCATTGGAAGAGACAAGGGTATAGAGTTGAAGATGTATTCTCTTTGTTGTATGGTGACGTTCTTAGTGTTGTTGAAAATTGGTTGTCCCAATCTTAATTTCTGACGAAAGAATTAATATATTGGATTCTATACGGAAGAATATCTATAGAACTAGATTGGGAGGCTGCCAATGTAATACAACAAAGGAAACCAGTATTTTAATGGGACAAAGATTTGAAGGTCCCAAGGAAAATAACAGTTGATACTCTGTTATTCACGAAGACTCAAAACAACACATCTTCAGAAGTTACTTCATTTGATCTATTGTTATTATCTGGTCATCTTAGTTATCTTTGTTGTTAGTTAAGCTATGTATTGCTTATGTATCTCTACATTCAACATCAATAAAGTTAGATGTTATAAAAAGGGAGTAACTTTTAGCCAAAAACTAAAAGGCACCTTATACAAGTAGTATTAAGAAAAAAAACAATTACGTACTATCACTTTTTTTTTTTACACTACTACATATTGTAATGCTCTTTTTAGAGACAATAAAACCCTAATATTTTATATTCTCAATCTAGATAGTATAGCAAAATGCAACCACTGTTTCCAATCAAACACCACCACCGTCTCCGGCCATGAAATCACGTTCAGTTCTTACGCATTATAATATTCTGTTGTATTAGATATGAGAATTGAGAAGTGTGTGTGATTGGGCGTTTTAAGTCTTCTCGGGGGTGAATCTGGTTTGAATCTGAATTAATTTTCAAAATTTTAGCTTAATTATTTTACTCACAAGATTTTGTATAATCGGGAAACTTTTGGGGTGAAGAGTTCTTATCTTGGATTTGTTTTTCATTTCTTCTGTTTGAGTTGAAATATATATGGAAGATTGAGTGAATACCCTCAGAAACTTCTGAAAAAATAAAGAATACAACAATAATAATTGTTTATTAGATCGATACAGATGTGAGACATCGATTCTCCCAGATTCGCTCATACAAGAAGAAGAGCGTGAGTTGGTGACATATTGGTTTCAGGGACAAGGCAAATATTGGGTGGGGCCCTCTAAAAGATACATATTGGAAAATATCACATTTTGTGAGAGCGAACTTATTAACGAAGTAATAAATATAACATTACATTGCTAATAGACATTATGTTACCTTGCTTCGCATCTGTTAACAAATATTACGTTAACTTGATAATAATTACTTGCTAACATTACCTGTTAACTAAACTAATGAAAATATGTGAACATTCAAATTTTTATATACTAACATTCAAATTATTACATGCTAACATTTAATCATTACATGCTAATAAATTCATTAGCAATGAAATGCAAACAATATGTCATGTTATTTGTTAGCAAGGTAACATAGTGTTAACAAGATAATGTGATGTTTGTTAGCAAAAGATATGGTGTTTGTGAGGTGACATGTTTTTTGTTAGCAAGATAACTAAAAACTTGTTAGCAAATGGTTGTAGTATTTCCGAGGAAGGTTAATTACTAATTGTTAGCATGATATTGATAGTACGATGTCTTGTTACTTGTTAATGAATTAATGTAGTCTTTGTTAAGTTAACGTAATATTTGTTAACAAAATGTGAAGCGAGGTAACATAATCTCTATTAGCGATGTAGTGTGATGTTTGTTACTTGGTAACAAGTTTGCTCTAACAAAATCTGATATTGTATTTTTAGTGGGCCCCACCCAATATTTGGTAGGACTCTAAGGGGGGCTTATTGAATTGATGATTTGAGAGCATTTGTTATTTTTTTCAAATCCGCTCTTATTGGAAGCTAGGACTTCAAGATTCTTCTCAGTCTAATTCACTGAAATTCCATCCAGTAGAACAGGTGCTCTTGGCCGGGTGAATATAGCTTATTCTGGTGTTTATCGTATTTACAAAAATCATTCAAAATTCTAGGTTATTGGATTGATCATTTATACAAATCCCTTAAAATCCCACCTTATTGGAAAATTGGGATTTCATCATGAAAATCTATAGAAAACTGTTTTGAGTGATTTGTAAAATATTTTTAGTTAAAAATAAACAGATTCAAATACCACCTAATGAGATGAGATTTGATTAATTAAACAACTGAACTACCATTTCCTTTTTCTTATCACACGACTAACATCAGATTTTTATGATCCTGATAATGATAAAACTATTTTCTTGATTTCACAAGAACTGTTTGAGATTATCTTCTTCTTGTTGGTTAATTGAATATAAATAGATAATGTACCAGTCTCCAAACGCCACACTTTACCAGAAAAATTAGCATTAGGGTTTTTGAGAAAAAAAGGTAAAAGTTCTTGTCTCTATCATTTGTGTGTATTTTTTTACATAGTAATGAATGTTTTGTGATCAAACTTGTTTTTGATATTGAACTATACGATTGTGTGTTGTTGTTCTTGGATTTTTCTCAACGTTTTATATAATTTTCCTGATAGTAGTGAATTGATTGGGTAGCTATCTCTCACAATCAATGGAAGATACACAAGAAAGCAAAAGTAAAAATCTGTATCTTCCTTGGTCTACTCACGAAACCAAAACATTGTTGCGTTTGTTGGTCGATGGTGTCAATCAGAACTGGGCTGATCAGAATGGTTTATTCAGTAAACTTATTGTGGAGCAAAGAATACTACCAGAGCTAAACAGAATTTGCGGATCTAAGAAAACTCATCTCCATTACCAAAACCGAACGAAGATTCTGAGGTGATCAGAATGGTGTAATTATTTAAATAAAAACACTTTTTTAAAAAAAATCTCTTGAAATCCTATCTAATCACCTTAGGATTTATACTAGTGGATTTACAAAATCTAGTCAAATCTCAAAAATTCTTTGAAATTCCTATAAATCATTTCAAATCCAAATCCCCTCAAATCATCAATTCAATAAGCCCCACTATAAGAGTAGGGTTGGTGGTGTCTTTCCCCGGCGAACACAACAACTAAAAAGTTGTCAGAAAGCCCCATTTAATTACCAAGGTATTGGTGTATATATCTGTTGCAATTTCCCATATGTTTACAGCTTTTAACATTGAGACGAATTTGAGATAGTCACAAACTTTTGCCCCTAATGTGAACTTCATTTAATTATTGATTTTGTTTTATTGTAGATCCAATAGTTTTTTTTAATCATGCCTTTTGGAAGTAATAATTTCTCGGCTTGTGTTGAAAGACAGCATCCGAGCATCTGCTGCTTGCAAGTCATGGCGTGAAGCTGGAGTATCTGTTTGTGTAGTAGAAAAACATCCATGGCTCATGTGTTTTCCTATACGTGGCAATTTTTTTGACATCCGTGATCCATTGCACTTGAAGTCGTTTACTTTGGAACTGCCAGAGCTAGCTGACTCCACTGTGTGTTAATTACTTTAGAGATGGTTGGTTACTTACGCAAAGATCTAGCTCAAACGAAATGTTCTTCTTCAACCCGTTTACTCGGGAGCTCAAAAGCTTCCCTACGTTTGAGCTGGCTTTTCGGCAGATTGCATTCTCTTGTGCTCCTACATTGGATAGTTGCGTTGTGGCAGCGTTAAACTTTAGGAATAATCATGTCACTATCAGCACTTGCCATCTTGGAGCAACTGAGTGTACTTTATTATAACGGCAACACGTGTGGATTACTACAACTGAGCAATTTCTTGATGGTTCTCAAGTGTGTTATAATCTGAGCAAGCTTGTCTATGTCAAAGATAGATTCTATTGCTTTGACTGCTCTCACGGAAGAGGAGGATACTGCATGAATACGATGAACCAAAAACCAAGAAAGAATAATATTTAAGATCCTAGAGAAATTCAAACAAAGAGAGCCTGAATATTGTCGAAATATTAATTCTTAAAAAAAATTAAATATAAAAAATGCCATTTTGAATATTGCGAGATTTTGAATGGGGTAATTATAAGTTATATAGTCAAATGATTTGTTATTTATACCATCTTTAGTCATTTGACTATCGGAGATTCCAAGGGCAGAGACTAGGATGACCACAAATCAAAGTGTTGAAAGTAAATGAAAAACAACAAAACCCTAATATTTTAGATTCTCTATAGAGAGAGAGAGAGAGAGAGAGTATAGTCGCCGTCTCGCCGACATGCGACCACTATTGCCCCGTCAAACCCCACCGCCGTCTCCGGCCATGAAGACACGTTCACCATCTTCAACCAGGGTCTCCCGTAAAAGGTTCGTTACTCTCACCATTTCTTACAAATTGTAGCATTCATTTGTAACTGGATATGAGAATTGTGTGTGATTGAGCGATTTTAATCTTCTCGGGGGTGAATCTGAATTAAATGTTAAAAGTTTAGCTCGAATTTTCTAAGGAATTAACAGATCTTGTATAATCGGGAACATTTAGGGATGAAGAGCTTTTCACTTTGAGACGAATTTGAGAAACTCACAAATTTTTACCCTAATGTGCACTTCATTTATTGTTTTAAAAAAAAAAAATTGTAGATCCAGAACCGTGAATCCAAGACGTAGATCAAGAACCGTGAATCCAAGTTTCGCTGATCTTCCATCAAGTCTTGTTGAGGTAATAATGTCTCTGCTAGTATTGAAAGACAACATCCGAGCATCTGCTGCTTGCAGGTCATGGCGTGAAGCTGGTCTATCTGTTCGTGTAGTCGAAAAACATCCTTGGCTTATGCGTTTTCCTAAACGCGGAAACTCTTTTGAACTCCGTGATCCATTGCAATGGAAGAAGCACTACACTTTGGAACTGCCAGAGCTAGCTGGCTCCACTGTGTGTTACTCAAAAGATGGTTGGCTACTCATGCATAGAGCTAGCTCAAACGACATCTTCTTCTTCAACCCGTTTACTCGGGAGCTCGTAAGCTTTCCCAAGCTTGAGCCGTCATTTCTGGATATTGCATTCTCCTGTCCTCCTTTGTCGGATAACTGTGTTGTGCTAGCGTTAGATTACAATAGGCTAGGTCAAGAGAGAATGATAACTATCAGTACTTGCCTTCTTGGAGCAACAGAGTGGATTACTACTACTGAGCAATTCCTTGATGGTTCTCAAGTGTGTTATAAGCTGAGCAAGCTTGTCTATGTGAAAGATCGATTCTTTTGCTTTGACTGCTCTCACGGAAGTGGAGGATACTGCATGTATACCTTTCACCCGCCTTCCAGCAAATGGATGTCTTATGTTTCTCCTTGTCTCGGTCGCTATGATCAGCGGCGTTATCTGTACGCGAGTTCAGTTTATTTGTTCGAGAAGGAAGGACAGCTCATTCTCATGCATACAAGCGGTAATGACAACCCAAGGGTGTTTAAATTAAGCTCTTTTGGACGGTTGGAGTTGATGTGGAAGATTGAGCGTGATGCCTTGACATTGTTTGTCAGTTTTTACAACTCTGAGTTGAGAACTAATCTCCCATGGATGAGGAACAGTGTCTACTTCTCAAGGTTTGGTCACGGTCGCAAGCGTTGTGTATCCTACTCGTTTGATCAAGGCAAGTACCATCCGCGTAATGAAGAGCAGATCTGGCGACAACGATGTCCTCCTCAAAGCATTTGGATCAATCCCCCCAAGAACGTTTTAAACTATTTGTGAGGGCTTTTGCAAGAAAACTGATATGTTTTTCTTTTCAAATAGACAAAGAAGTCATGTAATCTTTAACTTTCATTGAGGTTGAGGATCGTCTCAATTTCTTGGAGGCAGCATAAGAAAACCAAACAGCGAAATTAAAGTCCTCCATGTTATAATTTATTTATTATTCTCCTAATTATACATTCCTGAATAACTTTTAAAAACGTTTCTGGTTCCCTCACGGTTGCTGAGAGAGACGAACGTTTACATTCTCAGACGTTTCCATTAATTGATCAAACTTCATTGAGGATCGTCTCGATTTCTTAGAGCGCATATAAGTCACAAAAAAAAAAAAAAAGAATCCACAACATAGAATTTGATAAAAGTTTAGAGGTTAACAAAATCTCATTTATTTATATGAATAAACTTGTAAAAAATAAAACAATTGCAAGAAATAGATGAAGAAAAAGAAGCAACGAACATCAAACAAAAATATTGTATTGAATATTCAATTACACAACTTAATTTAATACACAAAATTTCATATAAAAATAAAACCCTAGAGCGACTTAGGTAAATGAGACATCGTCAACATCACCGGGAAACCTTTATCACTTTACCCCGCAGACAGCCACAAATTGACAATGTTCTTGCAGCCACACAACCTAGGCTCTCCAAATAATAAACCTCAACCACAAGCAGTCTAGTGGCACAAAGACAGCACAAAACTAAATAAAAAATGGGTTCTTTAAGCTAGATATCAGATCCTAAGTGGAAAGATAGAGAAGACAGTACAAACCTCAATCCAAATCTTCCTGCCTGGTGTCAATATGACGATACTTAAACCCTACCAATCCTTGAATATCAAACGCTTGTAAAAGTTTTCCTCTCTAGATTGTAGAAGTACACGCAGTAAGGCTTTGATTTGTCGTTGCTGTTGTATGACGACCACACAATGTCCCCTGTAGCAGTCATTCCAACAAACGATTTCTCTCTGATTGAAGTAGGCACTTGGTAGGTATGCGTGGACCATTTCTGATTTCCAGCATCTTCCATAACCCACAACACAAGTTCTTTAACGTTATTCCGATAGTTTTTTTATTCTTTCATGTATACCTAATTTGCCTTTGTAGTTGATCAAAGTCAAACAACCACATTCATAAGAATTATACATCATGTCTTTATCTAAATTAATAAAGTCTAACTTCTCAGACCTAACATCGAAGCAAACTATCACAGAAGTATCTTCCATTTCAGCTCCGAAATATAAAACACCGTCTATGCATATTTCACCACGCATTCTAATACCCTGCATAAAATCGAGTGTAAATTCGACCCTTCTCCAAAAATGTTTTCCTGACTCCAATGTCAAAACCTGATGAGTATTGGGTCTTTCACAATCTGACGAGGTGCAAGGTGAAAAGGAGGAAGAGTGGAAGACTTTCTTAGAAACAACTCAGTGAAATCAGGAAGACCATGCTATAGACTCTTTCGGGACTTGAGAGAATATTTCGATTAGTAGATCAACTGAGATTGGGTCTGAGTATGTTCTTCTTACCGACTTGTGAGATTGTGTTTCCTTTCCGGAGGTGATTGATAGATTCTCCGACAAGTGCTGCTCAGACCTTTCCATGGCGGCAAAGTACAAAACCCTTAGAATCAGTTCGTGAGCTTCAAAGAGTTAAGACCAACAAAACCCTAGACTCTAGAATTTCTTGATATGCAAGAAATTTAAATGGGCTCGATTAGGCCCAACACATACTGAGTAAAACCAAGATGCTAGTAGTAATGTGACTAAATTAACAAGTCAAATCAAAAATTTCACAACGATATGAAACAATGTGAGAAGATTTACATTACAGCTCTCTTCTAAAGTTTTTCTTCAATGGTCAATATACTAGACTTTAATTTTCATCTGTATTTTAGTTTTCATATAGAGAATTAAATATGAAATTATAAATTCAAAGTAAATAGAAATTAAATTCTAGTTGATACCTTTTCAAGAATTAAATCAAATGATGTTGCATGAACCAAATGATGTTTTTATTGGTCAATATACTAGAACAAGGTGGTTGTCCCGCACCTTGTGCGGGTACAATATTTTTTAAATACAATTATTAATTAAAGATTTAAATAATATAAGTAGTACAACTTTTTATTGTATTCATCGTTTTTGTTTTCGCAAACTTCTTATTTTTGTAATCTTGAGGTGTCTTATTTTTATCTTCTCTTTTCCATTATTTCTTCTTTCCTTTCTTTTTCCTCATGTTCGACTTTTCTTTTTCTTTTCTAAATTTTTCATCTTCTTTTTCACTGTTTTCTTTTCTTTTACTTATGTATCTATTATGTCTTGTTTGTGTCTTGTATATCACCTACCAATTCATTTCGATAGTTAAAATTTTCAATATTTTTGAATAGATTCTATCTTTATATAGTTGAAGTCTTTTAAAAATTTATTAGTTTTGTTATCTTTCAATTCTGGATTTTCTTTAGTTGTTTTAGTTTTTTTTTCTATTTGTGAATGTAATTTTGAAAGTAGATATAAATTTCAAATAAATGATTTTTTTATTATGAAATTCTTCTATAATAATTCAAGTTTTTTTAAAATACACCAAAAACTAAACCCTACCCCATCAATATAAACCCTACACCCTAAACCCAAACCCACAGTGTAACACCACCCCCTAAATAACCCAAACACCACATTATTAATGATTAAGCAAATATTATGGATATTAAAAAAAAAATCGTTATAGATTCGCCATTAGAATTAGGGTTTCATGAATATTAAGATGGTAATTAAAAGGATAGATGTTCATACCTTCTTTTGCTGGAGTTGAATATTTCTCGCTTGGGACCAAATCTGATCTTCTAGATTCCATTAGCTTGGAACTCACTGTTACAAAAGCGAGAGAAGAAGAAGTTAGAAGCGTATATGTAGATGATTGACAGTAGATAACAAATAATCAGTTAATCATTACAGTAAATAGAACTTAAATCAAAGTGAAACAATAAAGATACATGAGAAGAAGAAATATGAGACCTAAGAAGTAAGATTACGTATAGAAAGAAGATATGCAAATCGTAATGAGAATTGGGTTGATTTTGCTTGTAGCTATAACTATATATAAGAAAGAGTCGGCTAACAAACCTAGGTTTTCCAATTTTTAATTCTTTACAATTTTTTTAATTTCTTCCATATATGTGGCGCGAAAATATGTTAGTTATACGGTATATATCCAAAAATAATTTAGGAAGAAAGCAAAATTCGTTATCCATCGTCCAATAAAATAAATTCGTTTTTAAATAAGATAATAAGCAAATTGAAAGATTTATTCAAGATTTTCATTAAGGGTAGTTATGTAATTCCGAGGCTGAGAGTTAACGTGGTGCTCCATTCACGAAAATTGATTTGCAAATACTAATATGATTTATTTATTATCTGTATTTTAGTTTTTATATAGAGAATTAAATATTAAATTATAAAGACAAAGTAAATGGAATTTAAATTCTAGTTGATAGTTTGATACTTACCAGTTTTAAGGCAGATATGTAACATGCAAGCAAAGCAATATATAACCACAAGTAGAGAACAATACAATACCAAAATCTGAATTCTTACTAAGCGAGGATGGCTTTTTCCGCAAATTGTTTTGTCATCGTTTCTTTGTTAGTTCTCTTACAATTTCTCATTGTCTCTGCTTCAACAAAACCCATCGACTCCATCTGCCAAGGGCAAGGGGTCACCGACCATGCCTATTGCTTCAAAACCTTGAGCGCATATCCTCCTGCCGTTCTGCCTCCACTCTGGTATTTTAGTTTTCATATAACACATTTACTTTCATAAATTATCAATTAAAGTTTCCAAGTTATTGTTTCTTTGAATCTAGGGAGTTTTTATACAAATGCATTGAAAATCCAAAAACTATACTATTTCTTAAATACAGTTGTGGATCCCCAATATCACTATTCTTGTAACTGCAATAATGTTCATTTCTCATTTTGTTTTCGATCTGTAGTTGCAAGCAACTGAGGCCGCGCTCAGCCTCGCCAAATCCTATACCGAGGAGCCAATAAAATTCACCGGAAAAGCGGCACAGGAGAATCCGAGATTAAAGAAGGATTTCCTGACTTGTCAGCATTCCTACCAGACTACTGAAAAGCAACTCGGCATCGCTATCGATAGTCTCAAGAATTACCCAGAGGAGTCACTCTATTCTTGTCAGCTTACCTGGGAAGAGATGTCGGTCGTGAAGTATACTGTCGGGAAAAATGAAGATGAGGCTTCCAAGACTCTCATGAAGATGACACTGATGGTGTTCAAAATTATTCCTATCATCGTTGAAGCCACCCGAGCTGTTACTTTGGCAAGCCAATGAAAATGATGAAGAAACATTTGCGACTAGGACATGAGATGTTTTGTTTTTAAGAGGATCAATAGATTTCAAGCCCAAATCCCATGTAACTAGTGTTCCAGACATGTAGTGTGAGATATAAATTAAGTTATAGTGTCTTTGTGTAAGGGTAACTTTGCACTTGAATAAAGCTCCTTTGAGCATATGTAGTCATTCGTTTCTTCTACAGTAAATAGTACAAAGAAGCAGGCAAAATAAAGAAAAGGCGTTAGATTAAAAAGAGGAAGACAAAAATCAATTATTTTATTTTTGTTAAACTGTTTTAGACCTAATTTTAGTATCTTGGTAGGTTCCAAAATAGAAATGATATGTTGTCTTGAGATTTTGCGTCTAAACTTAATTTTCTGCAACCTAACAAACTTGATACAAATACATTTTGATTACATTTTAAAGAAAAGTGTAATAGGGAATCTTTGCCGACTAGGTAGTTTCAAGTTTAATATTGTGAGTTTGGGTGTGTTCAAGTTTTTATTAGATTTGTAGGTGAGAGAAGGTTTCTCATACTTGCATTCCTCAGTTACAGGGTTAGAGGAGGGTTCGAACTTGAGTTCAGGGGGTCAATGTCCACTAATCTACCAACTGAGCCAATTGTTCCTCATAGAATGCTGTACATTAAAATTTATTTATGTATTTCACTTGGGTCAGCTGACCCACCTGGTTGTTCACCGGCTCCGCCACTGTTCCTCACTATCTTCAGATACCTTTTGCCTTAAATGTGTCTCTCTACCACTATATATATTCTACTCAGACAGTCTGATTATAAAATTAACAATAACCCTCCACCATCAATCATCCAATCAAAATCCATATTAAAACCACCCAAATCACCACATCACCAATTTTACCAACTCCGTCGAATTAGATTCACATCACTTTCGTATTTTGAAGTTCTTACAGTTTTTAGTCGGATCTCCAAAGCTTACTACAATCTGTTTCTCTAGTGGACATTCACAACCTTCAGCCTCATATATTTACTTATCGGAGCTATCTTTGGCCCTTTCTATCTTCTACTGTTTTACCGATATGATATTGGATAATCATCCCAAACATATTGATCGTGTCTGTATTTACCAATAGTATAACCAATTTCACAATTAGTCCTTACTCGAGAATCATCATCATGTTCTTGTTCTTTCTCCTCTCAAAAATCTTAGATCTCATTATATGATGCATGTGTAATTAAATTTATGTCATTGACAGATTTAACATGGACTATCCATTACTTTCAATCAGAGTATTATTTGAATGGACTATCAATTAAAAAGTCTATGCAAGAGGCAGAGAAAACGCTACAAAATTTTCAAATTATATTCGATTCACACCGACTCTAACTTAAGACATATCCACAACCGCGAGACCATATCAATTTGATTAACAATTAATTCCCCGCTCTCACATGTTTGTAAAATGTTCATCAGCTCACATGTTAGTAAACACCTTGCTTTTAAAGTGATACGCTTATTTTCTAGCTGAGACACAATGTTCATATTACGTAGGGAAGAGAGCCAAGAGACTCTTGCAGCCCAAGAAATACACTAATTAACATGTTAATTGTAAAACAGAAAATCTAGATACATTAACATCACGTAACGACTAAAACCAAGATACAACATACCTTTAATAGAAGACAATATAGAGTTGTAGCAACAACAACACCAAAGATCTCTTCCTTGACCTCCCCACTTTTTTTCTACTCCTCACGGTCCATCTCCTCACATCTTCCTCTTTATCTCTTTCCCTTACAAACTCAACCCTAGCATTAAACTAATCAACTACTCAATCCTACCATTAAACTAATTAACTCTCTTGCCATGTAAGCTTCACTAAAGTCTTTTAGATACAGCCAAAGCTCCTTATGTCCTGGAAAGCTCTTCATATCTATTCTTTATTAGCCACAAACCCGAAAAATACGAATAACCCATTATCTCTCACGGTGAGTCAATGTTACTATAAACCTGAAGTTCACCATTAATGGAACCACTACTTCTTTATAATGGATATTATTCTACTACGCTAGGTTGATACAACCACTGATCTCCTACATCAACAAAATATAAGATTTCAACAAAGTCCCAGCATCGGATCAAGTCATCTAGAAATTAATAATCCTTGATTTGGATAGAAAACATTCAGAAACGATGATCGGAGTGGCACACAGCACCGGTAGTGGTCTAAATAGAAGAAAGATGGCTCGTAACAAAAGCTAGAGTTTCGGATCAAAGGTTCATGAACAAATTCGACGTATCCATCTGCAGTCATATTCCCGCAGCTAGCTATCAACTCCCATGACAATCTAAAATTGATATATTTTTTTTTATCGCCGAGAACGCGCTTGGCTGGAGCAAAACACTTTCAAAAGTGCTAACAAAGAATCTTTATATAGGTATACGATTAGGGTTTTTTAGCAGTCAATACTTGACGGGCTAGGCCCCAAAACGAAATTCAAACCATGTAATTTTTATCTTTTAATATTTTAATGAACAATAAATTCGTGAATAAAAAAAAAAGAAATTATGAAGATTTAATCTAGATTTTCATTAAGGGTATCTGGATAATCAACCAGCTGAGATTGAATGTGGTGCCTTTAAACGAAATTATCACTTTGCAAATAATATACTGTATTAGATTATTCGGTTATGTAGTTCCAGTTAAGCAGCTCAGGCCGCACTCAGCCTCGCCCAACCCTATACCGAGAAGCCTATACAATTGATGGGAAAAACGACAAAGGACAATCTAAAATTGAAGAAGGATTTCCTGACTTGTCAACATTCCTACCAGGATATTAAAATTCAACTTCAGGGATGCTACCGAGGATCTCAAGGATCACCCAGACGATGCAGTATATTCTTGCAAGATTTGTTGGGCCGAGACAACAATCGTGAAGGATATAATATTGTCGGTATAAATGGATATGTGGCTTCCAAGACTCTCATAAAGATGACACTGAATCACTGATGATGGAAAAGACTATTTCTATTGCCGTTGAAACCATCCGAACTGTTGGTGGGTGAAAACAACGATGAAAAAACATTTCCTACTAGGGCATGCAATATTTTGTTTTTAAGAGGTTAAATAGATTACTCTCTTTTTTTCGCTGGAACATATGCATGTGTTGAAAAACTATTTTAATTGGCAAAATGCGCTAAACAAAAACCAAATCTTTGATTTTGTGCCAAAAACAAAATGGTACAAACGGTGGTTTTTTAACTGGAATTAATATAATTATAGGAATAATGACAGTGGAATAGGTAGGTGTAGTTATCCAAGATTTTATTTTTCTACCTTTTTGAAGAAGAACAAATCTTAGACCGCTTTTTACACAAAAATATGGGTCCCACATTTTCTGCTTGAAAATAAAATTTTGTAAATGGTTCACAGCCATCCATATTTTAGTTTCCATATAGAGAAAGGAGACTACAAAGAGAATCAGAGTGGAAATTAAATTCTGACACATCTTAAGACATGAGTAAAGGAAACTAAATGAAATCACATTGACCAATTTAAGACAGATTAATTGTATATATACATAACCACAACTAAAGAACTATTCGATATCAAAATCTGAATTCTTTCCTGGCTTCTTCCCCAAACTGTTTTGTCATTGTTACTTTGGCAGTTCTATTACAATTTCTATTTGTTTCTGCTTCAACTAAATCCATCGACCCCATATGCCATTACGTCACCTACACAGCCTTTTGCGTCAAAACTTTGAGCGCATATCCTCCGGCTGTTTCTGCCACCACCACGGTACTTCCAAACGGTCTTTTTATACAAATGCATTGAAAAATCGTTCCTAAATATTAAGGATGTCCTATACCATTTCTGGATCCAAAATCACTATTTTTTGTAACAGCAATATTCATTATCATAATTTTTTTTCTTTTCAATATGTAGTTCCAAGCTGCCCAGGCCGCGCTCAGCCTCAGCAAATCTTATGCCGAAAAATCTGCCGGGTTCGCTGCAAAAGCGGCAAAGGAGAATCCAAACTTAAAGAAGCAGTTTGCGGGGTGTCAAGATGCCTTTGTGACCATTATAGAGAATCTCAAGAACGCTTCCAGGGATCTCAAGGAGTCACCAGACGCTTCAAACTATGAAGCCAATATCTGTACGGACAGCACGGCGATAGTCAAGGATCTGGTCAGGAAAAATGGAGACATGGCTTCCAGGACTATCCTGAATATGACATTGATGATGGAGAAGTTTATTGATATTGCCGTTGGAGCCACCATGGCTCTTGGTGGTTAAAAAGACAAGCATGAATAACATTTGCTACTAGGAATTGCAATGTTTAAAAAAAAAAAAGAGGATTAATACATTTCTCTATTTTTTGTTTGAACATATACGCATGTGTTGAAAACTATTTTATTGGGAAATTACCAAACTTGATGAATTAATTTTATAATATTCTATTATATAAAGCTAGATGAGAACGACGTGGTTGCGAAAGAAAATAATATCTTTATGGGAATTAGCTTTTATTAATTGATAAAATATTGTACATGTATCTTATGTTACTCAAATATTTTTTATCGGGGTTTCAATATTATTTTACTTACATTTAAAGAGTAATTATATTTTTTTCATATTTTGTCGTAAATTGTTTCAAAAATTTTAAGATAAACTCTGCCGACCTTATCTAGTTATATATTTTCAGTTTTAATTTTCCAGTTTATTAAAAAAATGATTTCATTAGTACTTTGCCAAAACTTATTAACCATAAAAATTTACTCATCAACCAAACCTTAGTAAAGGGCCTAAAGGCTGGCCGCAAAATTAAATTATTAAATTTTTTTTTATCAGATAAAGTATGTATGTTTTGTTAATTTGATGTAGTTTATATATTGATGTTATCTCTTATTATATAAAGCTGGGTGCGCGCGACGTGCGACACATAGGATTTTTATAGTTCATTAGATCATGACATGTGTCATTATTAGTATTGAATGTATTAAGATCGTGACATATGTCATTACAGAAAATAATAAAATTTACTAATTAAAAAGTTAACAATAAAAAAAGAAATAAAATTTTAATCCCTATAGAAAAAGGAAAAAAAATGGAAAAAAAAATCATATAAAAGAACAATGAATATCACAAAAAAAAGGAAAGAATAATAATTAAAAACTGAAGTTTATGGAAAAATGACAAAATGTAATATTTACTTGAAAACAATAAAAATATAAGAAAGTACAATCAACAGTAGGAAACGAAGAAAAAATAATTATACAAAGGTTAATCTTTATTGAAAAATAAACAGATAATTAAAAAAATTATCGTGTGATAAAGGATAAAAATATCGTTCTGATTATAACAAACGATATGGTTAAAATGAACTGAGGGCAATAAAAAATAGATAAAAGGCAATAAGAAGTTAATCCTTCTGGAAAAAAAGAAAAGAAAAAAAAAATCAGAAAATGCGTTGTGATTAAGATGAACCGAGGAGCGTTGTGATTAAGATGAACCGAGGAGCAATTTGTTTCTCTAATATGTTCTTTAACTAAAATTTATTTGAATTATGACTCTAATTCAGTTATTAAATTTAGAAAACTATACATAGTTTTAAAAAAAAAGATTTATAATGGTACAGTTTTCTTATTTTAATTATTTTTAAAAGTGATGAAATTTTATTTTTTTATTTTTCTGTATTTGTTTCTACAATACGTAAAACATTAAATTATAAATCTCGCGTATACGCGGAACCTAATATAATATATTAAAACATTTCTTCAAAAATGTCACAATTATATATCATACTGAGTCCACAATGCCTTAGGAGTTAAATCGATGCAAACCAAACTCTAAATATTTTGATTAAAAAGTCTTTTCTCTAATTTCGTTAAATGCAAATAATTAATAACATGTTAATAGTACTTTGTTTCATATAATAAAGGGGTAGAGCAAGGTCACGTATTCTTTCATGTTTATTATTTCCAAGTTTGCAGGAGTTGAACTCCATTCTAAATTGAAAAGAAAACCACGAAAAAGATAGATTGAATTTGCCTAAACTAGTAAGTGTTCTTTTTTTTTTTCAGTTTTTGGGAACTCTATCATGTTCGTTAGAAAAAATGGTAAAATGTTAAATTATGTTCTTTGTTCTTTAATGCCTTCTTTTCTCTCCCTACCTTCGTCATCCTTAGCAACTTTCTTTTTGTTCATAGATTCTCGAATATAATTTCACAATCATAACCTGGAACAGTAACGAAATATAAAAACTATTGTCAATCACTAACCCTTAGATTCAATGCTTTCAACTTCACTGGTAAAAGAGAAGAACGTTTTTTTTTATCATGCTCTGTTGCTTCTGATGAGAGATTAACAAGATTTCATTTTCAGTGAACCGTGAGTGAAAATACGTGTGAAGGTATTTTTGCATCAATATTTGTTGATGTGAATTTTACTCGTAAGATAAGTAAAACAACAAGATATTTTTTTTTCAATCACATAATAATGGTTTCGTCGTATTTTGGTTCTCCTCTCATACCGTCGTTCTTCCCTATTATTGTATTGTCACTTTCAATTGCCATATTCAGTATCACCCCATCATATGCATATCAGAAGGTGTATGGGTTCTGGTTTAAATATTTTCCTACTGTCGAATTGGTGGAAAACTACATAATATGAAGTTGAATAATCCTGCACACATAGAATGCGTATATGGCCTGGTTCTTTTGATATTGGGAACCACTAGGTTGTCGTGGTTATATGGTTGTTAATTACTTCCTTGTCTTTGTCTTGTACCTTGTGCGGGTCACTACTTCATATTTTCGTTAAGCATCCTCAGTTACTGTCACTTAAAGCAAGAAAGATGACCCTCTCCTTTTATTGACCACAAGTTAATCCATAATCTGGGTTCCTGGCAGTGTGGCCACACTGTCATTCCTCCATTTCTCAAAGCTAAGTTGATCTCTTACGCCTGTAAGACCAAAGGCCCGATGCTAAATTAGGAGACTTGGGTCTTAGAGATACATACCTCAAAAAATACAGATGACACACAATTTATTCCTACAAATTCGATAATGATCCCAACATATGCATGTAAGACCAAAAGCCCGATGTTAGATGTGGGGACTTGTACCGTGCTGAATCTATAGATGTTTTTGTCCATATGCATGTGTTGAAAATTTATTTTAATTGGCAAAATGCTAAACAAAAACCAAACTTTTGATTATGTGCCAAAAAGGCAAAAACAAAATGGTGCAAATGGTTGTGTTTAACTGAAATCACATATATGAATAGGGGCCAACCCTCTCTATATTTGTGATACCAGAGGAAAAATTAACATGTAGCACATAATAATCTACCATTTTATTTTAATGTTTTATAGTATTTTAATGTACACAGCTTAACACGTGGCACACAGAAATATTATAAAAAAACTAGGTGGAAGTCTGCGCTACGTGCGGGTAGTGATGTAAAAATGTGTAAAACTTTTTAATTTATCTTGATTGTCATATTAGTTTGTTTGTTCAAACTCTAAAAATGTAGGTTTTATTTTTCCAACTTATCCAGTCACTTACAATATGTGCAAGAAATTATCTATATAGTGAATAAGTTGTCTATCTATCTATCTTATATAAGAAGTTATCTATACAGTGAATAAATTGTTTCTCTCTATCTTATATTGCTGTTAACAGTGCTTAATTTTGTATGTTGGGTTTTTAGCTCATATATCGTTCTCCATAAATGTTGCGTCAAATTTATTTACGGTACATTCGAGTGTTCGAGCGGAGAAACAAAAATCTTTAGAATGAGTTTTTGTTTTTGGAATTATTGTAATGTTAAACATCCCCCAAGTGGTAAGTGGTAAAGTGGTTCTAATTTTTTTTCACTTTCTATTTTAATTACACATAGTTCGTAAATTTTTTTATTTTGTATGTGTTTTGTTGGTGAAAGTTACAATTATTTGTTGAGTGAATGAAATGTTACATCCTTTATTTATTCAATAACAATACAATACATCAAACACTAAAATGTACATGTCTATGTGGTGGCCTTATTTGCTCAGGTTGTGGACGTAATGAGTTCAGCTGTTTCCCCACACGAATATGGTTTGTTGACACTCTGCCAACTTCTGTACTGCTGATGGTAAATCTCTCTCCTGTACAATATTTTCATGTTAGTTAGATTTTTTGTTTCTTCTCTTTCTCTTTTACTTAAGCTTCAAAGTTGTAAGGATTCAAGAATCAATGCATGTAGAATCTATAGATGTGTATGCACCTAAACTGATTGCATGTAGTATTGTGAACAATGGACATTGAATAAGAGGAGGATTATGCGCCATATTTGGATCAAGAATCTAGAGCTATGAATTGAAATGCAGAAAAATAGTCATCAGAAATTCTGAAATAAGATTTAGAAAAGCATTGCGGAAACATTACATGTTTGCTCTTGATATCACCTTCTTCCTCATCCCCAGCAACCAAAGAAGTTTTTGGTGAATTTAAAGACCTTTCTGACTAATCTCTAACCAAAGAGGTACATAATTATCATATTTTTATTGATAGTGAAGAACATTTTGAACAACATACCTTTACTCAATCGATTTTTAGACCCACTCTTTCTTTCTGAACAAAGCACAAGAAGATATCATTTTCTGAAAAGGAGACATAAATGTGAGACTTCATTCCATTTCCTAGACTACATCAAGGCTAGAGTACAATATTAGGAACAAATCAAATGAGTAACATTATGAGTTACGAACCTGCGTAATTTCCAAAGTCAGAACTCAAATCTGGCTTAATAAGACATAACATGCGAACAACTTAAATGAGTATCTAACAATAGCAGCAGTAGATTGTTAATTAAATGTATATACCTTGGTCATGCGTAAAATTCAAGAACTTGTATTGCCTTAACATCTATACCTTGCAATTCCACCTACATATTAGAAAACGAAGAATTACGTAAGTTTTCAAACCCAAGTAAGCTTGTGAGCTTATTACGATAAAAGAAACATGAAACTTAAATCTTATAAATTTTCCAACAGAGGCAGATAAATTGATCATGTTATTGAGAAGAGAGTCAGAGTTAATAGTAAATATCTAATCACTGGTCATGACTTTTGTACAAAAATTGACAAAAATGAGATTCAAGTTACAAAAATTGGTAAATAATTTCTGTCTTTTCTCTTTTGCTATTCCTCTGCGGTGAACACTTAACGAAAATCATACAATATCTTTAAAGACAATACCTCGTGCAGAGGCAGGCTTTAATCTTGCATGTTAAACAATGACTATAAATCTGCAAAATTGGATTGTCTCCTGACCTGAAGTAGACCAAAAAAGGTAGAAAAGCTTAACATGATCAAATTTTCAGATACTTAGAAGAAGTCAATAAATATGAAAATAAAACAAAATTAAAATCTCGAACCTCTTTCTCCAGCCTAAGCCTCTTCTCCACTCCTAAATGTTTTGAAAACAAAGGACAAAGCCGTGAATTAAGCGTTGTTCTCGTAAGCAAATGTTTGAAGGGAATGCAAATATTATGCCAAAATTAAAATCTTATATGGAGAGATACAACTTATCTCTATTATTTAATCGATGCATAGCTTGTTGGAAAGAGCGGAGGAAGCAACAAAGGAGTGGGAGATATTTGACTATTCGTGTAACCTAAATTGGAGACAAAACAGACACTATGTTGTATTTTTCCCTTCTTTCCATACCTAAGAGCTTTCGATGTCTGTCAATTGTTTAGCTGACATGAAATAGAAAAGCTGCATGTATTTTTTTGTGTTTGTTTCCCTGCTTGTACTAAGTTAAGGCTCTGATCCCCTCTTGAATTAGAACACCGTTGGTCTCTTGTATTGATAAGCTCTTGACCGTTTTTCTGATGAATAGTTGTATTCTTGTCGGAAGCTAGCCCAGAAACAATTCCTGCACATTTCTACTCATGAACTTCAGTTACCAACTTAAACAAAAAAAAAAATAACGAAGCAATTCCAACCTTTAGAGAAATTATGAGCCAATAAAGAAAATGAAAAACATCATGCGATTAAAGGTTTAGAGAAATCAGACCAAAAATAACACACACACCATCATGAATCCAATCACGTGTTTGATTGCTGATATTCATTTGCACGTTGTGGCTTTTTAGACATAGAATAAGGAAGATAAACAGTGTGAGTTTCATACTTTGCCTCTTCTATCACCAGATCTCAGTTGGCCACATCTCACAAGATTAGCAACATAGCCACCTTTCTAACTACAGAAGCCCAAATAGCAGCGATGAAAACATTAGAGAGGGTGTAGAGCCCCTATCTAAATGCTTTTCTACGAGTCTTTTTTTTATCTAAACAGATAAGATTTTGAAAATCCAAATATATGTGCAGGAGCAAACTATGAACAGAAGAATCAGCATAATGTTATCTAGCCATTTCCCATTTCCCATTTCCCATTTAAACCTCACAATCACAAAATCAATTTTTTTACAGGAAATAGCAAAGCTCGATCGAGAAGAGAGAATCATACCACGGAGTTGATAATATGAAGGGTGGTAATCGTAGTCTGAATCTCTAAACTGAATCATTGGGAAACATCATTCCGATTTTCTGAGTTTGTTGATATGATGTAAAAGAATCACCAATCGATTTGTAGACGAAGCGTCGTTTCTTTTACGTTGATAATTATCGGCGAGTTAACGCGGAGACTGTAACTGCACATGAAGAAGAAAGGACATTAATTTAAGTTGTGAGGTCCGCCGATTTAGGTACAGCGGCGACGAAATCTGCGGTTGGGGGAGCCCTCAGACGAAGAATCTGCGATCGGCGGGGCTAGTGTTTTGAAAGGGTTTTCTGAGGATGACCATGGAAGGGATGTGCGATTGGTGTAGGGTTTTAACGGGGAGAGTTGCCGGAGAAGATCCGATTTGGCGGCGGAGAGAGAGAAGATAGAAAACGCGATGTGTGAAATAAAGGCTATTTGGAGGAAAAAAAACAAATAGTAAACAATTCACAGAATCGGCCACGTGGTCATCTCTCCCGCGCTGACGTGGCGGTCAGCTGGAGAGAGATGGCCAACTATTATAGTATAGAACTAAGGGTGACCGCGCTTCGCGCGGAACTTTATATTGTTGTGTTAGTTTTATTTTTTTCCGAAAATTGAATTTATTTCTATAGTTTATTATTGTTTCAAAAATATTATACACATATTAATTAATTAAATATAATTAGGTTAGGCAAATTTCCGTCTAACCCTATCCCATCCCATTTTGTTCCTTTTAATCATATCCCGTTCTTTTCCGTCTCATTTGTCATGTCCGCCCCATCTAGTCTCATCTTATCCTATTATGTTCCTTTCCATTTTGTCATATCTCTGTCCCGTCTCTGAATATAATTAGGGGTAGGCAAAATTACTGTCTCATCCCATTATGTCCCTTTCCATCTTATCCCGTCCAATCCCGTCTCATTTCGTTTTTTTTATCCCGTCCCGTCCAACCTTTCCTTCTTATCATGTTCTTTTCTTGTCTCATTCCTTTCCATCCCATTCTGTTTTGTCCCGTTCCTTCCCGTCATGTCCGGTTTCATCCCATTTCGATATTTTCCCTTCCGTCTAGTTCTTTCTCCTTCCTGTTCCGTTCCGTCTCGTTCCTTCCCTTCCGTCTCGTTCTTTCTCGTTTCGTCTTATTACTTCATGTCCCTCTCTGTTGCTACCATTCCTTCATGTCCCTTCCTATTCCTTTCTATCACGTTATTTTCCATCATGTTTCTTCGGGTTCCATCTCATATCGTTTAAATTATATAATTAATTTTAACAAAACTAAAATCGTTAAATTTTTATTTATGTAGATCAGTTGATATGATTCTTGTTTTATAAAAACTTTTTAAATTCTTGTTAAAGTTATGACATGGTAATTATTATGACAATTAAAGTATAATAAAAGCAAATAAAATAAATCAAATGGAGAGTAGAGATGGCTGATGTGGAAAAATGCTGAATTTAGAAGGGTCTCTTTTGCTGAGGTGTCACCAGCAGAAGAGAATCACACCAACTTTATATATATACTAGGTTAAAGCCCGCGCTACGCGCGGATGATATTGTTATTTTTTCTACATAGAATTTTACTTTTCAATGTTATGAAACTAATTTTTCTTTTAAACATGGCATTTTCTTTTACCTGAAACCTGAACTCGTCAATAAAAAAAACCTGAATTGAACCTGAACCTCAATTTTTAAAAGACTCGAACGGCTTTCATATCTTTAAACCAGCGAAACTCGGAATAAATCCAAATACCTATAAAAACCAAAAAATCCAAAAAAAATGATTAACCCAAACCAAAGCCGAAAATACTCGAACCAAAACCGAAACACTTGAACAGAACCCGAATCAATTTTTTAACAAAAAAAACTCAAACGGGTCTTTATCTTTAAACTCGAAAACCTGAAACCTGAAAAACCCGATCCGAAGACGACCCAAAAGGCCGAAGTATCAGGCCTAGTTTCTCGGACGTAGCGTTTCATTTAGTTTCTTAAGTTTTTTTCCATCATTCGTGCTCATTTCCCCTCTTTTGCAGCCTTTAAGATGCAATTCCGACATGAAATATAGATTTGGCAGAAATGTATTTATATAAATGTCTTTGAGTATCAGATAAGTGAAACATCGACTTGTTCAGTTAATAAATAATTTATCTTAAAATTTGAGTTGATTTAGGAAATGCTATGCGTGAGGTTTTATAAATACTTTCAATTAAAAAGTGATCAATTCAAAATTATGGATCGTTATTTGATGTTATTCTTTATAAAAACGTGTATTTTCATATATTTTCTTATGTGAATTTCATCTATATCTGTGTTTCTTGAGCAAACTATTAATTTTGCTGCTTATTTTCAGTCACTATTACCAAAGATTGTTTATTAAGGTATCGTTATAACATCAAAATTGAGTTCATTATCATTTAATTTCATGGTTTGGGCAAAATTTATTTTGATGGCTAATCACTCTTCACTAAGTTGATAATATTTTTTTTGTTTTTCGAATAAACTATTTCTTGAGATTAAATAGGAAAAATCATGTCTTGAAGCTAAACACAAAGAAAAGTTACAACTACGCAACTATCAAGTAATCCAAAGTTTTTGTACATTATATTGGATTGGAGTATTTTGTATTACAGTTTATTACATTATATTGGATTGTACTTTTTATTTTCATCTTTGCGTTCTTTGTGATTGTTATGTTACCCATTTTATCTTTTATCATTTGTTTCTTGTTTATTGGTTTTTTTTTTTACTTTGTCCAAACCTTCTCGTTTTTCAATTACCTTAAACTGTAGCGTTTGTTCGAATTGTTTTCATCACTTAACAACTTCCATCCTTCTCCACAATTCTTATGTTGTTCGTCATGTGTGGGAGGGAATTCTTTTAGTTTATTTGATCACCGCTCTTTATGTCTCACAGTCATAGTATTTCTATCTTTTGGTTCCTTAAGTTTATTTTCTAAAATTGTTTCTTATCTTAATCATCCTTATCCCTTATACATATGGTTTATGTTGTACATTTTTTGGTTAATTTTATTTCAAAATCTCTTGGGCCAAGAGGAGTAACTTCTTGGGAAATGAGAGAACAAAACGCAGTATTTTTAGACAAATGAAATCTTTGAAGAAGAGATTCAGTAAACTTCAGCAGCGAAGTTGTTTGTGGGAAGTCTTTGTCGCTTCTCAATGTACGCCATAGGAAACCAACCACCTTAGCCTTTACATTCTCCTTCAGCCCAACCAGTCTGGCTCACCTGAAAATATTGAAAGACAGAGCACAAAAAACTTAAGTTTCATGCACTAACAAAAGATTAGTTCTTTGATCTTGGTAAAGTATATGAACCTTTCGGACAACGACGTAATCTCCTTTGTCCAAATGTAATTCTTTCTTTGAAGCAGCGGAAAACGGATGAATCACCTGTCAAGAGAACATATATGTTTGCTTATGAATAGTCTTTTTTTGGTTTCTCAATTTCGCAAGAGAAATCTTACTTCAGCTAGAAAGTATGATGTTTTCTCTGAGCTGTTCTCAGTTGGAATCGCAGGAGGAGCAGATTCTTTGTGTTGTTTCTCGGTTACCATCTAAGAAATGCCAAAAAGTGTGAGGCTTTTCATGAGATTCAGATATCAAAACGTTTCATTCATTAATACTAACCTCAGCTATTGTTAATTGATAATTCTTCTCCCCTTCGACCTCAAGTAGAACTATGCTAATATAGTTAAAAAAGTAATCAACATAGAATACCAAAAACTGAAGTGTATGGGTAAACATACCATAGCCACAAGCCTCTGGAAAGCAAGTCTATGTTGCTGTGATTCAACAGCAGCCAATGCAGCGGTTGCTTCTTTAGCTAAAACCGCCATGTTTGCTTTCAGCTCTTGCATCTTCGCTTCCGCTCAGATTCTTTTAACTGAAATTTTAGGTCCTCGATACCCACTCCCATCTTTTCTTTCTCCGATTTCAGTTCTTCTATTTCCTGTAGTTTGGAGTCTGATTCATACTCCATGACTCTGTTTTCATCACTTATGGCCTCTGGCTCGTTGTGGACACATCCATTTAAGATTATAAGCCAAAAATGCAAGATTTAGTTAGGTAGACATTCGAGTACATGAACCAGCTAAGCCTGGAAGGGAGTTAACAATTGCCTAGCTATTATAGTTAGGTAGACTAAATGAGGCATCATTAAAACAAAAGTTGGCCGAATTTCAATTTGTCAATTCCAATCACCATGATCAGGAGCATCAGAAATTACATAGAACTAATCCCTATCTTAACGGGAAATTACATTAGAAATTTTGACTCACCGTATAGAAAAAAAGGGAGCTTAACGATTGAAGATTGACAACTACATGCTCTGGATTTGCGGAGGACGAATCGGGCGGAAGATAATACATTTCTCATTATATATATTAAAAACCATAGACTACATTGTACGTAAGCTCTCAATTCTTAATTTGAATTGTTTTGGAAAAGTTAAAAGTTTATTTTTGCAAGGCACCAGCCATCAGCCATGATCTCAGGAACTTATTATTTCCTCTATGCTCTTATTAGAATGGTTACTGGAGGTACAAAAAGAAGTCGGGGAAAACAAATATAAGTTACCTCCCAATTGGAGAGCCCACCAGCAGTTTACGCTCACGCATGGTTTTCTTCTCCATACTACTTTCAGAATCATGAACAAAACTCAAGGAAAGTCCATGAATCAGAAAGCCCTTGGACGTCACCTTGAAGGATATCAAAACCATCGTTGCACCTGAAAATTGAGGGAAGAGATAAGGAAAAAGAAAAATAAAAACTGAATATAGGCAGACATTAAAAATACTCCACCAATGAGAAAATGGACAGATTGATTTCACAAGAATGCATTCGATTAAGAGGGGTGTTTACTTGTGGATTCGTCATAACTGGTTTCTTATCCAATTTTAAAGCAGCAAATATGGACTCGTTGTGGCTTTGCTTATCACTGTCTCGCCTGAAGTGCGAAGCAGTTTTCTTTGAAGACATCTTTAGAATCTCGTAAAAGGTTGTTAGTTGTTTGTGTCATATATATAGTGAGAGAGAGAGAGAGAGAGCTTTACCGTTTGTGGAACTGAAGGTTCTTCTGGCACCGAGTTTGAGGTTTTGCTGATACTATCATCAAGGTATATATAGCCACGTACAACGTTTGATCCGCGCTTGCGAGATCCTTCTGACATGGAACGCGTTGTAAGTCTACCCAAGAATGACGACTGCAAAAGAATCATCGCATGAGTAAGTTGCAATTCCTTGTCCTGTCTTTAACTAAAGTCTTAAAGAATAATCCTCTACGAATTTATTGGTTCATGAAAATTACTGAAGAAGGCTTATACCTTGGATGCAGTGGGGTTATTGTTTATTTCCATGAGTACCTTCCCTTTAAAAGCTAAAGACAATTGAAAAAGAAAGGGTTATAAGCAACATAACCAATTGATTGTACTGCAAATCTATACTGTATGCAGGTATATGATTCATCTATTTCTCCAGCTTAGGATCAAAGGAAAATAAATATCAAACTCTTGTCCAATGCGGAACAAAAACGAACGTGATGGTGTATAGATGCTTACACTCTCAGAAACTTCCATGTAGATTGGATCAACCAAGTAAGTAAACGACATGGCAGTGTCAAAGAGAGCTGTAATTTTTCAGATTGATAAATTAAAAAGAAGAAAAAAAATCAGAATACCGAGACATTAGGTTTTCAGATTCTCACGCACAGTCAATCTCAAACTGAGAGAATTACAAACTAATCTGAAGATACCATAGACGAAAAAGAGAACATGCCTCCAAAGTTTGGCAGTGAATCGGATTTGCAGTGGAAGTTTGGAGATTGATTTAAAAGCTGTAGGAGCTTGTTTCCTGAAATGCAGACACACTACTTTGGGAGTTGGTACATTTGAAAGGCAGATAATCAAGAACAGTGACCAAGAGTGATTTCTAAATGAGATTTTGATTCCATTAGTGACTACTCTCTTCCCTCCTCTAATCAAGGAATTCCAAGAACTGAATAATCATACAACCAAGTTAAAATAAACAACTGTGTGATTTATTTTTCTGCACACAAAGAAGCTGCTGCAGTACTGAATAGAAGGAAAAAATTATCCAGCCAAGATGCGATGTACGCAGCCAAAGTCACAGCCATTAGAATTTCACTTTAAAAAGGTTGTTTAGACTTTCACAATAAATTCCAGACTCAATTCAGGCGGCAGAGAAGGCCAAGTCCGGTGGTGTCGTGGTTTGAGCAGGATCAATGGTAGACGAGTTTGAGGACTAACCTTTGTAAGAAAGATTCTGATTTTGGTCGTTCCGATATTGACAGCCCGAGACAAATAGGAAAGCCTTTCCCAAGAATTTCACAGCTTGAGAACGTCGGAACCACCTACACACTCATCAACGCCAATATATTATCTGAAATTAGTTTGGGACAATGTAAGGAAAACGTAAATGTGAAACTGAAATCCAAAAAAACAGAAGGTTTGGAAGCATAACAAATAAAATGCGTAGAAGCATAAGAAGTAAATATTTGGAGACTATGAGTTTGGTGTAGTTGGAGAACAGGGCAATGTCTAAAACCGAATTTCGAAATGAGATCGGTACCTGGCCGATGCGAATAGCGGATCAGCGCTGCGGAGATGCTGAAGAGTCTCGGATTACGACACCGGGCGGCGAGCGAGTGGGAGGGCTGCTTATTGGTTGTGCGGGGGTGAGCATCGCGGAGCATAAGAATGGGAGAGGGTGGAGAGATTGTGGAGTCTGGGGATCGTAGGCGTAGAGAAGGATAGCCGAGGGCGCCAGTTCAAGCATGCGGGAGGGAAGGGATGTAAGGAAAAAAAGTTCGCGTTTTATGTGGACCGGCGAGTAAATCGGCGGTTGGGGGAGCCGTCAGTCGAAGGAGAGGCGGTCGGCGGCGAAAGATTTTAGGGTTTATTTTAGGGCGTATTTGCCATGACCGCCGGCGCGAGGCGAGATACAAATGTACACGGCGGAGAGAGGAAGAAATGGCCGAAGTTTGCCGGTGACATTCCGTCACCTGAGAAATCGCTGCAAATCGCGAAGAGAGAGAGGAATCGGTGGGGTTTGAGAAGGGGTTGGAAAACTCGAGCGTCGAAAAACCAAAAAAAAAACAAAAAAAAAAAAGAATCGAGCGTGAGAAAAAAAACTGAGATAAACGGAGAAGCTGCCACGTGGCCAACTCTCCGCGTGACGTGTCGATCAGTTGGAGAGAGTTGACCTCTTATTATATATAAGATAGATTTGTTAACAGTTCCGCTATTATCCCAACCATTTGCACCCTACAAAGTACAACTTTTACTCCATCAAAACACTTTAAAATCATAACAAATCTTCTAAAATCTACTAGTTAATATATTTTCAATAAAAATGGATTTTGAAATACATTTTAATAAATCCCCAAAGAATACTTTGTTAAAAATTGCATGAAACCAATGGATTCTATTGCTTAATACAGTAGAATTTTCTGGATCTTACATTTCATAAAGATTACTTGTAAATTAAATCTAGTATTTCAGAAGATTAGGAAAGATTTGATTTTTGGTGAGTTTTTAGATGATTTTTGATGAATTGAGGGATTGGATATTATTTTGTTTAAAATACTATATATTTCTATATCTAAAATTATGGGAATCATATTTTCACATTTCTTATTTTTTATTAAGAAAATCCTAAAAAAACTATAAAAGCATAACAAATCTTCTAAAATTTACTACTTAAATTTTTTTCAATAACAATAAATTTTAAAATCACAAGTTCAATAGCAATAGATTTTTTTTTATTTTAAAACCATGTTTGAATTACAGAGAATGTGCCATTTCCTAAATCAGTTATATAATTTTCAATTTTCTCAATAAATTTTCATTGTCAAAATGTTAGGTCGTTTTATTGTGTCATACACCAAATTCTCCCTAAAATAGATTGTTCACATTCGTATTTTAGTTTCCACATAGAGAAAGGAGACCACAAAGTGAAACTGAGTGGAAATTAAATTCTGATACATTGACGAATCTTAAGACATAAGAGTAAAGAAAACAAAATGATACAAAATTGACCACAGATAACTGTATATATATAACCACAACTAAAGAACGATACAATACCAAAATCTAAATTCTTACGAAAGGATGGCTTCTTCCCCAAACTGTTTTGTCATTGTTACTTTTGCAGTTCTATTACAATTTTTATTTGTCTTTGCTTCAACAAAATCCATCGATGCCATATGCCAAAATGTCACCGACAAAGCCTTTTGCTTCAAAACTTTGAGCGCATATCCTCCGGCTGTTTCTGCCTCCACCACGGTACTTCCAAACGTTTTAGTGTCTCGGTCTTCTTATACAAATAAATTGAAAAACCGTTCCTAAATATTTGCAGTTGTGAATCCAAAATGTTTTTTTTTCTTTCTATGTTCATGCCTCATTCTCAATCATATATAGACATAAACGTTTTTTTTTTTAATATGTAGTTGCAAGCAGCTCAGGCCGCGCTCAGCCTCAGCATATCATATGCCAGAAAATCTGCAGGGTTCGCCGCAAAAGTGGCAAAGGAGAATCCAAACTTGAAGAAGCAGTTTTCGGTGTGTCAAGATGCCTTTGAGGGCATTATAACGTCTCTCAGGAGCGCTTCCGGGGAACTCAAGGAGTCATCAGACATTGCAACCTATGATGCCATGGTCTGCAGGGATAGCACGACGATGTTGAAGAATCTGGTCGGGAAAAATGGAGACATGGCTTCGAAGACTATCGTGCATATGACATTGATGATGGAGAGGATTCTTGCTATTGTCGTCGGAGCCACCATAGCTGTTCTTGGGTAAAGACAGGGATGAAAAACATTTGCTAGTAGGAATTGCAATGTTTCTTTTTTTAAGTATTAGTAATACATTTCTCTTTTTTTCGTTGGAACACACGCATGTGTTGGAAACTATTTTATTGGGAAATTACCAAACTATAAAGGGAGACTAGATGAACTAATTTAGTAATTTTATAATATTATATATATATGCTTTTTCAATTTTAATTTTCCAGATTATTAAATAAATGATTTCAATAGTAGTTTGCCAAAACTTATTAACCATAAAAATTACTTATTAACCAAAACTTAGTAAAGGCGCCGCAAAATTATATTTTAAATTATATTTTTATCAGATAAACTACTTAATTTCGTTAATTTGATGCAAATGGCGGTGCTTCAGTGGAATTAATATAGAGAATTAGACGAATAATGATGATTGAAATAGGTGTTTTATTTCTCTACAGAACAAATCTCAGACCGTTTTTACACAAAATATGGGTCCCACAGTTTCTGTTTAAAACAAAAAAAAAACAGATTGTAAATTATATTGTTCCACGAACAAGTGAAAAACTGTTCCGTTATTAATATTATCCCAACCATTTGCACCCTACAAAGTACAAACGCTGAAATCTTTACTCCATCAAAACACTTTAAAATCATAACAAATCTTCTAAAACCTACTAGTTAAAATATTTTCAATAACAACAGATTATTAAATACATTTTAATAAATCCCCAATTGAATACTTTGTTAAAAATTGCATGAACCAATGGATTCTATTGCTTAATACAGTAGAATTTTCTGGATCTTACATTTCATAAAGATTATTAATAAATTAAATGTAGTATTTGAGAAGATTTGGAAAGATTTGATTTTTGGTGAGTTTTTAGATGATTTTTGGTGAGTTTAGGAATTGGATATGATTTTGTTTAAAATACTATATATAGTTCTATATCTAAAATAATGGGAATTATATTTTCATATTTCTTAGTCTTTTATTAATAAAATCCTGAAAAAACTATAGAAGCATAACAGATCTTCTAAAATTTACTACTTAAAAATATTTCAATAAAAATAAATCTTGAATTAAATTATAAAATCACAAGTTTAATAACAATATATTTTTTTTTTTAATTCATATTTGGATGACAGAGAATTTGTCATTTCCTAAATCAGTTGTATAATTGTCAATTTTCTCAAAAATGTCATTGACTATATCTAGCAAATATAGTATTTTTTGTGTCATTGACCAAATTTTAGGTGGTTTTATGGTCATACACCAAATTCTCCCAAATTTAAGGATATAGATTGTTCACAACCATCCATATTTTAGTTTCCATATAGAGAAAGGAGACCACAAAGAGAAACTGAGTGGAAATTAAATTCTGACACATTGACCAATCTTAAGGCATAAGAGTAAAGGAAACTAATTGATACGACATTGACCAGTTTTAAGACAGATAACTGTATATATATAACCACAACTAAAGAACCATATATACGATACCAAAATCTGAATTCTTACAAAGCTAGGATGGCTTCTTCTCCAAACTGTTTTGTCATTGTTATTTTTGCAGTTCTATTACAAATTTTATTTGTTTCTGCATCAACAAAATCCATCGATGCCATATGCCAAAAAGTCACCGACAAAGCCTTTTGTGTCAAAACTTTGAGCGCATATCCTCCGGCTGTTTCTGCCACCACCACGGTACTTCCAAACGTCTTCTTAGAAAAATCGTTCCTAAATATTTAGGTTTTCCTATATCATTTGTGCATCCAAAAGAACTATTTTCTAACTGCAATTATGTTCATGCCTTATTCTCAATCTTATATAGACATAATTTTTTTTTTTCAATATGTAGTTCCAAGCGTCCCAGGCTGCGCTCAGCCTCAGCATATCATATGCCGGAAAGCCTGCCGCATTCGCCGCCAAAGCGGCAAAGGAGAATCCAAATTTGAAGAAGCAGTTTGCCGGGTGTCAAAATGCCTTTATGACCATTGTAGCGTCTCTCAGGAGCGCTTCCGGGGAACTCAAGGAGTCACCAGACACTGCAAACTATGATGTCATGGTCTGTAGGGACAGCACGACGATGGTGAAGAGTCTGGTCGGGAAAAATGCAGACATGGCTTCGAAGACGATCGTGAATATGACATTGATGATGGAGAAGATTCTTGCTATTGCCGTCGGAGCCATCGAAGCTGTTGGTGGTTAAAAAGACAAGGATGAAAAACATTTGCTATACTAGGAATTTCAATGTTTGTTTTTGAAGGATTAATACATTTATCTTTTCTTCATTAAAAAAAAATAAAAACATATGCATGTGTTGGAAACTATTTTTTTTGGGGAAATTACCAAACTATAAAGCAGACTACATGAAGACCCCGCAGATTTGTTTCTAATGATATTTTTAAAAAAAAATCTATATATTATATATATGCTTTTTAAATTTTTAATTTTCCACTTTATCAAACAACTAATTTCATCAGTAGTTTGCCAAAACTTACTAAAGTCCCTACGCCGCAAAGTTCTCTTTTAATTTTGTTTTTATCAGATAAACTACATATATGTTGATAGTACTTTATTTCATATAATAAAAGAGTAAGAGCAAAGTCACGTTTTCTTTCATGTTTATTGTTTCCAAGTTTGCAAGAGTTGAACTCCATTCTAATTAAATTGAAAAGAAAACCACGAAAAAGATAGATTGAATTTGCCTAAACTAATAAGTGTTCTTTGTTCTTCAGTTTTTGGGACCTCTATCATGTTATTGTGTGTTTCACTTTCAGTTGCCACATTCAGTATCACCGCATCAAATGCATATCAGAAGGTGTATGGGTTATGATTTAAATATGTTTCAATACACATTTAAAGGGCCAATTTTCAAAACTACACATCTATAATGTCTATTTTCAAAACTACACTATTTTCATTGAATAAAAAAACTCTAAACCCTAAAATATAAACCTTAAACCCTAAAATCTTACCTTGAATCCTTAAATCTAAACCTTAAACCCCAAAATCTAAACCCTAATCAAAGATTAGTGAACCCAAATATATATATTAAAATTAGGAAAAAGTGTATTTTTGAAAATTGTATTTCTTAAAATTTCTCTTTTGGTTACGTGCACAAGTATATTTTGGTTATTTCTTTGAAATTCCCTTCAACTAACAGTCTAACACATAATTGTGCTGAATTTCCAAATCAATTTTAAATAGAGGGACCAATATAGAGACCCTTCAAGTATAAATAAACCTGCTTCATAAGTCGGTCTAACAATTATTGTGGATTAAAATTATAATCGCAACGTAATAAGGCCCATTCACAAATCTGAATACCAGTTTCGTTGATAAACTCTCAACTCTCCGTTTTCTCTTATTCCTTCTCAGGAGATGTTCGTTCCCGTAAACTGTCTGTCGTTCGATCGATTTCCGTCAAATCTTCTTATGAGATTTAAATCTCGTACTGGTTCATCCTGCACTTGTCCTTGACGTGAGATTTTTCCTTAACGGCCGAGGTACGATGTTTCCTGACCCCAAAAGAACAAACAGAAAAAATCTCTCCGAAACCCTAAATTTAGTCCTCTGCGTGGCGGATCCATTTTTTTCTTTCTTTCGTATCGATATTTTTTTACTTTTATATTTTCTCAACATATATGATTTAATAAAACGGTTTAGAAATCCAAACATGTGGTACACCTTTTTCAAAAGAAATATCGTAAGAATATAATCGCAGGGGTTTATGCCTTCTCCAAAGGATATATATACTGTATTCTTGGTTTTTCTGATTTTATTTCCACGTCGAAATTAGATAGTTTATAGGGAAGAATTAGAGTCTAATGTTAATGTTTTTTTCAATTTCGAAGAAGCCTCTCTAATTTTTTTGCTCTCCTTTATTCCACGTAAATCTAATGCTAAAACCGACTGTTTGGCTAAACTTGCTAGATCTCGTAGTAGGGTATTCGTATTGTGAGTTTTTTCTGTTCCGGTGTGGCTTGCTACACCACCTCAAGCTTGAATATTATATGTCTTTGCTGTTAAAGGAAAAAAAACTATTCTTTTGTAGAAAATGTTCGTATCTACGCAAGTACTGCCACCTCCATATATCAGAAGTACTATTGAGAAAACAGCCAAGTTTGTTTCCAAACACGGTTTGGAGTTTGAAACAAGGATTATAGCTTGTAACGTCAAGAGTTCTATATTCAAATTTTTGAGCACCTCAGATCCTTATCATGCCTTTTACCAACACAAACTTTCTGAATATCGAGCTCAGAATCAAAATGAATCCGAGGCTACCAATTTCAATGATGAAGATGAAGAGTATACAGTTATACTTCCTGAAGGTATCACGGACCAGGAGCTTGACACTATTAAGTTCACAGTACAAGTTGTGGCGCGGAATGGGAGATCGTTTTTGGTGGAACTGACGAGAAGAGAGATTGATAATAGTGAACATCATTTTCATTTTAAGAAGGGAATTCGTAGCATTTTCAGTTTCGTCGATGCTTTGGTTGATGCATCAGTGGCTATACTAGTTAAGATAGGATGGTTTCTTTTATTTTCCTTTTTGCTTTTGTGGTTATCGATTACTATAGGACTTGTTTTTCTTTTCAAATTCTAGTTTGACTAGGAATTCTTACACTTACGTGGTGTTATTGGTTCATTTATACCAAAAGTTTGCCGGTTAAATTTTTATAATATACAGTAGCTCCATGTAGGGCCTACAGTTTTTTTGGCTATGTGGCAAATATTTTTCATATATAAATGAGTGACTGAGTGAGGCCCCAGAGAAAGACCACCGCATTCAGAAAAATACAAGTTTATTCTCGTCATTTGTTGCATCAACAAGGTGGCAAATCAAGGAGAACACACAGAGTCCAGGGCCAATGACCCTGATGGTGTCTATAGTTTTGAAGACGACCCTGTGGTTGGGAGGTTCAATAGGTTCGGCACGGAGATGTCAGCCATGGTATCTGCCTTGACACAAGTTGTTTCCGCTCGCTCTCTAACGTCTTATTCAGTTGAGAGTACTCACTCTTCCTCCTCTTCCGTTGGACATACGAGAGAAAGGCTTGGAATCCGTTCAACTATTCCCTTGTCGACATCATCATTCGATCGTGTAGATTCTTCCCTTGGTCCTATCGGTGAGACTATATTTTAAATTTCATTATTTTCTTAAACGGTCTAAGTTTTTTTTTCTGTTCTTGTTTTCAAATTATTTTATTTTCATTGCCTAGTATAGTTTCGTATTCGAGTTTTCTATTATAAGGCATGCATGATAGAGAGTAAAAGAATACGTTAGACATTTATTTGCGTTTACGGTTGTATAAATGATATAACAATATTTTATCCAAAAAAAAAATTCACAAAATTATCATTGAAAAATGAAAACAGTGATCTAGGTTTTAATCAGTCTTTTTTTGTACAGAAGAATCAACAAGCAAAGTGTTACCGGAAGAAGCAAGAGAGAAAAGGAGAAGATACAGAGGAGTAAGGCAAAGACCGTGGGGAAAATGGGCAGCTGAGATACGCGATCCACATAAAGCCGCTAGAGTTTGGCTTGGGACGTTCAACACAGCAGAAGCAGCCGCTAGAGCCTACGACGAGGCTGCACTCAGATTCCGCGGAAGTAAAGCAAAGCTCAATTTCCCAGAGGATGCAAGGATTCTTCCTCCTCCTCCTTCTCTTCTTCTTCCATCAGCTGAAGCAGTGGCGGATGAAGGAGGAGAGGATCTAAGGGATTATGGGAGTACTTATCCCGAGTTGTTGCAAAGCTCAGGCCAAAGGTCACTTTTCGGGGAAGGACAAGAAAAGAGTACCAATGTATTAGAACGCTCACCAGAATCTGGTCCACGTTATACTGATGTTTCTAGATCTTCCCCCGCCTAGTAATATTATCAGTTTCGATAAAATCAAATAATTAGGAACGGTTTACGTTTACATAAGTTAAATGAAAGAAGTATTTTGATTTTGTCAACATTTTGTCTGTATACATTGTTAAGTATTAAGCAAATTTATTTTCAAGGTATTCACAAATGCTGCTTTGGTGTCATTATGGAGTTTCTTAAAAGGGTGATTATATAATGGTTAAACGTGTAAGAAGATATTCTAAAAAATATAACAATGATAGAAACATAAGTCATTTACAATTATACAACTTATTCCGTGTATTGATACGAATTGTATTTAGAGGAAAGGAAAATAAGATAAAGGCAGAGTTAGGCGAGAGACAAAAGTTAGGCAAGATGCAGCATAGGTGTAGGCAATAGGTTAGCTCCATGTCATGTAAAATGATACATTTTAAGCTATAGATCTTGTCAAAATCCTTGCCATGATTCTTGTCTTGGACCCATAATTCATTTTTTCAACCTTCTTGAAATTGTGTTTCATGATTTACGTTAGTACGTCGAGACACGTAACTAATCATGTACGCTTGAGTTTTAAATCAAAATGTTTTGTTAGAATCTTGAGAAATTTTTAGGCCCAAGAATGTATAATCATGAAGGCAATAAAGAAGAATATATATTGTGTTAATTGATATTATTTTACATAATAATGAAGGAAATCATCAAAAATATTGTATCGCTCCACGTAGAGTACAAGTCCAATTCTAGAATATGAATGTATCTTATTATATAAAGATGTGCGGAACGTGGTTGCGACACATATGATTTTTATAATTTATAGGATCGCACATCTGTTAAGATTGTGACACATGTCTTGGTAAAAAAATAATAATTAAAAAAATATTGGATAAAGGAAACTTAAAAAACAAAAAAAAAAAATCTATTATAGTAAAAAATATATATATATATTTGTCATATCCTAATAGAAAAATGTTTCTCATTCATCAAAATTATATTATCTTTAACATATATTAAATTCAAAAAATGAAATAAATAAAATCCTGTTAGTACATGAATTAGGTTATACTCCCTATGTCCTATATTATAAGCAATTTGGCAAAATTCAAAAAGGTGGATGTATCTGGATGCATATTATAATGTCGAGATACATTCACTTTTTTGTACATACATTTTGCCAAACTGCTTATAATATGGGACAGAGGGAGTATAAATTAAATTTTCTATAACTACATGAAATACGTTATGTGAACCCCTATAAAAAGAGAGTTAAGATAGTTTTTTTTTCATTCACAAACTCATCAAAGCAAATTCATCTACTCTCTTTGAATAATCCTATGGTAATGTACTCTTTTCCTATTTTTAATAATTTGTGAAGATAAATTACTCTAATATTGTTAGATTGTTTCTAACAAATTGTTTACTTTTAAAATTTGAGGAGAGAGTTTTCATGTAAAACAATTATCATCGATATTGATTTACGTGATGGTTGGAACCACGTACAACATGTTCAGTTTGCCAGAAAAAAATTGAAAAAGTTGGAAGGTTCCATATTCAAATGGAAAAAAGAAAAAATATTTTTGCAAGCTTTATATTTTAAGATAAATATGATCTATATTTTAACTAAAAAAAGTATCTTCTATGTCTTACTTAGCCAAGGAAAATTTATATTTTCCATATTCTAACGGAAAAAGGAAAAAAGTTACATGCCTCATATTTTAAGATAAAAAGGTTCCATATACTAATGGAAAAAAGAACAAATAATTTTTGAAAGTTTTATATTCTAAAATAAAAATGTTTCATATTCTAACGAAAAAAGAAAAATAAGTATCTTCTATGTCTCACCAAGCCTATATAATAAGCTATATAACCTTTCAAATTTCATTGTGTGCTTTCATCTTTTCTTTCTCTTATCTTTTATTGTGTGATTCCGTTTTTTTTAGAATAAAAAAAACTATGTCTTCCAAATTTCAAGAAAACAATGAAGATTAGTATGTATTATTCCAAAGTGGGAAGTTAGAAATCCTGAGCTTCTATTACATGAATATTATTGTTTATTATACAATGGAATTGATGTATATTATATTATTAACATATTTTTATCGGGTTTTCAATACTGTTTTAGTTACATTTAAAAGTAGTTATATTTTTTTTTATATTTATTTTGATAAATTGTTTCAAAAATTTTAAAATAAATATATGCAGGACCTTATCTAGTATTTTATACAAGTTCAATTCCAATTCATGTTAATCAAACACTTGCACTAAATCGAGATAGTATCTGAATGTGTCTAAGACAAGCCCATGGTACATCTAAACATCCTTGAACAAGCCCAAGAAACCGCATATACTCACATCAGATGACCACATACGGGTAGGATATGGAAAGTTTGCCATCCACAATCTTGGAGCACTCTCCATGAAGCACGTGAAGCCTCCATACCAAAGATAAGATTTCGAACCTTCACGCCAAAACCAAAAATTCCAAAGGGAAAGAAAATTCCGAAGATATCTTGTTTCGCCGGTTTTGTTTTCCTCTTTGACTATTGTAAAATCATCCATTGCACATTCAATTAAATTTCTAAATGATTAAAAAAGAAAAGAAAAAAGCTTTATCAATTAATTATTTTTATCAGTTTCTTGTAGATGAATCTGCGAGAAGCTGAATTTTTTACTTCTTCTATTTACTTTAAAATGTCACGAAGAACCAGTTACATGTTGATATAAAGAAGTGGATAGTTCCAGAAAAGACAATCGTTCTCTCTCTCCTCTCTCCCCCTTCTTTCTAGGTTTTCTCGTTATTTTTGCCTCTCCGGCGACCGGCGTTCGTTGCCGGCGTTGTGAGAGGGCTTTCTCTAAACCTTTCCTCTTTTATGCTTTTGTTCTTTCATCCGCGGTTGGATGGTTTCCTTCGAAGTCGGCTTGGGTGGCCTGGCTTGGGATCCCGACCGTGGCTGCAGCGACCCCGTGGCGACTTCTCCGGTGAATTGGCCCGGCGGATCTGGACCTGACGAGGACAGGGTCTGGTGAAGCTCCTCTTGCCTGGATCTGGGTTTTCGTTCGGCGGTTCTCGATCTGGAAGTTTTGTGGGTTTACAGGCGCAGCGGATCTGTGAGGTGGTGTAGTGCTCCGGTAGAGGTGACGTGTGGCGAAGAATCCATCAGACGTTTCCCTGACTTTTTGCTGCTCGCTAGGGGAGGGCGGTGGTGATTTTTTAGGGAGTTTCCTGGTGGTGGTTTGGACTCCGTTCCGGCCAGTTCTTTGTCGCCGTTGCTAAGGATGACTGGTCACTACCCACCTTCCCGTTGTTGTTAAATCGGTCTGTCTCCGTGGCGTGTTCTTCTTCTTCCCACACGGTGTCTAGTCGGTTAGTGGGCATAATCTTCTTTTGGATTGATGGTGGTACGGTGAGGCATCGCCCTTGACATGGTTCTCTTCCGGTGGCGATCGATGGACTTTGACCTATATCGGCTTGGCGGCGGCGTCGTGTGGCTACGAAGCTGGTCGTGATTAGGGTTTCTGGTCCCGATTTAATCCGGTTGTACCTTTTTCGATTTCGGTTTGGTTTCATTTAAACCGGGCCCATTTGGGTTTGTAGAAAGCTTTTTTTTGTTGGGCTTTACTTTAGTTTAGTTTGCATTTTGTAATAGCCCAAAAAAAATTCAATACGAAAACCCTTAAAAAAAAAAAAAAAAAAAAAACCAGTTACATGTAATAAATTAATAATAATACTTTTATCATAAATGGGACAAGCACTGGTTATGTGTCGCGGACTGTGCCAATAGAGGAGAACGGCTGGGTCCCATATCTGCTTAACATGCCATCTTTCTCTTTTTCTTTGACAGCAATGATCGAAATTGTATCGGTTTCGAATCTATCTATGTACGACGACAATGTTTGTAATGTGAAAAAAGAACAATATGATAAGAACATCGAAAATCTAACAGCAATTTATACAGTTAACTCTTAGTTATTTTATAATACAGTATTCTTTTTTATAATTAAAGAAGTTACAATATATATTGTTTAAAATCAATCCATACACGTAAATTAATATGTATATTTAAAAAACAAAATTGGGCGTGACCGTCGTAAATCGGAATACTCATTTAGCCTGCGGTGACAGTAATTATTTTGACTCCACCACCAAAGACCACACTCATCATTCTCTCTCTCGTGGTCGACTTTAACAAAGATATAAAGTCTGTTTTTTCACTCTTCTCGTGTGTTGGCTTCAGTACTTCTTCTTCTTTATTTCAATATATCCAAATCTCTTTCTTGAAACTAAAGGAATTTAAACAAAAATGGGAAACTGTCAAGCGGTGGACACATCAAGAATCGTGATACAACACCCAAATGGGAAAGATGAAATTTTTAGTTTTCCAGTTTCTGCTAGTTATGTGATGAAGCTGAATCCTGGCCATTGTGTTTCTCTTCTCATTTCCACCACCGCTCTCTCCACCGCCACTTCCGGTCAGGGAGGCCCTCTTAGGCTCACGAGGATCAAGCTCCTTCGTCCCACGGATACGCTGGTTCTCGGCCACGTCTACAGGCTAATTACCACTCAAGGTATACATTCGAAGCAAGATGCCTAAATCTAGTCCAACTCAATATTTTTGTAGCGTATGTCATATTTTATTCTATCTCATAGAGCTATGTTCAAGTCTTTTATCCAAACAAAAACACTAAAATCAAGTCTGTTTGTTAATCTTACTCTCTTTTGAGTGAGTTTTTTTTAATTGATTTTTGCAGTAAACTAACTTGTATATCTATATATATGTTGTTTTTAAAAAAAAAAATATAATTTAAAATTATTTTGAAATCAAGACTTGTAGTCTGTCCAATCATGTTCTCATGGAATTCTTTTTGTTATGATGGTTGCTATTAATCTTGTACTCATTTAATTATTTATGTGGATGGTCTATTAATCTAAAACTTTTTGAACTTATTGTGATGAATCCAGAGGTTATGAAGGGTTTAATGGCTAAGAAATGCTCTAAGTTGAAGAAAGAAGGCAAGGTGTCAGAAGATAAGCTAGAGATGGTGAAAGCATTAAGCTCTAATAAGCTTGAGAATGAAGTTCAGGTAATATGTGATCTGATTAAGATCCTTAATTAATTAGATAGTTTAGCGAACAACTAAGTAGTATAAGAGTTGGTTTTAAACGAGATGGAAAACTTCTCTGGCTGCGCAGATGAAGAAGCAAGAGAAAGAAAGGCCATTAAGAATCTCAAGATCATGGCAACCCTCTCTACAAAGCATATCAGAAGGAGGTTCCAGCTGAGTAAATTCTAAAGCTATGTGGAACGTTTAAGAGAAGCATCGAAATATGAGGATCTAGTTTGGAAAATAGAAAGGCCAGTAAGTGGCAAATGACAAAAGCATGCATGTCCCTTGTAATGTGTGATCTACTAAAGTGAAAAAACATTAAAGCAATCATTCATTTTTTTTACTGAAGACTCGAGTTCTATGAATAAAATAGTACAGTTATACAGATACTGTTGAAGTTAGCGTTACAAAGTACAAACTACGAAAGTATCGAGCGTGCTTTGAGCTGATCATTTGTTAAATAATTAATATATTTAATAGTAAGTTTTAGCGTTTCAAAGTGGATGTTTTAGTGGTTTCAACTTTCAACTGTGTTTCACCAAATATAATGTGACGATGTTTATAAAACACTCTAAAAAAACTTATAATGCGTTATCTCATTTGGTTAGGAAAAAAAAAAAAAAAAAACCCACACCAAATTTGGTCATTTGAAGTCCCGTTGGAGTGGCTATCAAAACCATTTCTTCGAATACGTTTCCAATAACTACGAGTCTACGAGCAAGAAATTAACTCCTTATCCTCTTCCCTAATCTACTCAATCAGTCTCTATCACGATCCTTGTAATTATGCTAATGTATACGATCCATGTATCTAATTTATTTTAAATCTGTAATCCGCTAAAAAAAAAATAACGGATCAAATTGGTTGATTGTATTGTATATATGTCACAATAACAGTCAACCGCTTAAAAAAAAACATTCAACCGAACATGTCGCTAAAAAATTATATTGGTGGAGAAAGTTGTTTGTGTACGTAATCTATATATATATGTTAGTTCATACAATTCTATTATGGTGCTGTTACTTTAGCAAAATAGGTGTCTCTAAATTCAACATATCAATTTATTTATTACATTTTTTTTATTCTAAATTTTATAATAATTATCATTTATTATTATAATAACTTAATAAGAATATGAAAAGTCATTTAAAAAAGAAAGTGTTATATATAGATCTGCAAAAACTATTATTTAATAATAATAATAATAATAGAAATATATTATAGAAATAACATTTTTTTTGGTATTTTGAAATGAAATTAGACAAGATTGAATATGACGAGATGAAAAAAATAGAACTGGGAGAACGGGATAGGATAAGATATAAATTCTACCTACCTCTAAATATAATAATTATATTAAAGGGTGGAACGGAAAAAAAAACAAAAAAAAACATAATGAGAGAGGAGAAGACATAAAGGTTGAACGAGATAGAATAAAAAGAAATAGAATGTGGCGGAATTGGACGGGACGAGATGAAAATGGACATAATGAGATGGAAAAGGACGGTACAAGAATTTTGTCTAACCCTTATTATATTTAGAGAGAAGACAGAGACAAGATAAAATGGAAAATATCATAATAGAATATGATGAGATTGGATGGAGCGGACATAACGAATGAAATGGGAAAGAACATGACAAGATGAAAAGGAATAGAACTGAATAGAATTATGCCAAATTTTAATTATATTTAGGGAAAGAGATGAGAAGAAACGAAATGAGACATAACAAAATGGAACAGGATGAGACTGGACGGGACGGGACGGAAAAGAACGTACATAATGAAAATGAATAAAATGGGACGAGATAGAACAAGACAATACAAATTTTTTTGCCTAAATTAAAGTAATATGTGTATAATATATTTGAAAAAAATATTAAATTTGTAGAAAAATAATAAAATTAACACAAACCTCTCGCGCGGGTCACCCCTAGTTACGTATACCTTTCTTGTTTGTAATAGAAAGTATAGAAACATTGATGGAAACAATGCCCCGTGTACGACTCAGTACCAGAAACAAAAACAACAAAATATACCACACATAACCAGAAAAAATATTAAACAAAAAAAACACATTTGGTATTTGAAAATTGAAGAGATCAAAAGAAAAATGGCAACGAGAGGAATTGCTGCTGCGTGCGTAATATGGAAGCACCGAAGAAACCCTTCTCTTCGATCACTAACTCACAATTTCAATCACTTCAATCCTCAAATCATCCCAAGAGGTACATCTTTTTCAAGAAATCGTCAAATTAAGCGTTTATACAGAAAATCTTGCAATTCAATTAGCGTATATGATTTTGCTTTCTAGGGTTTAAATATCAAATTAGGGCGATTCAAGGATCAAATGCTAACCCTGTTACACAATTGAAGAACAAAGAGGACCCAAAACCTCAAAATTGGAAAATCAAAATGCTTTACGATGGAGATTGCCCTCTCTGTATGCGTGAGGTCTTATATTAAAAACCTTTTATTTCAATTGTTCATAACAAAAACTGAAAACAGTTTTTAAAAAAAACTAAAACTGTTATGTTTTTTTTTTTTTTTTTTTTTTTTTTTGTAATGGTCAAAAGGTTAATATGCTTAGGGAAAGGAATGAAAAACATGGAAGTATAAAGTTCGTTGACATAAGTTCTCAAGATTATTCCCCTGAAGAAAATCAAGGGCTTGATTACAAAACAGTAAATTGTCTTCTTTTTTTTAACTTGCTTCAATTTGTACCATTCTCTGTTTTTGATTTTAATAGAGATTATTATGAATTACTAGGTAATGGGACAAATCCATGCGATTCAATCTGATGGAAATGTGGTAAAGGGTGTAGAGGTAAAGCTTATTACATCATTGTTCTAATCCATTTTGTATTGTTTTTGGCCGTATAACGATTTTGTGGAACGTTTTCAGGCATTTAGGAGATTGTATGAAGAGGTTGGGCTTGGTTGGGTTTACACTATCACCAAATTTGAACCAGTAAGCCTCTCTCTCTTTCTCCTTCTCATAGTGATCTCCTTCAAGATTGAATCAAGATAATCTTTTGCTTTCTAGTTATAGATAGATAACACACGGTTACTTGCAGATAGGAAAGGTAGCTGATGCTGTGTATGATTTTTGGGCTAAATATCGACTTCAGGTCACAGGTATAGAAGCTGAAAGTGTTTTAACTTTTGTGAAAAAGCTTATTTGATTGTTTTGTGCGTGAAAATGTTGGATATCTTTGTTGATTAGGCCGACCGTCTATAGAAGCCATTCTCGAAGCAAGAAAGAAATATAAGGTAGGGAGAAAGAAAAATCACATCTTCTAATCGCTTTTCTCTCGCGATTTTTTACTCGGAAAAATGAGTAACAATGTAATTCTGTTGGCTGTTGGCAGGTAGAGACTTGTGGTGATAGCAAGGAGTGCAAGATGTGAACTTTTGTCACATGATGCTCTTGAATTGTTACAAATAACAAAACCAGTTTGGAGTTGCATATTCTTGTTTAGCAGCTTTGTGTGAGTTTCAGAGTTTGTATGTATATAATACAAGACCCTTGCATGTTTTAGCCTGATATTCCTTGGGAATATGAATATTCGAAGTTGACATTGTTCGGAATTCGGAAACTATATGTTTTTGAGTAAATTCAAATAAAATTCAACAAATTTGAAACCGTAGAGTTGATAGATACAACAAAGTTATAGGCATAGCAGGAGTATGCAAGATCAACCATAACCACAAAGAATTGCATACATAACTTACCATTACTCGATAGACTTTTACCCGAAAATTTGAATCGAACTAAAAGCCGTTCGATTTTCATGTACAACCCAAAAACCGACATGAACCTGAAAAAACTTGAACCGAGCCTGAATCAAAATTTAGAAATACCCTATTAGTATCTATATCTCTAAGCCCAAAAACTCGAAACCCAAAAAACCCAATCCAAATCCGACTCGAAATCCGAAGTGGCATGTCTAAGATTAACGAAGAAGTGAATCTATAATTGATTATTTTCTTTTTTCGAAGAATCTATACTTAATTAGTAGTCATCTACAAAACCAAAACCGTACCGATATCTCCTTTTGGACCGGTAAATGTATATTTTTTTCAATCAGTATAAGTTTTCATTTAATTTTCATCCTTCCGCGTAAGTAAACCGGAACACCCAAAAAAAAAAACTATGCGTGTGATTGCGAGGCCCTCCGTTTCACATGTTCTCTCTGTGGGGAATTTTATCAAACACGTTCCATGCGCCAAATCGCACCCATTTCTTTCGAGGAGATTTCACTCCAACACGCACACAATTGTCGCCGAGAGCACGATAACCTCATGTTTCAAAAGTCTCACTTCCAGTCAACAAAACCAAATCCATCTCTACGTCGATACCCTTCTCCAATGGAACCAGGTCTCTCTCAAACAAAGCAACCATTTTTGCTCAATTTTACTTGTTGGGCATTTCTGGGTTCTTCTTCTTTCGAATGATTTCGTACCTCATAGTGATGTTGACCTAATTGATACCAATGGGTTTCGTCTCTGTTTCAATTTGGGAGTAAAGTTCTGACCTTTCATGTGAGTTTTTCAATTAGCGTTGTGAATTGTATGCAGAAAATGAACCTCACAGCAACTAAAGAAGCTGGAGAAGTAATGGAGAGGCATATCGAAGATTCTCTTGCGATATTGCCTCCTATAAAGACTTGTTACAACAACTTGCATTCCAATGTTTTGTTTGATCGAATCAATTTGATTGATGTTGGAAGTGGGGCAGGCCTTCCTGGATTGGTTCTAGCCATTGCATGCCCAGGTGCTCTTTTAGGTTCCCATATATAGTTTATTATGTAGTCTTTGTTGTATGGTATTAAACCAAAAGCCAACTTCTTTTGTGTTTCAGATTGGAGAGTCACTCTACTTGAGTCCATAAATAAGCGTTGTGTTTTCTTGGAGCATGTCGTTAATGTCACTGGGCTTACGAATGTTGAAATCGTAAGGGGCAGAGCAGAGGTATGATTCATGATTGAGCTTTAACTAACTCTGGATTCTGTAATGAAATATATCACCTTTTAGCTGTGCTCTTGGTTTATAGAACTCTTTCGTGACGTATTAGCTTGTAAGGTTGATTCTGAATTGTATTGTCCTGATTTTTGTTATAGAACAGAGTTGTGGGCATGATGTTATGTACAGAGAGAAGTTTGATGTGGCTATTGCAAGAGCTGTCGCGGAGATGAGAGTCTTAGGTAAATATAGTTACACATTTCAAGTAGAGAGGGTAGTGCTTGAAACGCAGTGGCTTATTAGTGGTGAAAGTGAATCTGAGTTGTCTGTTATGAACTTTCAGCTGAGTATTGTCTTCCTCTGGTTCGGATTGGTGGATTGTTTGTAGCTCCTAAGGGTCATGACCCTAAGGTAAGAGTTCTCATTTGTGACTCTTTGTTAGGGAACATTATTTACGTTTTCCGTTGGCTAAAGATTTATATCTTGTAATGTTATCTGACTTAAATGTCTCATGAAACAGGAGGAAGTTCAAAATGCAGAAAATGCAGTTCGAATATTGGGTGGTTCCATATTACAAATTAGTCCAGGTGTGTCTTCTTTAGGCCAATATAAACTCACAAGTTTTATCTAAAGACACTTAAAACATTTCTCATTCTAACATATTAAGGACTGTAAATTCGTTTTCGAGCTTTATTGAAAGTGAACATAACAACAATGGTACTAAAGAGTATATAGAGACAATTTAGAAATGTGTTTTAGGAAATCTAGCAGCATGATATGGTTTTGGTACCACCAAGAAACCTGCACACAACCATGGATAAATGGATATATATCACTGCACTATGGTTTTCGATGAACTTTGCAAATATGCTTGTCTGGGAATGATTTTGTTTGTGTCAAAATATTATGCAGTTGATTCACATAGCCCATATGGACAACGAACAACGGTTGTTTGTCGTAAAGACCATTCCACTCCACAAAAGTATCCTCGTGAAGCAGGTACTCCATCTAAATTACCATTGTAAAATCATGTCAAATTACTTTTCCTTTAAACTTGGATTTGTAAAATTTGTTAAAGCAATATTTATCTAACTTCTCTATGGTATTTTGAAGAGTTTCATGTAGCCATGACCTTGGAATGAATTAGCCAATCCTTTATGTATAATTAAATTATCCAATTTGTTATGCCGTCTATTGTAACTTAGTTGATTTTCGAGAATTTTGAGTATAAATTCAAGATTACCACACAAGCTTTTGACAAGACCATGGCCTCTATATCATTACTAAACTACCCATTAAGCTCAAATTGTGCATATTGTCAAGATGCTATTAAATTCCATTTATGCTTTCTTCAAAAGAGAATATAATTGGTTCTATCACCACAAGCCTAAAAAATTGTAGTTGGCATGTAGTAAATATATTTTGTTCTGAAATCTGAATCTGAGGTGTTAAAATGTTAGTGTTGAGTCCAACTCTAACGCCAGCAATTTATTCACGTCTCTAATCTCTGCTCTGCGTGTTAATTATGTATGCAAATTAAGAGAAATAGGGCTTTGTTTCACTTAGTGGTCAAGTTACCTATAATAATAATAAAAAACCTTAGTGTTGAAAATGACAGAAGACAAAAATGACTTGGATACCTAACTTATCACCAAAGTCTAAATCTTATTTAATTAAGTCAGAATTGGGAGATTATTAAAAGAAAACACAATGCTAGTCCAAATGAGAATATGATTCAATACATATTTGTATGACAACATATGCCCATGATGTAGACATGTGCTTTTTTTTTGCTTCGTTTTATTCGTTACTTGTTCTCAAGTGTCCTTCAATGATTTACTTCGTTTGTCTATCTTAAGTTGTGTTTCATAAACCTTTTTTGTCTTTTGAGTGTACATTGTTTTCGAATCGTATATACAACTATATCTATACTCAACTTTAAAGTTTAAACATTAATTTTTGTCCAATTAATTAGTCGATTTTGTTATATTATAGGTCAGCACAATATGTCTAAAAACGCCATTTCTGTTTACATGTAATGAAAATACTAAACATTAACTTGACAAGAAAAAACTTTAGTTTTTCTACTTTGTAGCCTGTATGTGGTAAATGGTGTGGATAGGGAACGAATAATGGATATTTAGAGGAAATAATTTATAAGTAAACCCTACTTTTGTCTAAAGCAAATCCCAAAAAGAGATGTCTTTCTCCCTAAATTATTGTTAGAAAATAGATTCGGTACAAATAATACAAAAAAAAGACAAGTTGTATGTCCCCTTTTTGCATATCTTATATGCTATTTGCTTCTTAACAAAGATTTTACCTACTTGGTTTTAATAGCCTTTGTTAAGACCAAATTGTCAAAGCATCTGAAAACAGAGGACTCGCAGTCAAAATCTATAATATGTTACAAACCATCACACATTCAAAACTCATTCACCTAATAATATCAAAAGATAAACTCATACAAAAAACCCATCAAAATATATCAACAAAAGTAACAAATTGATAAGAGGAGAAAAATCAGAAAATAAAACTCTCCAGGTTTTGTATCCCATTCAAATGAAATGATAATTAGGAACTTTTTTGTAAAGTTGGCACCAAAACTTGCCAAACCTTAACTTGAGAGTCAAGTCCTCCACTGTAAATGTAATAAGAAGCCTCAGCTTGTGTACCGGAGTCACGTATTGCTCCGGCTAAGCACTTAACCGGTCCTCTATGCCCTTCCAGCAAAGCCAAGCACGAAAAATCCGTCGCCGAGCATTTCCACAACCTCACCATCTTATCGGCAGAGCCACTACAAAGTATATCCGAAATAACCACAAGGCATAGAACAGACTCTCTGTGGCCTCTTAGCACTCCAACAACACTAATATCTCCACCTTCTTCGTCTCTTTCCCACACCAATATCGATCCATCAGACCCACCGGAATACAAAAGTGAACGTTCGTTATAACAGCTTAATGCCAATGCATTAATACCTGAATGATGCTCTGAAAATGTTGCAACCAAAGAATGTTTCTTGTTCTTGTTCTCCTCATTAATGTTCTTCCTCCACACTTTGATTCTATGGTCAGACGATCCTGTGTATATATTTCCATTATCGGATAATTCAACCGCATTGATTGCATCGTCGTGAGCGTTTGTGATGGACTCTAAGCACTTAAAATCAATTGTTCGCCATATTTTGAGCGTCCTGTCCCAAGAGACAGAATAGAGGAGTGTTCCATCTCTTGATAAGGCTAAACCCGAAACCGCGTCAACATGGTGAACCCACGAAGCTTTCTTGTGCCTTCTTATTTCGACTTGGTTCTTAGGCATCAAACACTTTGCAAAACGGTCGCTGATCGTTGGCATCGTTGCTAAATGCATGTATTTTTTATTATTACCAACATCTTCTTCTTCCTCAACGACGTTGTTTATCTTCCACACACGTATCTTTTGATCTTGGTGTGCTGTGAAGAGTTTATCAGCCAAGATTACCAAAGACTTCACTGCTCCTCCGCCTCCTCTTTCTCCTGTTATTACGTCGGCGCTGCTTGATGCTTCCGCTAACGTTTCCAACGTGCTTGCATTCCACAATCTGACAACACCGTCGTTGGAGCCTGTGTAGAGTCTTTTGCCTGCAAGGGTTAGAGATGATACGTAGGAGGATGTCTGACCAACAAGAGTAGTGATACATCGGTGGAGGGCTTTAGGAGAAGATGTTTGATAATGTTCAAGAAAAATATCTGGTTCTTCTTTAGTTTCGTGGCATCGTATCATTGTTGCTTGTGAAGGAATGTTTGAAATGGTTATCAAAGAAATGACCAATGTTTGTAGCGTTAACATGAAGAGAAAAAAGATGAAGTTTGGGGGAAAGTAGTCGTGGAAACAACAATTGGCTTTAAGACTTGGAGCAAATGTGACCGAAAAGTGATATTCTAATGTATATCAATTTGGAGCAAATCTGACCGAAAACGAAAAGAATAATGTGATGGGAAGATGAGTAGGATGCAATATATACTTTTGAAAATATTTTTTATATTTGCATCATCTTGGTTGGTAGATTTCTTGGTCACAAAAGTGGAGAAAAAGTTAAAGTATGGCCCTGGATTTTTTAATTTTATTTAATAAATTTGATATGTGTTTCATACGTTGGTACTTGATATTTTCATTAGATCTTAATATGTGTTAAAAACAAAAATAATATGGATATTTGCACTCAATAATAATAATGAAGATGTGGTATTTAAGGTGATGACAAAGTCTAGATTGTTTGCAGACTTTACCACTAGATTTTGGTTTACGAAACATAAACAAAACCCACTTTTCTACCTTATCTTGATTTTGGCTAAATTAATTCTTCAATTTTTATGAAAATTAAAAATTTCCTAATTTTTTTTACCATTTCTTACAAAAAATAGAATCCCTATTTCTTTGCTACTAATATTAGTTTATATTTTTATTATATATTTTTGATTTTAGTTTGAAATAAAATTAACTGAGGATAGGTTATTTTAATTTTTAAGCATTCAAATACTTATGGCTAATTATTTCCCAGCCGTGAAACAAAAATGAATTTTAATCATAATAGAATGATTTTGTACTTTCCATTTAATCGTTATAAGATAACTGATTTACTCCTGTTACATGTTATTTTTCTACGTGGACAAAAAACAGAGCAATCAAGAGTGAATGCGATCTAACTCTGAGTCATATCAGTGAGATAATGCATGTTTTTATAGAATCATCGATTCAGGAGAGTTAATGTTAAGAACATCAATTTTGTGTTTCTTAACATTAAGACAAAAAAAACACATCATTTTTGTCATGCCTTTGCCAATTCCGTTCTCAGGCCCGACCCAAAACAAATTAAGGCCCTGTGTTGGACTTAATGAAAAAAGGTTAAGTTTTTTTTTTCTTTCATTTTTTGCCAAAAAGATTTGCATGTTACGATCTCAAAAGGGGTTTACGTACTCTTACTACATCGTTTTGGTATAATGTGAATTATGAGATGCTTTGTTATCTTTTTTTTTTGAACAACTTTTCTTTAAAGAAAATAAAAGGTTACAAGCATTCGACAAGACGGGAATTGAGAACGCATGCAGCCGATTTTGCAAGCAAATCGGCTTCCAGATTCTCCGATCTCGGCACAAATCGAAAGGAGATCGAGGTAAATAACTTTGCGAGAGATTGAATGTCAAAAAGGAGACCGTAGATTTCCTTTATCTTCTCTTGCGATGTTAGGGCTCGGATTAGATCCTGAGCGTCTGATTTGATTTGTAGGTGGAGGAAATCCTTCTCCAAGGCATGGATCAAGGCGGATCTGATAGCAATGGCTTCGCCATGAGTGGAGATGAAGCAAATGGTTCCGCCAAGCTGCCTGAGTCAAGCTTGGATCCTTCTCTGTTGGTGAAGATCCATCCTGCTCCCGCGATCGCAGTTTTCTGTTTCCAAACTCCGTCAGTGAAGCAGATCACTGTGTCAGGGTGGAGAGTCCGTTGATTAGTCGATCGTGGTGTAGCTTGGTGGGGTTTCTTCTCCAAATCTGTGCCTCTTGCCATTCACGAGCATCTTGGATTGATTTGAGATTAGTGTCTTCTGGGGTAAAGGCTCTATCTTAAAAGATGCGATAGTTTCGGGCTGTCCAAATGGTCCAACAAATCCAGGGGAAGAGAGGTCCGGAGCTGATTCCTGATAGGAGGTAGCAGACTAGACGTTTCAGGACGTTGATGGAGGCTTCGAAGCTGATCGTTGATAGGTCGAGGTTCTTTCCAAATGGAGCTAGGGACCAGACTTTCTGGCAAACTTACAGCGGAAGAAGAGATGCTCTGTCGTTTCGAGCTCTCCACAATGAATGCAGCAGGTATTGTCAAAAGGCCTCTGTTTAGGAGATTCTCACAAGTAGGTAGTGCCTTTTGAAGGATCTTCCATAGAAACAGCTTGATTTTCAAAGAGAAATGCCCTAGCCATATATCTGCATTCCAATTGATTGATGTTTGTTGTTTCTGCAGGGGGATCTTTTAGAGCTCTGGAGATATGATAGCCCGTTTTGCTGTGTATTCACCGGATTTAGATGGCAACCAGATGTAATCGTCTTGTGCTCCTCTTTGACTAGGCCGGATGCTCATGATCATTGGTAGGTGATGTGGTAAAATCTCTTCAATCTTTTCTTTGTTCCATCTGTACCGTTGATCAAGGAAGCTACAGTTGCGTCTTGTTTTGTAGGTTTGGAGGGCCTAGAGGTCGTATCGGAGAGGTGTGTGATAGCCATGAATCATTCCACAGAGTAGTCTGTCCATTCCGATTGCCTTGCCTAGTTGTTCCACCAAGAGGTCTCTGCCAATGAGGACTCCTCTCCAGCCATGCGAACGATGAAGTGGAGGTAGGAACGTCTAGGAAGTATAGTCTTTACAGTATTTCCCTTGTAAGACTCGGGCTAAAAGGCATGTTGGGTTTTTCAGGATTCGCCAGCTGAGTTTAGCTAGCAATGCATCATTGAAGCTTTGTATATCGAAGCCAAGACCTCCAGAGCTTTTAGACTTTTTCATCTTTGTCCAAGAGGTCCAACTCATCTTCTGCACACCGGGCGTTTGGTCCCACCAGAAGCGCGTGAGGGCAGATTGGATCCGTTTGCAGAGGCTAACCGGGATCTTGAAGCATGACATAGAGTAAGTAGGATAGCTGAGAGCACACTTTTATAAGTGTTAATTGCCTGCAGGGAGAGACGTTGTGAGGAATAGTTCACTGCTCGCTGGCGAATGCGGTCAACCACTAAGGGGAAGAGATCCTTTTTCTTCCGTCCAAAACTCTCAGGTAGTCCCAAATACTTCCCCTGACCTCCTTCATTCTCTATGCCAAGTGTCTGCTTTACTCTATCATGCTTTGTTATCTAGAATCATCCTTTTCTAGTAAGTCGTTAGAAGGCTAACCAGAGATGGTATATGAAGGTGGAATATTTTTTTTTTTGTTTGCTTGTAATCAAAAGAAATATCAAATATATATGAGAGAGCAAAGTAGTTGTAAAGTGGGGGAAACACAAGAGAGGATAAAATTTTGAAGGTGTAAGAAACATGGTGATGAAGTGTGCAAGGAAGATAGGGAACAAAGAATGGGTCCCTTGTTTACATTTTTTTCCCCGATTTGAAAGCAGTCATTGTTGATGAGTCAACTTCACCGTCTCCTTTATGATCCATCACTTAAATTTGTAATTTTCAACTCGTAATTTACACGAAAAGTGAAATGCCCGCAAAACATATCTTCAATAATCACTTTAGTAATTTACATATCACTTTCATGATTTGCTCGGTAATTATCACACACGTTTATTAGTAACAATTAAGATACGTAAGGAAGTTATTACTTAATTATATTATAGGAGTGTTGATTTTAAGTAAATAGTGTTTGTAACTAGTCGCACACGAATCACTATGAATGATCGCATCTAACACCAATGAGAGATGAAACAACCGTCAACGTACGAGACTTCGGTTAGGGCATTTTATTTATTTATAAAGTTCCGTTAAGGTATATGATAAGAAAGAAAAAAAGTCAAAATATCAAAATCAAGTAATTTCTTTACTTGGTAACCATATCCATATCATAAGAATATTTTTCAAAAAACAATACTCTTGTTCCAAATATATTCAATACTTTATGTGTTGTTGATAAACAAAAGAAAAAGTATAGAACCCTTATATTCTCGGCTAAACATCAAAATTTGAAAAAAAAAAAAAAAAATATTTTCTCGATATACCGGTTTAGTGAAACTCATCACCATGTTTGCAAGTAACTCGAATATTTGGAGCACAACTCGATCTGCAGTACATAATCTTGTTCTTTCAATTAATTTAATTATTATAAGGGTTTCTACACTCTATACTATGAGCATAAGATATTGAAGAATACAAATTTCTAACAACCATTGTCTACTATATTTGTCCTTAAAAGCCAGCTTAACTTTTATTTTTGGGAAATTTGTGAATATACCCAAAAAAAAAGAGAACTCTTGTCTCTTTACATCTTTTTTGAAATTTACCTATTTTAAACTATATTGTCCTTATATATGCTAACAATATGAAATTAATATTTTCAAAACTTCAAAAAAGTTAAATAAATTCAGTAAAATGATTCTAAGATTTTAGAGATTATTTTCACAGTTAAAAAAAAAAATTAAACCTCAGAAAAATAAATAAACTTTGCTTCTACCAAATTCGATATTCGAAGTAGAATATGTCTTCTACTATATGCACTCACATCTATCTATCGTAGAGCGTAAATTCTACCGACTGTTGTACTTTCTACCGTCGTAGAATTTTCTCTCTGCTAGATAGTCAATGTTCTACGACTTGGTAGATTTGTAAAACATTTGTTCTACGTTCTACACGGTTATCTACCACTGGTAGAATTTATATACTGTTTGTCTACCGTTTGTAGATATTGTATTCTACCATAAACACTCTCTTCCACTATTTGGAGAATTCATGTTCAACTGAAAATATTCTCTTCTACTATTAGTAGATTGTGTGTTCTCCCGAAAACATTGCCTTATACCGCCTGTAGAAATTGTAATCTACCTTAAACACTTATATAGTAGAATGCATCTTCTACGAGAATAGGAGAATATAATAAAAATTGTAACTGAATATTAGAAAATCTTTTTAAAAAACAACATTTCCTTTTTATTTTATTTTCTTAGAAAAAACAAAAAAATCTCATCTATTCCATCTTCTTCTTGTTCCTCTTTTTTTTTCTCTTATTTTTTACCTAGTTTTCTTTTATATTATTTGTTTCAGTTTTCTTCTTCTACATTTTTATGTTGTATATCTATGTATAAGACGATGACAAACACTTCTCTTTGCTTTTCCATATTTTTAATTATTTGTTTATTAATTTATTTAACTTTTTAATATGTTATTTAAAATAAAATTCTATTAAAATGTGATTTGAGGGTTAAAATTGGGTTTAAATTTTAATTAAGAGTATTAGACAAGATTCGGCAAAAAAAGAGTATATGGACAACTCTTCCCTAAATGTAGAGTATTTTGCCAAATTTCCCTTTATTTTTCAGGAATACTAATATGTTACTTCTCGGTTCAAATTATTACGACTAACGCGTTGAAACCTTGAGAGTGCGGACGAGAAAATAGGCTTTATTTCTAGGAACAAGCTATATCCTCAAATCGGTCGATTATTAGAAAAATAAGAAATTGAGGTGGGTAAAATGCTGCACAATGAGTGGTTCCCTTTGTTAAAATGGAAATTTGCACGAGTCTCATCATACGTTGCCTTCGTCTTCTTTCTCTTTGTCGTTTTACTCGAACATTCTTCCAATATTTTCAATATCGCTATGAGTATAAATTGTTTTCTCTTTTTCCTCGACTTCACGTGTGGATCACTTCACATTCTCCACTACTCATGTGGCTCTTTGATACTAGCTAATCATCTATCATTTTACATTTTCAAGTTAGTTCACAATGAAACGTATTCTACTCGACTTAACATCTTTTTTCAATATACAGTATTAATTTTTATAAGGAATATCTTAGAAATTAGTTGTTCAAATATGCAAGTTGTTTCCCAGATATTATTGATATACTATATGGGTAGCATTTATTCTTCTAGCATGAATTTCTAAACTAAAAGTTCAAAATAGTTTCCTAAGATCTGTGAAATCTTACTTAATTGAGTGCTCAAAACCAGCTACAGTATAAACACACACGCACACATACAGATAGGTTTACCATGATGTGATATTGTGATCCCATTAACAGCAGAAACCCAAAAGTCACCGAAAGTTGTTTATTTTTCTTAATTGGTAAATTCAACCGATGTTTATGTAATGGCAACTGGTAAGAAACGAGACCCCACATGTTTCACACTTTCACTAACTAAATTAGCTGTGTATATCTGTATTATTCGTATGATATAAATATAAAAGTTATTGAAAAGTTCTTAGTTATGCAATATATTGGTAAATTATTAATGCTTCATTTTTCATCTCCTATTATTTCATATAACATTTTGTGTGTGTTATTGATCCTACATTAACCACTACAAGGAAATAACCAGTTGATAAAATTATTTCATAACATGTTTAAATAAAATGGTGTTGTTTGAGTTAATGAGCTCGTATTGTTGAATCAATTGCAGACTAAATCAAATTTCGGTGGTGGCAACAAAAATTGTAAAGGTATTGATAAGATTTTTTTTCAAAAAAAAAAAAAAGGTATTGATAAGAAAATTTGCTGATATTAGCCATAAGGAGTGAGTAAAGGAGATCTTACCACTTTGTGTTGTTTTCCGTAGCACGCTTGGTAGGACCTGTAATACTCTGGCATACAACGGTATCGCTATTAGAGAGTGACCTTGACCCACTCCTTTTTCAAAGCGACGTTGTTGCGCCATTACATATACTTGTTTTGATTTCGGGATACTAATGTTTAAAATTTAGTATAGAAAATCAGTATTCTATATGAAGGCCTTTTTTAAAAAATAAAAATAAAATCAGTATTCTATAATTAGTTTAAGATACTAAATCCTAATTTTGACGAGTGAGCCATTTAGCTATAAAAAAAAAACCACAAATTTTAAAGAAGAAAAATTCCGATAAAATTTTGAAAAGTATTTTTCTTTGGTTAGTAAATGACGACGGAGCATAACAAAACCTAAAAGTTAAAAAAAAAAAAAAAAAACTCTGAAAAATATTTTGGGGTTTCTCGTTTTTCTAGTAGTGATAACATTATAGATATATTTGTACATAATCCAATGTGTATACTTACGTGTCTACTATCTCATGTAAAATCCATATATAATGATTGAAAGTGCTTCCAAAATTGTGATCTGAATGTCACCTTTAGTTGAATGTCATGCATGCCACCTTATAGATCTTGTTGTACGCTTAGCCGTTTCGTAAACGGAAAATATTTCCTCTGTTTCTTAAAGATAAATTTTCTAGTTTTTTTCACATCTATATATTAAGAAATTTTCAATCATTAATGTATTGATTTTTGCAATAAAACAGTTTTCTATAATTTTAAATCAATAAAAACCAAAAAAATACAATAAATGTTTTTTGAAATCTGAAAAAGTACACAAAAAAGTAGAACATTTATTTTGAGGAACAGCAAATAATGTCTAGAAAATTTATTACATAAGGGAGTAGTACATAAGGGACTCATACTATGCCATTTTTGTTGAAACCTTGGTTTACCACATAATCAATAATCCAACGGACTTGTGTGCGTCTTCCAATATATCATACAATTGTAGATGAAGACTTTGATCATTGCCCCAAAACCAGATACTAGCTTTTGTATCTCATTGTAGGATGATATATAGAGATTTTCTTCAGGCATATAGTCTTTAACAAAATCAGCAATCCCTGATCAAATTAAAATTAGTCTTTATGGTCATCATCCTAGTTGCTACAGACAAAGGCGAATGACCTTCTCTACATCCTTCCTATATCATATGCTTTGCTGCACCTTATATCTCAAAATTTTTCATAGCTTCAACATTTAATTCCTCTCCTATATTTTCATCTTCCGTGAAAGACATAATATTTTCCCTAAATGCATTTGTCACCATCCCCATCTCAACAGTACCTTAGTTCTGTCTATGTGTGATATGATGTTTCGACTTTCGACCTATCTACCTTATAAACACTACTACGA